TCAGACCCGGAAGCATACACAGCGTTTCTGACTACAAGCCGCCTTCTCGCGCGTGAGGCGGGCCTTCAACCTGGAGAACAAGCCATCATTGTTAATGGCCGGGCACGTTTCTTATTCTTCTTTTCGGTCTAATGTGGATAATTAAACTTCATGCATAGCTCATTGGTCCTTTCGCTCCCAAGTCGGAGTTCGTTTCTGAAGACTTTGCGACGTTGGAGACATATGAAATTAAAAAGCGAGTTGGACGTGTCGCGCAAGCTATTGAAGAGGTTCTAGCTGACGGCACAGAGCTTGATGCGTGGGTGGTCTTGATCTGCCCTGCCTTTGGGTTCTGATATTGAATTTTGTGTACAGGCTTGCATATGCAAACCTGGTCTCGGTGGCATCGTCGATTATCTACGCAGATCAACAGCCAGATCCAAGTGAAGTTGGATTGTTTGACAGCGCACCTCGAACTAGGACTAGTAATTATAGACTCTTATCGGGTAATTACACGTATGTGTTCCCCCATCTGCATGCAGTGACACGCTGAACGCACTATCCTTTTCCAGGAAATTTGAATTCGGTGATCGAGAGAATGCACTGACACACCTTGTCCTGCTCCTTGATCCCCTGAGTGAAGGAGCGCAGAAGTGGATCGCAATCTTGGAGGTAAGCCGTTATGGGGACTTTAGAATTGTCAACGTGATGCAGGCGACTGTAGAAACACGAGGAGCTATTCCCAGAGGTGTACTTCGAACTGTACCTCAATCCAGCTCAACATTCCGAAGTATGCAAAATTCCTTCATACAAATTGGTCAAACTAATCGGATTCACAGATTCCACTCAAACGATTTTACCGATATAGTATTGAGCCTCGCGTGCAGTATGACAACAAAGGGTGAGGGAGTCTCTTTTCCTGCTTATGATGTCACTGAGGAGCAGTCCAGCGACGAGATTCCGGCGCAAGTTACCTTCAATGGCCTGTCCGTAGACCCAATATATACTCTTAGCATGGACGTTCCCCCCTCGTGGCTCGTTCGCCCACGAGAAGCCCTCTACGACCTTGACAACGTTCAGCCGAGCACACTTCCACCTGATGGCCTTCATGCTCTTTTCTCGCTCGACTACCTCGTCGTTGAAGGGCATGCACGGGAGACGAAGTCCAACAGCCCTCCTCGAGGCGTACAGCTCCAACTGACTACTTCATCTCCCGCTGCCAACCATACTCCGTCCGTAGTCGATGACACTCAGGTTGTCGCAAATCTTGGCTACCTGCAGTTTAAAGCTCGCCCAGGAACATTCAAACTTAGTATTCGCGAGGGAGGAGGCCGTGAGGTATATGATATAGCCAGCGTGGGGAGTGAGGGGTGGAATAGTCCTTCTGTGGAAGAATCAGGAGCGGAATTAACTGTGATGAGCTTTGAGGGACTAACCCTATACCCAAGGCTGTTACGGAAGCCGGGTATGGAGAAGGTAGATGTGCTAGCAGGGTTACAGCAACACTCAAGCCATTCCCAAACCACCATACACGGTATCTTGTCCAAGTGGGTGGTTCTTTCATTCCTAATTGCCATTGCTGGTCCTGAATTCACGTCAGGGTTTTATCTCTTTTCACATCAAAGAGTGAAAGCACGACTGAAGTCGCAGAGACGGGCGCTAAACAAGCGGACATCAACATATTCACAGTTGCTTCTGGGCTGCTCTATGAGGTGCGCTCCCTTTCCCCTTCTGCAATGCTCGATGCCTCCAACAATTCTCTCCTTTCAGCGTTTCGCTTCCATCATGATTCTTAGCGTCCTACGCAACACAAATAGCACTGTGAAATTCTGGTTCATCGAGAACTTCCTATCGCCTTCCTTCTTGGTCAGTTGGCGTGACGTATTGCTTGCAACATGCCTCATTGTCGTATTACAGGAATTCATACCACACATGGCTGAAGAATATGGCTTCCAGTATGAGCTCGTGACTTATAAATGGCCGTCTTGGCTCCGTGCCCAGAAGGAAAAGCAGCGCATTATTTGGGCATACAAGATTCTTTTCCTCGATGTTTTGTTTCCCATGGACCTCAATAAGGTCATCTTCGTCGACGCGGACCAAATTGTCCGTGCAGATCTTCAGGAACTGGTAGACCTCGACTTACACGGTGCACCATATGGCTATACACCCATGGGCGATGACAACTACGAGATGGAAGGTTTCCGGTTCTGGAAAACTGGATATTGGAAAGACTTCTTGGGTGATCTCCCGTATCACATCAGGTGAGTTTATGTGTGGGTTGCACGATGTTGAATCAATCTGATGCTTCCCCAGTGCCCTGTATGTAGTAGATCTTGTTCGTTTTCGCCAGGTATGTGGGTCAGTTCTGATGACGATCCCTGACTGATGGACTTTAGATGGCTGCGGGAGTAAGTTGGTTCTTACCGCGTCCGAGGACTTTGAGTGACAGCTTGATCTCAGGACATCCTTCGTGGACAATACCAGATGCTTTCAGCTGATCCAAACTCCCTTGCTAACTTGGACCAAGGTCAGTTGTGCGAGTCTTGAGAAGACACCTGCTGATGCAAGTTCAGACCTGCCAAATAATATCCAAAGAGAAGTGCCGATAGTGAGTTGAGATTGTGTCTGAGCGATACTACAGGCCATTGACCCCTACTAGTTCTCTCTTCACGAAGACTGGCTTTGGGTAAGTAATCTTGAACTTCAATATTCTTCCAATCATGGTGATGACGTGTTTGATGCAGTGTGAAACCTGGTGTATGTCATCAAACTCACCCTAGACCCCCTTAACCATATGTTATATGCAGGCAGCGCAGATCGCCTTCATCGTGCCAAAACCATTGATTTGTGTCAGAACCCCCTTACGGTCAGCCCTCCCAGAGTATATCAGTCGTTTCATCTGACACCTAGTTGGTTCACAGAAAGAACCAAAATTATCGCGTGCAAGGCAGATCCCTGAGTGGGAGGAATACGACAACGAGATTGCACAATTCGCGGGCCGACTGGCTTCCGAAGGCAAGATTCATTCGAGTGTTGCTACCGCTCGTTCGGATGTCCTTGCAAATGTTGGGTTGGTTCAGCCAGCACACGACAATGATATCGAAGGGGCTTCAGGGGGTGAGAACCTTGAGCGTCCGCATGACGAATTGTAGATGAAAATCACGGACAATCTTTACCGATGGAATTTACCGCGTTACTAAGTATACTGTAAAGGCTGATCCACGCTGATCAATTGAATATGCCAGTTGTCACCTCGTGAGTTCTCCGCTGTTCAGCGTTGCGCCCGGGTAGGTCTTGAGCCGGCTGGGATCCAGAACTCGCACGGGTGTTTGTAAGTTACACTTTCGCCTTATCGGTAGGGGCCTGGTCTAGTTAGACCTTAGAGAAGCAAGACTGTGATGCCGGCCCGCTTGAGCACGACAAACTCAGAGTAATCTTGTGACAAAACATGATTCGCCCCTAAGCCAGGGATGATCGCAACGTCATATCATATTTACGACTCACCCTAAACCTTCTTCATTGCTGGCAAGAGATAATGAGGCAAGCCAGGGTCGACACTATCGCTCGTGCTCAAAGGAGATGTTTGGTTCGACTCGTCTGGACCTATTTTATGCCTAGTGTAGATGCGATCAATCTGCATTCCCTGCTAGGACGGAATGAGATAAATTTTGCCCCAAGCGAGGACATTACACCGATGAAGACGGGGACGAGGCATTAAGTATATGAGTATTGCTTTCTGATACTCATTGATATGTTTCAGCCTTGACTCCACGCACCTACCGAGTAGAACGCCTTGCGTTTTTTATAAGCTACGTCAGATTCTTAGCCGTGATCAGAAGGAAGTAAAGACGCAGCATTATTATTAGATATGCACCGATTCTGAACAGCAAAATCTTATCGACAATGCTGTAAGAGTTCATGAAGAACGCATCTTATCATCGAGTGGAGACTGATATGAGCTGATACGAGGGCGGAAGACGTTGGGCGTAAGTGGGTGTTAAACTTTGTAGGGTAAGCGCGGTAGAAATAGGTGAGGGCATGGCAGGCTTTGAGTGTGTCGCCTCCGTTCATATAATTTGATGAAATCCGAACGGTGGGGAGACACTTACGTTATGAGCTCCACTCATATCAGCAGGTGATGCACGCCGATTTCATAATGAAAAGAAGGTAAACGATTTGGGAGACGAATCTGTGCAATGAGGCGCCCTAAAAAGGTAAAAGCGGCCCCGGAAGGAAGACTTGAAAGGGGATGCCGGGTAAGGTGCGACTATGAAAAAAATGATCACAGCTGGCAGCCGCACAGGCACATACGAGCGTGGCACCACTGTATGATAAGAAGGTACCCACAGGAGGATACAGCATATAATGATGTTATTGTTCTTGGGGATAAAACCTCGAGTGAGCAACGTTGCAGTTGGCGTCAATAGGTGCAATCATGGGGAAGCACGGTAAGGGCGTGTGCGCAAGTGATTGTAGTCTAGGAGATCAATAACAAGGGAATCACCGCCTCACTGAGTGACTGTTAGTACTCGGGTAGAGGTTATTGTATTAAGCACAAACCGTGGTGATAGAACCTGGTGTTCTATTTTGTGTATGTGTTCATCTTAGTGGAGACTGAGTGGAAGATCAAGAAGAACAACTCGCCAACAAAAAGGAGACGAGCAATAAGCCACGGCGGCAGAGAGGATCTACGCTACAAGGAAGCTATCCTAATCAGGAAAGAAGGTACAAGATGTTCAAAACTAGTACAAATAACTTCCAAATGAGGTTATATTCAGACTCAGATAATAGAAAAGTGTGACAAAATACTATATTTGGTAATGCGTTACTCCTGCGCGGTGTCGGAGAACAAAAAGCTCCATGTGTCATCCGAAGATCAGTCATCCCACGATATCCTCGTTTTTTATTCCTCTCACATCACCCTCAACTTTGTCGTCGTCATCATCGCCGTCGTCCTCAACCTCTTCGTCGTCGCTGCGCTCGTTGTACTCGTCATTTCATTTAACATTCTACCTTAACAAATGCTTCTTGCTCACAAACCCCATCCTCCGCCCTTCATGTCGCCTAACATATCACATCGTCGTCATCCTTCGGCTCCTCCAGCAGTCGTAGTTCAAGCAACGAAAACACCTGGCTTGCTTTTCATCTCAAAGCAGCCCTCACGACCCTCAACTCCTCGTAACCACCAACAGCTCCCTCAGACTCATCAGAAACAGCATCGGTCGCCAAAGCCGAAACAGAAACAGCTCTTCCCTCAATCTCAAAGCCGTGCAACACAGCCTCCAATCTCAGAGTCATCCGATGAACCTGCCAAACCTACTACGCAGACAATTCATTTAGATGTCGTTTCGAAGCTCCCCGTTCATCCAGCTACATCATTGCCCGACAAGGCTATACGAGGTAGACAAACCAAGGCACCTAAAGATAAGGGAACGACGAGGTATTCAATTATATTACGTTATGTTTACTCAGCTACATACCGTTATTTGCCCCCTTCTCCTTTTTAGAAGCTCTTCTTCAAATGCTCAAGCCCGACGCAGCAACATCCGTCAACCCTCGCCACCTATTCTCTCGCAGGCTGAGGGTATACGATCTTCGACGCAAACCTTTACCCATCACAATAACAATCCCGCATCCAACTCTTTTGATCCCTTTGTTGTCAGTTCTGATTCTGACTCGGATAATTCGCTTCCACCCATGACTTTGACGCCCAAGTATCCTTCTTCGCAAGCACCTTCTTTGACATCTCAGCCGACTGGGAAACTGGCAGCTCGTCGCCGTCGCCCTGTCCCCCAGCAAGTTGCGACACCCACCCCTACCACTAGGGCAGTTCCTGTTCCTAGATCTAATACTCGGCCCACTGGTCACAATCTCTCTCGTTCGGCTCCAAGCCAGTCTGCTGCGCCACTCCGAACCGCACGGCGCACTTCCGCCGGCTCTGCCACAGATTTCCCGGTCTGTGATGACACCACTGACGTTGATGATGATAATTCTCCTTTATCAACCCCCACTCGTGAGAGATCTGCTGGGACTTGGCAACAGCTTGCATTTGAGCAAGGTCCCCGCACGGCACCGCTTAATAATAGCCCAGGATTTCCGTTTGGCGGGCAGTTAAACTGCACCACCCCGTCCCCATCCCGCAAACATTACAGAACGCCCAGTGAGGGTGTTTTTCACATGTCCTTAGACGAGGACATGGCATCGGCTTCTGATACTTCTGAAGATCAAAAGAAGTTGTTTGGCTTCATGCCAAGGAATCCGGGGTCAGTTGGACCGAGCGTCACCCGCGCTGTTAAGGAGAAGGCTGGGTTTTTCGCGAGCTCAGTATTCCAAAACTCGCCGAGCCCCGACGAGTTGCCTCCGCCCGCTTTTTGAGCGGTACTTTCACTCTTAAAACAATCATCAAGTGTAGAGGTTGGTGATTCAATTCTTGCGATAGAACGTCAAATCGTTGAACAGCGGTTTAGATTTTCGTATTGGCAAGCAGCCCCTAGAATAATATCACCTCACCACCGACATAATCTCCCTTTCCTTTCGCCGCGGAATATTCTCGAACGTATACTGAACCTAATACACCCTCATCGCGAAAAAGTCGACATACACCTGCTTCTGACGACGTGATCTTCCGTGGCGCACAGTGTCTTATACCTCTTTTACCGATATCATTATCCTTTCGAAGTCTTCCATCAGGCAACGTTTTTGTTGTGGTCTTCTCTCTTGGGCTCTTGGCTCCCACGTTTCTATGGCATCGCTTGTCTAATAGACTTGCCGCTCTGCACTTGTCTTGCTTGTCATATCCGGTCTATTTCGGTCATGGTCACCCGCACAGGACACATTCGCGGCTTGTCCCAGATGTAATACATCTGGGTCACCACTCAGCAGCGACATTCATACCTCGCTCGCTGGCGGTTCATTCTCTATCTATTTTTTTTCACCCCTCAATGTGTCACTACCACGGCTCCATCATCATCATGCTTTCGCAACATCGCATCGGCATTTCTTATTATCTCGGTTGCCCGACAGCACTCGGGCTTGTATAAAAGGCGGCACAAGGCGCAGACTATCCACTCTATAAACGACAAAAATATTAACATCAAGCCTTGCGTCGCCCGCTGCGTATTGTGTATATGACGCCACGCCATTCCCCTCCCCTCCCGGCCGATCGTGCTTATTTATCTATCGGCCTCGCGTCTGCACGTGGGGTCCTAGTATTTCCACGCCTGAGCGTGTTCTTGGATCTTGGGACTCCGTCTTGTGATATTCTCATTTTTTCTTCTACTTTTCACTCACGACAATTTTCCCTTTCTCGGTTATTCCCTGGCCTTAGTATCGTATACTTTCCCGGCACCCGCCTGTGTTTTTAGCCCGATCCCTTGGGTGCTCGGGTTATATATTTCGTTTCACTCCATTCTCCCATTCGCCTCACGGCTGCCATGCTTTTTCTGATTCTGGCGGCAGCTATATTCCTTTTTTTCAGATAACACAAAGGTGTATCAATATCGACTCAGCCCATACATTCTCGGACTATTACGTCGCATCATAACTCTTTCACTTCTTTTCCTGAATGTGCTATAGTCATTTTACATTCTCGTAGCATCCGCGCTTCTTTTATCTTCCCTGTTCATGATGCGACCCGATTTTCCATTGTATAATCCGTGTGGGTGTGGGGTTACTTATCCGAGCATCCTGACTCTTGACTAAGTTTTGGTTACAGTTCTATCATACGTTTCCTGCACAGGCGCAGATGTACATACATACTCTACTTAGTATGCCTCTATCCTCACGTGCCTGTGCATCTTTGATCCGCCAGTTAAGATCATACTTAAAAACTTACACTCGTTATACATCCTTATATCAATCCGTACACTCCTTATTGTGATCTGCAATAGACTTCATTGACTCTACGTAAAGCTTGTTGCAGCGATCAACTGAGTCATGCAAACACGTTGGAGTGTCATCAATGATTCGATATCGAAATCTTATTTTTTCAAGACACCTCCGTGATCGTAGCAGATCACGCCTTTCCTATTCCTACACCACTAACGCACAGACAATGGAGGACTTACAGGTTGCCGTGGTAGGCGTCGGAGGCGTCGGGACCCAAGTCGTCGAACAGCTGATCGCCAACCCGATCTATGGCTTCCAGCTCGTAGCGCTCACCTCTTCCAAGCGCATGCTCCAGCTCACCAAAGACCACTGCATCCACCCCATAGCATGGAAGGACGCGCTTAATGCCAGCAAGACACCCGTCGACCTCTCTGCGGTGAAAAGCACCTTGCAGGAGCTCGTGAAGCAGGGCAAGAAGGTTGTCTTTATCGATAACACCTCTTCGCAGGATGTTGCGGAGATGTACCCTGCGTTGTTGAGTGTGGGGATCAATGTGGTCACGCCGAATAAGAAGGCGTTTTCGGGCGAGGTAGGGTTGTATCAGGGTATTGTCCAGGCGAGCAAGAGTGGAAGGTATTTGCATGAGTCCACGGTGGGTGCTGGACTGCCGATCATCTCGACACTGAGAGATTTGGTAGAGACGGGGGACAAGGTGAGCCTTTGCTGGCTGAGATGTGATGGATTGAGGCTGATCGCGTGCGATCAGGTTGTCAAGATTGAGGGTGTTTTCTCAGGGACCATGAGTTATATCTTCAACAACTTTTCTTCTGTGGAAGGAAGCGATGAAAGCTTTTCGTCGATAGTCAAAGGAGCCCGAGCACAGGGATACACGGTATGTGTTTTGTTTGACCTGGGTTTGCGCAGTGCCCAGATGCCACGATGCTCCAGGAACCCAACCCGGCAGACGATCTGAATGGCGCAGATGTCGCTCGAAAATTGACGATCCTAGCGCGTATCATTCCAGAGCTCAAGGACGAGCAAGGAAACTTCCCGCTTCCGCACGGATACCAGTCAGTGGAGACTACATCGTTAATCCAGGATGCCCCTGCAAACGCTGTTTCCAACGGGGACGAGTTTATGAAGTGGCTTCCCGAACAGGACGTGCATTTTGCACAGATGCGTGAGCAGGCTGCGAATGAGGGTAGTGTTCTCCGCTACGTGGGCGTCGTCGATGTAAAAAATAAAGTTGTGAAAGCCGAGTTGGCAAAGTAGGTTTCATGATGGGTTCACAAGCATGCCTTGTTCTGATCAACTTTCCAGATACTCAAAAACTCATCCGTTCGCAACATCGTTGGGAGGATCAGACAATATCATCATGTTCCATACCGAGCGCTACGGCAAAAGACCCCTGATTGTCCAAGGCGCTGGTGCTGGCAATGATGTAACGGCCATGGGAGTAGTGAGCGATATTCTAAAGTTGATTAGACCCTGAGTTGAAATACAACCGACTAAATGTAACACGATTATCAACAGACTTGATGCTTCTAGTAATGTGTGATATGAGAAGTTTGAACGAAAAAGGTCAAGGGTACTGCAAGATGAACTCCTTCATAGGCTGCTCCCAACTGCAAAACGACAGGTTCGAACCCCCGCATGTTTCCAACATGGTCGGTCGCAGTTCCTTCATGATCTTCTTCAGGCCTTGCTGAATGCTGTGAGTACTCTTCGCCTGTGTCGCTGCACGAATGCGTAACGGCATGATACGCGACAAGTTCTCCATACGTTTCTTTTGTCCCTTGTCGACATCTGCCATGACTTTTTGTTGTATCTGATTGTACGGTTTGCTCCCCGGCACAGTGAGGTTGGAGAGCAGGCTTAGTGTGTCGTCGAATACGATCTCAACGAGGGTAGGGTAAAAGTGGACCATGGAGCCGGGCGTGCCGCAGACTTTGGGACAGTCGGGGTTTGGACATCCGGGTGGGTTCACGCCGTTTGCATCTTGACACTTTCCATGGAAGTAACCAGGGAATATTGCTTTCTCCAGGCTATTGTAGGCAGTAAGGTTGTAGGCTTGCAAGACAGGAGCGAAGTACACGATAGAGTTCTCTCTACGGCTTGCAGCAGGGATGAGTTGCTCACTAATCTGGGTCGCCTGTGGGTATCATCGTGGTAAGTTTGACTGATGGATAATGATGAATTGAGATGCACTTTCCAATTTCTGAAGGGTCGTGAGCAAGATATTTTCGTAGCGGTTTAGGTATTCGTTGGTGATATCGACGATGCAGGCGCCTTCGCAGGCAGTTACGGCGACCGGCGCCAGGAGTAGGAAGAGCACGGGAAGAATAAGCTGCATGTTATAAATAAAAGAATGTGGTGGGCTCGCGCGGCGAGATGGGTGGTTCGTTGATGATGATGGTTCGTGAAAGCTTGTGTTGCATTTCAAAGTTAAATTCGCGACGCGATCTTGTCACGTGGAAAAAATCAATTCCACTTTAGATTTCATGAAGTACTCTACTAAGAACTTCCATTCCTGCCACAACTTACAATGGATATGGATACCGAAAGTAGTGAGGACAAAAGTGCTCGCAGCGAAAGCACTGATTCGTGCTTGCTTGCATCCACTCGCTGCATAATGATTCCAGAGCTGCGATGGAAAATCTTCGAGCTAGTCGCGGTAGTAGTTGATCGTTTTAGAGCGTTTCATATAGTGAGTACTGCTAGGCGACTTTCAGCATTTGAATAGGTGATGGATTTCTTGAGGTAGAGGATTATGGAAAAGACACTCATGACGCTCGCATTGACGTGCAAGTCGTTCAGTGGACCTGCGCTGGACCTCCTATGGCGAGACCTGCGTGGGGTTGAACCACTTATCAAATGTCTGCCACAAAGCCTATGGAAACAGGATAAAAAAAAGCTAGTCAGTCAAGTTCTAGCCTATGCTTAAGAGTCACCATTTGATACCATCTGACAGGAATTTCAAAGAACCATGACCCTCGATGACTGGGCCATTTTTTGCAAATATAACTATCGCGTCCGTTCACTGGTTCATCAATGTCATGAGTCATACATGCATACCGAGATGATCTGTAGCACTGAAATTTGGCGTGCCCTCAGCTGTCCCCCCTTCTCCCTTCCCCTACTCCCCAACTTGACGTCCCTTACCTGGACTGAGGCTAGCAACGAGACATTCCCACATATTCAGTTGTTTGCGACCCCGCAGTTGACGAAGCTCACTATTTCCGTGTCCACTTACGGTCCATCCTTCACTTTTGGCCCATCCGAAGAGTCCATTCTTTCGTCTATCGCAAAGTCGTGCCCTTCTGTCTCGCAATTCGATTTCGCTCAAGAGAAGGATGACTCCATGGAATCGGTTGGGGCCATGTTGCAATTCTGGTCTCATCTAACATCGGTGAAGACCGGGACGATTTCCGAGGCAGCCATACTACACCTGTCCAACTTGCCTTCACTCCGAGTTTTGAAATGTGGATTGCCTTCAACTTCCATATCTACACGTGCACAGGAACTCCTACAGCACGATGTGTTCTGCGCATTACAAGATCTGCACATAACATGCAAAAGTCTTGCCAACTTAGAGGCTTTTTTGGAGAAGCTCACTATTGCTCCGAAAGTATTGTCCTTTCTGATCACCCCGAGTCGTGGAGGAGTGGATTTTGTGCGGACCCTCCCGGATCTGATCTCTCGTCTATCCAATGCCTGCACACACAGCTCACTACAAGAGGTGCGGCTCAGCATTCGAGTCAATCGATCTGCTGATCCCGAAGCTTCAATCGGAGCTCTCGCCTTTCAACCACTATTTGCCTTTCGCAATCTTCGCGTGCTCGACTTCAGAGCAGACAACTGTTGTATCGTGAGGATAGATGATGCTTCCCTTTTGCAGATGGCTAAGGCCTGGCCACACCTGGAAGAGTTATACATCTCCAGATACTCCCACTCAAGTTATCGCGTGACTTTGCATGCCTTCGTCTTGCTGTTGTGGCATTGTCCGCGTTTACGCTCGGTTGCTGTTCTCATCGACTGGTCCACGATAGATGTGCATACCATACCCCCTGACATTCCTTACCAAGGATTTTCTCAGAAGGCACTAACCAAGTTATTTATTAATGGTTGGAGAATTGAGAATCCAACATCCATTGCCGCTTTCATTTCAGCCATCGCGCCCAATGTGCGATCCATCGACGGATGGGACACTGATTACCACGGGTATGACTCCGATGGAATAGACAATTCGTGGACAGTGGTTCAAAGTCTGATTGCTACTTTACCCATGGTCCGTGAGCAAGGGAAGAGAATGATCCTGAATAGGCTAGCGCGAGGCTCGCACAACTACCACGTGATTGCGCAGCGGGGAGGACGATCATGAAGAAACCAGTGTTGGTGGCAGAAGCGAGGGCGACTCGAAATACTATACGGATCTTTCTTGCTCGACTTCTTTTCTTGACCAGCTCCTTCCTCCTAATCGGAGTCCCCACACGAATCTCTTTCCTATCTATGTCTCGCAATTTTATAGGACTACGTACGTCAATGCCCGATATGCTATAGTAATATACAACCTTTCAGATGCAGACACCTTTTACTTTCAGCCTGATCACCATGCTCATCTCCATGAGCTGTTCGCTATTTAGTAGGTTAGCATTGCTCGAAAGCGTGCATCAGATGTATGTGGTCCGATTGATGAAATGTCGGTCTGATTCACCGGGACTCCTGTCTGACGTGTGCGTCATCGACGTCTTCTGGAGTAGAGGGAGTCATCAACTCTTGAACCTTAATTTTCACTGGAGATCGCAAGCACGCGGGGCATTTAGGAGCAGGTTTGGTGAGAGGCTTCATTCTCTACGCAGCACCGTGACTTCCTTTTAGATTCATGAAAATAGATGACCTTCGGCTTTGAGCTATTGATCACAGTGAGATAGTTCTAAGCTGGTTAAGGAGTCTGTTTCCTAGTACTTACCAGGAGGTTCTCAAGTAGAGTTTATGATTTCGCCATTCGACACAGAGCCTCAGCACTCCGAGCCAAATCTTGACATTCTTACCGTATAAGAGCACTTACAAAGCTCGTCTGCGGACGGCTCACATGTAATGCATATTGTCATCCTGTCGAATGGCTTTCAATATAGCAATTAATGTGCAAATGTGACTTCCGCGATCTGGACAAAAGAGTATACAGTTAACCACGTGCGAATGCGTCTGTGCACAGGTCGAGTACAGCGCGTTGGAGAGCAAGGCAAATATTGTGAGCCGTCGAATCTCGTTGCACATGCAGGTCACACCAAAGATTGTTTCCGATTGAGGGTCCAAATCGAGCACGCGGGAGTAAGAGAAACAGTAACGCGAGGGAGATAATTAAATTTCGCTCTCTTTGGAATCTGCACTTCGACGAAGCGTCAATACAGAGCAGTAATTCATACGCATGTATTTCGTACTAACCCCTTCTCCACTAGCACATTTCGTTGCACTGCGTTCACTTTGAGGTCAAGACAATGCAGAGGGGTCAGAGAGAATAAAAATATAACGAACGTTAACGAGTATAGCTCGAGTGCACTCTCACCCGCAAGTGCGGTAATCAGGTGAGCATTGATGAAATGAGCTTCCATCATCAGGCGGCGCCATTAAAAGTGAAAACGGAGGCAGAAAGATCAGTGTAACCTTCCTCCGTCTCTAAAGAGAGGCACAAATCCGTCCATTTTCCAGAAGAGCATCATGATAGAAAGTTACAAGCCTGAGAAACCTAGGAGGTCCACGTAAATTTACGTAATAAGACGTGGTGGGCGGCGGCTCTATGCCTCACTAATGTGCGACCGAGCAGCTGAGGATCAAATTGTGCATAAGGTAGGCCAAGAGAAGATATCTGTGGCAAGGAAGATAATGTGGAAGGACAAGGTGGTACCTGTGGATTTTAGAAGGAGTCATCATACATTGTCCAGATATTACATAATATCTTGCTTAGGTGGGCCGCTGACGGTTCAACTCCGCTTGAATCTGCCGAGCTCGCCGAGGGGTATAGACTCGAGTACACCTAAAGTCCATACTTTATTACTTAAAAGGTTATACCTGGCCAGACCCAGAATCCTGACATTCAAGTATGAATGCCAAAAGCGCTATTTCCTCCTTACCTGCATCTACTCGCTGTATAACGATTCCCGAGCTGCGATGGATAATCATCGACCTAGTCCAGGAAGTGAGTACTGCTAGCCAGCTTCGAGAGTCTGAATAATGATGGATTCCTGGAGGTAGATTAATACACTCATGGCGCTCGCCTTGACATGCAAGTCATTCAGTGGACCTGCGCTGGACATTCTGTGGCGACATCTGGATGGGTTTGAACGACTTATCAAATGTCTGCCACAAAGCTTATGGAAACGGGACAAGAACAAGCTAGTTAGTCAAGCTCTTTTCTATGCTCAAAACTCACCATTTGATGCCATCTGACAGGAGTTTCAAAGAACCATGACCCTCGATGACTGGGCCATTTTTTGCAAATATAACTATCGTGTCCGTTCACTGGTTCATCGATGTCATGTGCCGTCATACATACATACCGAGATGGTCTGTGGGACTGAAATTTGGCGTGCCCTCAGCTGTCCCCCCTTCTCCCTTCCCCTACTCCCCAACTTGACGTTCCTTACCTGGACTAAGGCTAGCGACGAGACATTCCAGTATATTCAATTGTTTGTAACCTCACAGTTGACGGAGCTCGATATCCAATTTTCCGGGTTGCGCTACGATCCATCTTTCACGTTTGGTCCACCCCAACAGTCCATCTTGTCGTCTATCGCAAAATCGTGTCCTTCTCTCTCGTATTTCGATTTCCAAGAAGAATATAGCTCAACAACATCAGTCGGAGACACGTCGACCGTGTTGCAATTCTGGTCTCATCTAACATGGGTGAGGGTTGGAATAGTGTCCGAGGCAGCGATACTACACCTGTCCGATCTACCATCACTCGAAGTTCTGACATTTACATTACCTTCAGTTCTTATATCTGCCGATACACAAAAGCTGTTGCAGCGGCCTGTGTTCCGTGCGTTACAAGAGCTGGACGTAACATGCAAAAGTCTAGTCAACTTGGCGACTTTTTTGGAGAAAATTACTATTGCTCCAGCAGTCTTATCCTTTACAACCACTCGTGGAGTGGATTTCGCGCAGGCCCTGCCAGATCTGATTTCTCGTCTATCCAATGCCTGTACACATAGCTCACTACAAGAGCTGCAGTTGAACATTCGAGTTGATCATCAGCTTGCTGATCCCGACGCTTCAATCGAAGCTGCGTCCTTTCAACCACTCTTTGCCTTTCGCAATCTTCTCGATTTCGGCTTGAAAGTGGATAGCCTATGTGTTGTGCGAATGGATGATGCTTCCCTTTTGCAGATGGCTAAAGCCTGGCCCATCCTGGAAAATTTATCCATTACTGGATACTCCCGTTCAAGTCATCAAGTCACCCCGCATGCCTTCGTCTTGCTGTTGTGGCATTGCCCGCGTTTAATCTCAGTTGGCATTCCGGTAAACTGGTCCGTGATAGAAATGCATCCCATACCCCGTGAAATTCCTTACCAAGGATTTTCTCACAAAGCACTATCCCACTCGGTCTTTGGAGGTTCGAAGATCAGCGATCCGATATCAATTGCTGCTTTTATATCAGCTATCGCACCCAATCTAAAATCAATTGTGGGAGATGACGACTATCTCCGTGATGATGACAACCACCAAGGCTGGGAGATGGTTCAGAATCTGGTCACGACTCTCCCCATTATCCGTGAGCAGGGCATGAGAGTGATGCATGGGATAATACAGGCACCGTGTTCATATGGCTACCGCAGGGGCAGTGCAGCAGGGGGGCCAACAATGAAGAAGCCAGTGTTGGTAGTGATGTTGGTGCTTCCAGGAAGATGGCGGAAGTGAGGGCAACTCGGAATACTATGTATATAGACCTTTCCGAGTCTATCTCAATTTTTTCCCCTGACCAGTCACTACTCAGAGTATATCAACGGATCTCCTTCCAATCCATGCCTCACAATTTTACAACAGGACTACGTACGCCACGGTCATGGTCCTGAATGCCTGGTATGCTATAGTATACAGATACAGAACGATCAACTTTTCGGATACAGCCTCACTTTTTACTTGCAGTATCACCATGTTTCTCGCCAGTTTCGTGTATCCCCACAAGTCGTTCGCCGGCATTGTTTGAAGCTTACATTAGTGTATACAATCCGATTGATGAGATTCCAGTTTACGGATTCACTGGGACGCAAACTTGATGTGAGCGTCGTCTTCCCGAGTACAGCTAGTCGCAAATTCTTGAACTAGAATGTTCAAGCTGCGGACAACAGGCACACGGGGCTAACAGTTGAGAGAAAATTAGATTAAGAAGTTGATTTTCTATTGCAACGCTTCCTTGTGGATCTTCACCATGTTGAAACCAGGATTATGGCTATGAGCTTTGAGTTACTGCTCGCGGTGCGGTAATTGGGTGAGGATTCAGCTTATCGCCTCTAAGTATCTCAAGCATTTTCATTAATGTAATTCATGGTTGTCAACTTGTGCCGGCATCGATAACTACATTGAGCATACCGAAAGTGGGTGACCGTCCTGCAGATCATAACACAGAACGAGACTGTAAGGAGCAACGTCTGGTCTCGAACTGTCCGCGCACATGCGAAGGTCCCCCGAGTATTTTGTGCCAGGGTGAGTATATTCGAGAGCAATCCACCTATTCACACCAAGCCTTCACACCACAGACGCAGCTGAGGCTCATTATTAAGAAATCCATATCGTATTGCGCACATGTAAGAGTGGTTAATGCAGAACCCACAAAATAAAAATTCGGGTTGAACTGATTTCCCCTTGAGCTTTGAGTCTACAGGTCCAAGGCAACGTGCGCATTTTAGAGGGTTGTCGAGCGGGCACATGCAGCACTGTCGAAACCAGATGAAGCAGTGAGAATGCTGATAATAACTAGGTCTCTGCATCGCAGGTCCTTTTGTTCTAGGGAGATGCACAGACGTGCTCTCCTAGTCATAATCGCCTGTTCATAATGTGAGATGGCTGAAATCTAGGAAATTGGTGTCGGAAAAGGTCTTACCTCCACCACCTCCATCATCTCCGCCGCCGCCGTCTCCAAGACCGTCCATATCATCTCCTTCACCGTTATCGAAATAATTCTCCGCATAATCATTGTCATATTCCTCATCGACGTCGTAGTCAGAGTCAACTGGCTGTGATCCAGCGTCTGAGCGTTCATCCCCCGACTTCTCCTAAAGAGTTTGTTAACATTCAGAATATATATATATATATTTGAAGTCATGACATACTTGGTCCTCGGCGTCCTCCGCTAAGTCATCAAGATTAAGGCGTTTTGTGGCGCCTTTCTTGTCAACTGTTGATCCATTTAGAAACGGTACGAGGCAAACATCGATATACCAACCTTTGCGTTTTCTTTTCGGATTGAAATAGCCCTCAAATATCTCTAAGGGAAAAAAGGGTGCATGAAGGTCCTTCCGCTTCAGTATAGGTTGAGAAGCAGGACTCTGGCGATATTTATCAGAATAACGCTCCAAGTCTGTAAAGCAAATGCATCAGGCTCTTATTTATTGATCGTTTCATGATGATTCAAACCGTTTGACTTCGACGTTTCGACTACATAGTAGGCTGATTGCCGTAAACGGGTAACAAAACCAATTTGCAGATCACAAACTCGTTTCTCGTCTGCAGAGTAATCGGTGAGAACAGGCAGGGGATCCAATGGCTGTTTGAGTAGAAATTAGATTACACACGATAACATTACGAGATTGAGGCACCGCACTGGGTACAACGCGTCTCCTTCCCTGGACATAGCTTGTATGTCTGCAAATGTGAGACCCATAGGAGGCATGCTTCCTGCACCTAAGCCACCACCACTTCGAAAGCCACCCCTTCCACCACCTCGTCCACCGCCGCGTCCTCTGGACATATTTTCGAATCCTAATTAAATTTGGTGGTGATCAAAGATGGAAGAATAGTCACGGCATGGCATCACGCTGAGTTGAGAAAATTTAAACTCCGAAGCGTTATATAACAAGGACTTGCTGTGTTAGGGTCCTCTCGCGTCGCCCCTTTGCCACCACCACCACCACCAACCCGTCTACTTGTTGTCAAGACTCCCAAAACAGCACTAATCTCATTCCAAAATAATTCACGCGTTCTTTCAAAACTTGACAAAATGGACAAATCACTTGACGAGGTTGGTGTTGAGTTGCGAAAATTTTCCGCCACGCGTATACAAACCATAATATTTAGGTCATTTCTTCTCGCCCCAGAGGCACCCGTCGTGGTACTGGTCGTCGCGGAGGTGCAGGAGCCAAGGCTCAACTTCTGGGAACTGCTGGTGCCAACCCCGCCACCCGCGCCGCCACAGCCGGCGCTACCAAAGCCACAGCCACCACTTCTGCGCAACCCGCCGATAAAATCATTGTTTCCAATCTACCAACAGATGTGAATGAAGTTCAAATCAGGGTATGTTGTTTAATTTTTGGCAACGTTGGTGATTTGTCTAAGCATGAATGTAGGAACTTTTCTCCACTACTGTTGGAGCCCTGCGCGACGTCACTTTGCACTATGATAGCGCTGGACGGTCAAAAGGCGTCGCAGCGGTCCACTTCCAACGGAAGGGTGACGGTACTTCGGCCTACCAGCAATATAATAACCGATTGATCGATGGGAGTTAGTATCGCCTGCTTTATTATCTCCTTCCTTTATCCCCGCAAGAGCCCTTCATCTGTTACGGAGATCCGTTGTCGCTGGTTCTCTATTTGGCCCTGCCAAAGACGTGCATGCGTGGCGGAAAACGCCGATATGCGGGTTGTCAAGGCTCTTTTGGTGGCAGAGTCTTGTCCCCGCAGCCTCGACACTCTTGAGGTGCGTACCAGGTTGCAGGTTGGTTTGAAGGCTTGCCATCCTTTGAGCTTGCAAGCCTGGTGCCATCGCAGTGCACGTCATTCCTCATGGCTCAGTCTCGGGATTGAGTTCCAGGCCGGTGCAAGTATTATGGAGTGACAGGCGGGGAGGTACTCCAAATCTTCATCCCTTGACCAATCAGGGCGGCCATTCGTGCGCAAGCCTCAGCTATTGCGGCATATTGGAGGAGGAGGACAGAGTTGACAATGTTCTTGGTAACGGTTTGGACAGTGGCATGCTCGTATCCGTCCCTTTTGCCTGCTTCCTCGCTGAAAGCACAGCCGACTAACGATTGTCTATCTCTTTTCCGTATCGTCCTCGCACGTCAACTACAGAACGCCCGATGAAGATCGAAATTGTGGTCGACCCCGCACGTCCTGCCCCGCCCGCTTCCCTCGTGTCACGCGTTGCTCCTGCGTCTTCCGCTCCTGCAGCTTCAGACGCTCGAAGTGCCAGGTGCGTACGGCAATGTTGCTGATTCCGTTGTCTTACCGATCCATAGACCTGCTACGCGAGGCTCTCGCCGTGGAAGAGGCCGTGGAAGGAAAGGGAATGAAAGGCCTCAGAAGAGTGTTGCTGACCTTGATGCAGAGATGGAGGTTTGTGTTTGAACCTCGTCTCTGGCACATGTTCATATAGATTTCTCAGGATTACACTGCGAGCAATATCGTTGCTCCCGCTGCTGCTTAATGTAGCCCGTGTTATGTGTATCTGCTAATACTGATCGTCTGTTGTGCCCCCTTTGATAACCATCCGATTTATTCTTAGTAGTTTCCGTCCTGTATTCTCTACGCTTCCTTTTCTGGGACTCGAATGTCTATTGAGTTATGAGTCTCTTCACGCTCGTGTATTGAGATTTGTCTGAAGCGAGTACTTCGAGTTATGTACGGAGTTACAAATGGGTGTAGTTAGTCATTTCAATCTCCATTGTCTTTTGATGCTTCAAGTTTGAAACCACACCATAATCTAAATTCTGGCCATGAATATCCCTGCAGAAGAGGAGAAGCCGCTGTATTCTCAGCAACCTGAGTGGGCCGATGTTGTTCCCTTAGAGCAGTACGAGAATGTATCCCCTCTTGCGCCTATCTTTTATACGGATGAATGTTCGTGAGCAAACCGGCTTGTCCGCAGATCCTCACTCAATGTAATGATCGAATTGTATTTATCAGACAGAGATGCCACGGACTACTTCAGAGGGATCGTCAAGAGCGGTGAGATGAGTCTGAGGGTGTTGGAGCTCACGGAGAATATAATTCGGCAGAATCCTGGACATTACTCTGCATGGTGAGTGTGTAACTTGCTCTATCACGCACTTGCAGCCGAACACAGGTGACATTTCCATGTACGATTAGGCAGTACAGGTACAAGACACTTATGGCATTGAAATCTCCCCTCGACGATGAGCTTCAACTGATGGACGAGCTTGCGATCAAGCATCTAAAGACATACCAAGTCTGGCATCATCGCAGGCTGCTCGTACAACAGACTCGCAACCCAGGCCCTGAACTCGAGTTCATTGCTAACTCATTGCAAGTTGATACAAAGAACTACCACACGTGGTCGTACAGACAGTGGATCCTCGCAAACTTCAACGACGACGCTCTATGGAGCCATGAACTGGAATTCGTGGAGAACATGCTTGAAAGCGACGTGAGGAACAACTCTGCATGGCATCACAGGTTCTTCGTCGTCTTTCAATCTGGGGTACGGAATGGTGATGAAGATAGAGATGCGATCGCCCGGCGGGAGCTTGCGTAAGTCCTAATTTGAGTGATATGGGATATGGTCCGGGAATAATGAGATGTACAAATAGATTCGTGAAGGAGCGAATTGCGATCGCACCGAATAATGCGTCTGCGTGGAATTACCTGCGCGGAGTGCTTGATCATGCTAAAATTCCTTATTGCGAGCTTCAAGCATTCGTGCTGCCTTATTCTGTGCCCCAACCTCCTTTAGGTACACCCCCTGAAGTTGTTGATCTTGAAAGTCCTCTTCCTTCGAAGGATTCACAACTGCCCTGCGTCGCTGCTGTTGAATTCATGGCTGATATTCACGAGGCAACAGGAGGCGATGACTTGGTGAAGGCTATTGAGGTAGGATACGTACTTGATGAACTTTGCAAATACCTGACCTATCATAGCTTTGGAAATCCCTGGCAAATGAGCACGATACTATACGCAAAAGGTAGATCACTAATCGAGTACTCTGAAGTACATAACTCATTAATTGCTTTGCAGATACTGGGAATACAGGATCGCGGAATCCTTGAAGACCAAATCAGCTGGTGATAGCTGACGGATGCCCATCTTAGCACATCAGAATTCTATTCCTTTTCGTCGATCAGGTAAACAGGGGTCACCAAATACTACGTGTGGTTTTCGTTGGTTTTGTGTCTCATCGATTAACCAGGAAAACAAAACCTTCCAATTTAAAGTATTCCATGGAACTTGTGCGATAACGCTCTCGATGTATGTGCTAGGAATCACTGGAGGCTGTTCAGCCTATATGTTCCGATTCAGGTTGATGCTTTTCCTCCATGTTCGAGAACCCCCGCTTCTCCCACCGCAATCAATTCGTTACTGTATGCCTTTTTTGCACTCCTTTCGTATCGCCGCAGGCTGTGGCAGCAGCGGACGGATATCGCGGTTGACAAGTGTGAATCCGCTCTTCCTCCCCTGATAGACGCTAAGACCGCTAGATCAAGATGATGATGTCATAATACTGAAATTTACACGGCATAACCTAAACAACTTATAGTGGCACTACAATGGAGGCTTTGGTGAAATTTATGGTTCAACGATGAGACGGAGAAAGAAATGGGGAGGTGTTACAGTACGTAGATACGGTGTACATCAAAGGCGCAGCGAAACTTGCAACCATTTCAAGCTCATGAACTTAACAATCCGCTAAGTAATATTATGCCATGAATGAACGGGATCATCAATGCCAAGGCAGAAACATGACTCACTATAAGCACGCATCAATTGCTCTACATTTCCGTCGTCGGAAATACAAGTTTTATGGGTGCAAGCCTGTTACAACAAATTGTGAGGTTGAATCCTGCATGCTTGCAAAACAAACTCACAGTATCCCATTGGCACGTATCAGAGCAGCAATCAGAATCTTCATCGCAATAATTGCCAATGGCATTACACCGCTTGTTAGAGGTAGTAGCTAGGGCCCTACTGACATACATAGATGCTGTCAAAGCAGCCACGACGGCGAGCTCGAATGAGAATAGACGCATGGTTTATAGGAGGTGGTATGAGATGGGTTCAACTTGAAGAATAGGGTACGGTTGAACCATCACAACTTTTCAACAGCTCTTTATAAACTGTTAGACCGCATGGTCCGCGTCAGCGGGTGCTTTAACTAACCGATTAAACACCATTTTTCGACAAGGTGGATAATGAAAAATATTAGGTGACGGCATTTATTTCATGTACTGCTTCAACGTTGTGTTAACTGTAGACTTGTTGTACTCCAATGCCAACGTCAACTGCTCACTTTTTGACAATAATATTATATGTGTGGTACTTGACATGAGTACAGTCTCTGCGACCTATTGTTCGATTCTTCGCATCCGAAAATCTGTTAGACTGAATTGCCCCTATTTCGCTTCCGGTACGATCTAGCGGATCAGTATCAATCATGAATGTACCGAAACTTTACCGCAAGTCTCAGACACGTCGTATGACAAAACTCGGGTGTACAGGGAACCCGTAGATGACACGTAGCGTACATGAAATGTAAACCACTCGTATATACCGAGTGCTTTTCGGTCGGGTTTCTACATTACCGGAAGAGATATTACAGATAGCGCCGGTAAGCTCTAAATCTAGTACCTGGCAAATTTTGTACCAATATTTTAAATAGCTGTTGAAAAAGATCAAATTTTCAACCGTATCCTATCCGAGAGGACTTCAGTGTGATGGCATGCTTTTATGTCCTGGGAACATTCGGGGAATATACAAAAGACAGTGCGGTCATAACCTAGTAATCGACTATCGTTCGTCGGCCCTGTGACTGGACGTTGGGTAGGGGCTATGTAGTTTATGAAAGAGTGAGCTGAGACAGTGACCCTGACGGTGTCAGTTCGATGACTGGAAAATCTGACATGGCTGCGCCGCTGCGGACAAGCAGTTCGGGCCCGCTTCTTTCTCAAAGGAACGACTATCTCCCTTTATCTAGGGGAGACTACTTCAAGCTAGGTCCGATTAGCTCCTGCATCACAAGTTGCAACACATACAGGTTGACATACCGTGTAGCGGAAGTTCATTGAACTCTTCAAGCTGCTGTCGAGTTCGAGAGAGTAGGGATTCAGTAAAAATGACCCACATCCGTCTAGTTTTGTGCACAGGCTGGACTTGTCGGCTTTTAAGTTAAGTTTGCGAATTGCGAATATGATTTGACCAACCAATGATGGCGTTAAGGTTCACGGAACGCCATTTCGAATCACCACATTGGTCCAAATACCGTCACCACGGTTGAACCAGCATGTTATGAGTGATGCGTGGCCTGTTGCGGCTCCCAAATTCATTGTGCCATACAACCGTACAGCGTGGCAAGAATACTCAGTCTTGGTTGAAAAAGACTGAGGGAAAACTAATATCGTATAGATTCCAGAAAGGATTGTTAGGGTGGGGCAGACTGAGACAGAAGGAAACGTGTGTCCAGAAGGAATTGCGCGTGTATGATAGATGTGTGTATCGGTCTCGTTCTACTGTGAAGGGGTATCTCAAGAGCCAGTGAAAACTGTCCAAGAGTTATACAGTGTGTTGACCAAACTCAGCCGCAATCAACTGAAAACGATGCCACATGAGCAACATCATCGATACAAGAGTAGATACACGACTTACCCTCGGACTTGTCTCTTGGATTCTGGCCTTCCGGGCGTTCTTGGTCAACGTAGCAAAATTTGCTACTGCAATCCTTTTTATAATCCGCAAATTTGAGTGAGTACCGAGTCACGAGGCTGAATATAATCCTGGATGCAAAGCAAACTCACATCTCTATACACGCAGGCGTCAGAGCAGCAGTCAGAGTCTTCATCGCAAGTCTTGCCAACGGCTTGACATGACGTGCTGAAAACAGTTGGTGTTGCACTGACAAATATAGATGCTGTCCAAGTAACCGCGATGGCGATCAAGGATAAACGCATTAATTGTAGGTGATATTAGATAGGTCCCTCTTGAATAGGTCTGAGAGAGATGGGGAGAAAAACAACATGATTTTATGTCCTGCAAACTTCTGAAAATCAACAAAGAATCCCGGGTGATAGGAATTGTTCGTCGGCTGTGTGACCGCGGCGCATATGGGTGGATTCTGATGTGTCGAGACTACGTATTTTTATGAAAGTGTGAGCTCACTGAAAGCGGTTCGAAAATTTTACATGGCTTCTAAGACAAGCAGCTCGGGTTCGCGAAGCGATCCAGTACTTTTGAAGTTGAGTTGAAGTCGCGGTTGGACTTGGCATTACTCTTCAAGTTGCCACCGAACTGTAGTACGTATCATTAGATCGAGAAAATGAACCACCGATACTGTGCGCGAAGAGTGTGCAGTGTTTCCACATGCTGGAGTTGATGGCCTTGAAAGTCGGTGAATCGTAAATATTTCAATACTCCTTAGTAGAAGTGACGTACGGTACCTGAAGCTTGAAGTTTGTGTTCTGAACATACTTACGACGTGCGATAAATACGTGATGTGACACTGCTGTTACATGCTTACGAGCTGTTCGGGCAATTGTTCGGGCAGTAGAATGCACCACTTCACATGATGAACTCAACCGAATGATGGCGATTAACACCAGTCATCACCCATGCCCCGAGTGATCCAGTCGGCGAAAAAAATCACCATCTTCCAGTTTCATATCTTTAGTTCCCTCATCCCTCATGTTTTTGTAATCAATATGTTGATGAGTAGAAAAAGCTGGTGCCAGAGGAAGAACTACGTATTGCTAGCCTGCACCGGTACTATACAAGTGTATTAGCAAATATGTCACATCAGTCTTAGTTGGAAAGACTGAGTCACGATCAAAACAATATTGTACGGATATGATCGCTTGTTGGGGCTGTGGACTGAGACAGAACGAAGGGAGAGGACCGCGGATAAAATGGGTATCGAAGATAGATACGTATGTGCATCGATCTCGTTCTATTGAAGGGTATCTCAAGAAGCGGCCCAAGAGCCATGATCATAATGATCAACTCAACAATCAACTATGAATTGTGCATTGAATAACAGCGTTAAGATCAAGGCAGAAGCATGACTCACTTTCACGACGTACTAGCTCCTCGACAAGTATGGAGTCGTCATCAACACAAGTTTTCGCGGTGCAATCCTATTACAAACCGCAAAAGGTGAGTCACGAGTCCGAATCTTGGATGCAAGAAAACTCACAGATGTATACGCGCACGCATCAGAGCAGCAATCAGAACCTTGCTGACAATACTTGCCAACGGCACGACATGATCTGCTGAAAACAGATGGTGTTGCATTGACAAAGATAGATGCTGGCAAAACAACCAGGACGACGAGGAAGGAAAAATGCATGGTCGTAGGAGGCAAAATAAAATCTAGCTGAAGGCTCGAATAGCTCTGGGATGGGGAGAAAGGATGCAGGTTTTTATGTCCCGAGAGCTTTATAAACGTTCTGGAAAGGATCGAAGGATAGAGTAATTATCATCGTTCGTCGGCTATGTGACTGGCATATATTCTAATCGTTAGAGTTAAATATCTTATGAAAGTGTGAGCTCACTGTCAGTTGTTCGGAAGCTGGAGTATATGGCTTCGAGCAGGCAGTTTGCATCCGATGACAAATCAGCACTAGGTGGCAATGCAACGAATCAAGTTGAATGCTTACTAAGATTCACCAAGTTGTCGCTGTACATATGGTTCGCACAAATCATCCACGCCGCTATACACGATGCACGCCGAGTGTTTCCATTCGAGTGTCTCCACATGTTGGATTGATAACGTTTAGTGTCGGCGAAGTCTAAAACGTTCAACGTAAGTATATACTTCGCGTTAATTATGACTGATAGGCTGTGATCCGTTACGATTCAGAAGCCCACTGGCCCATCAGGTTTTCGTTTTCCAGATACAGTGCTTGGCAGGTTGAGATTCCTTTCCCCCGAAAGCCTGCCACTCTCATCAGCGCTGCAGATATTAAGAGGGTTCTGTCTGTGGAATGGCCATAAGCTCACCATCCCTCGAAGGACAGATAGGCCAAAAATTGGTATTGCAGTGAAGCCAACGAGATTATCAAAGACAAGCTTAAGTATTTCGATGCTGACGTGACGTGCTACAAGTCACTTCGCTCGGCGGGGGGTTTCGGTTACTTTGCTCACTAAGCTGAGTCGTGCGAGAAGTAGCATATAAGTGGGTGAAAAGTGATCTCTGATCATGATGCATCTTCAATACTTATATGCACTTTGGGTACAATGACATTCAAGCTGGTTTTGATGTGAGACCTCGTTCTCGCGAAGTCGTTCTAGGATATTTAAATTCCTATGACACCACCAACTGAAAGCTGCCCACAAAACTTGAAAATTTCTGAGGAACAAAAATCCTTCCGTCATACAAAACCTACTTTGTGGTGGCGGGGATCAATAGCCCGTCATCGGCATAAATGTCGCTTTATCATTCCTATTACTAGAGGTTGTTGTAAAGTCATATGCCTTCAATTCACATGTTCTAGATTGCTTATCCGCGGAATATCTGATTCTGCCTATGCAAATCTGCCGGCCATAATCATTCAAGCTGATGGACCTACCGAGCCTGAGCTTCCCAAAAGCACGATTTATGGGATATATAAGCAAGTTGTCGACTCTTAGAATTATCATTCGGGATCCTCTTGACGCATCCTAGATTACCTAGCAAGAGACATGCATTTTTCATTCATCCTTGCTGCTGCTGCTGCTTTGACAACATTTATGTCTGTCAGTGCCAGGAGCCTCCAGAGGTGCTTATCAGAGGGCGCAGCTTGTGACCCGAACGAGGACATCCCTGCCGGACAGTGCTGCACCAAATTTGTTTGCGGTTTGGACGTGAGTATCCGTCGGCTTTGGATTCAACTCCATGACTTACCCCTTGTGCCTTCTATCAATAGCCTAACGACATCCACCAGACATCACATATATGTGTCAAAAAAAGTGGAAAACTGAGCGTGTTCATAACAGTGGGTCATTTTTCTGTTTCTTGTTGTCCCAATGGTCAATTTGTCACACGATATGCAGTTATGATCGATATGCTCATTGCTACACGGATTTCTGGGCTACCTCGAATAGCCTAGACTCTAGAATAACATAGCATTAGAAAAACTTTCTTGCAAATCGACAAAACCCATTTGTGTGACTTGACTTGCTTACGATTTTCATTGTGGAAAACCTCCTGTGCAAAGTTACTCTAGTTACTTAGTACTGTTACAAGGGCGACTCAGAGTCACTTCTATGAATATTCACCTGAGAATCGATCCGAATTTGATATGACCAGGTGGCATAAAACATCATGCACAGTTCGACACGTAAATCAGGCAAAAGTGGAGCTCGCACATGGCGTCCACACCATCGCTCCGTCCTTATAATATGTAGATGTCAAGGGGACAAATGGCTCAGTGGATAACCCTGGAACTGCTTCAGCAGTTGCTGGCCTTAGTTAGAAGGTTCAAATCATGATGCATTGCAATGAAGATAGGACTGTAAGCACGCCGGCTTACCTGAGTTCTCATAATCAGTACATATACCGCCGCTGATACTGAAAGCTAAGCTTTCAGTATTTCACCTTTTGGTGTAACGGTTATGCGCGGGCAGCGGGCTGACCAATGTTACAAGGACTTGGAATATTGATTCTATGGTGGTGTCAAGTGGTCTTACATCCATGTAATTAGTACCTCTAGCACGATGAAAATGACATATGATTCTGCCATCACGCTGGCAGACTCAGGGAAACGTAATTTGCTACGAAGTGCTTGGTAGCACTCTGTAGCACCCTGTAACACTCTGTAGCGCGATACTTCCCGCTGATCGGAACATGGTTCTGCCAGTTCTGCCGGCAGAACCACCTTGAATTAGTCCTGCCCACAACACTAGCAACTTGAAATCCCTGCAGCTCCTGGGTGCAATTCCCGGACACTTACGGGCCAACCAGGGCTGACTTGGTCAGTTGCCAGAAGCCAGTGGTCTCAACCCACAACGTTCAACCAAAAAATAAAAATAAAAAAGTTATGTCTAGATTTAGAATTATACATTATAATCTTTGCACAAACGCCAAACCCTTGCCTGAGACTCTTGTCTATGCCTTCGACGCTCGAAGTTTATCGGGATGTTGAAGCTATGTTTGAGGTAAACTAGATACACGTAGCGCAATGAAAAACTGATTGATGTAGTGAAGGTTTTTGGGCAAAGGCCCGAAGGGCTTTTCGGCCCGGTGCATGCGCGCGAACCTAAGGGTTTCAAGGTGAGCCGTGATGGGCAGGCGGGCACCGATCAGATGCGTGAGGCTTGAAACCAGGAAGCGAACGCAATACATCGAACAAATAGTTAACGATTTAAGTGAGTTAATTATTTCGATTTGAGAGAGGGAGCGGTGGGTGGGCGCAAGGAACGACAAAAATTTAGCGTAGATAATACGAGAGATACTTGTCTGCTGTTGCGAACCAGGACAAGAGGTGTTGCGCCACTTGCCTCGTGACTCGGCTGACGCAGAAAACCAATTAGCACCAACACGGTCTTCGCCGGCGGCCCGTCTTCACATCTATCCTGGAGCAGGTTACGAAGTCGTTCCCATGACCAACTAATGGCACTGTACATCCTCTACCTTGGTAGGAATAACGCTTCTCCTGGCCCGACATGCGACTGCGAAGAGGATTCACAATGTTCTCGAAATTCACGCTTCCGCCGCTGGTGTTCATCATAGGCTACATGTTTTACTTTCTTTATGAACCGCATGGAAGCATCGGCCTCGTATTTCATCAACGAGCATGGATACAGCGTGAAATACTCCCATTATCCCCACTTGCAGGATGTTTTGAGCCTGAGCGCATCAGCTCACTATACAACATCAGTGACGCTGTGTATGGCGGGAAACGGTTTGAGGTTCAGGCAGGTGTACCATTACGGCTGGGTATGGACTGCTATGACTTAGCGGGAATAATAAGATTTGCAGAAGGGGAACGAAAGGCAGAGGAACGGTATATCTTACCAGATGAGCGAGCACAGTTCCACACATATTGGCGCATCGATCTTGCACCTTTCGGCGAGAGACAAGAGTACATGCTAAAGTCATTTTTCGCTACGCAAGACCTCCCCCGCTCTCGTCTCATGCTCTGGTCAAACGGCGACCTATCACTCAATCCAATCGTGCAAAAGTATCTCGATCTGTTTCCTGGCTCGTTCACACTTCGGATAGTGGATATACCTGAATTAGCCAAGGGCACGGCGATGGAGAACCACCGCTTACTCAATCTCGAGGACAAGAAAGCATGGGTAGACGGCGACCTCATCCGTTTACTTGTCATCTGGGCATACGGCGGCGCTTGGATAGACATGGACATGCTCCTAACTCGAGACCTCTCTCCATTGCTTGAGCACGAATTCGTAACGCAATGGGACTGCTACGGTAATCCAATAATCAACTCTCTTTCATCCACTTATCTACAAGTTTTCTCAGATAAGATTTACCAACCATTCAACGGTGCGCTCATGCACTTTCGCAAGCACTCGCCTTACCTCTGTGAAGCCTTCCATCTCATGGCACACAGCACTCCCCCACGTTCTCCAAGCACTGATTGGGGTTCAGTTCTTTACCATAGGCTATGGCGACGCCTCCTCAACGAATCCATACCTCCCTTCAAAATTTTACCATTCTGCTTCTCCGACCCTCTGGTATGTCGTCTCGACAACAGAGCGCCAGAGCCGTTTGAGCCTGATCGCATAGACGGGAAGTGGACCGGCAGACCCGGGGAGGGGCTTGAGGAGGGTGGGGCGCTCGATAGGGCGCTAGGGAAGATATTTGCTGTGCATTTGCATAATCGGTGGGATCAAGCATTTCCCAAGGGCGGTTGGGTGGACCGGCTATTGTTGAGGAGGCACGAGGAGGAGTTGAAGGTGCGAATAAATGGTAATTTTTGATGTTGTGACCTGCTGTGAGTGCCTGGTTCCTGAGCTGGAGGTGACATGCGCTTAAGCACATCCGCTACGGACACGAACTCCAGCACTTAAATGAACTTATGATGGAACATGTACACAATATATTATATATTATGTGTATTTTCCATGATATGATGACCTCGGCAATCAATAGGCTGCACAAGGCAATGCGGGCGAAACACGACGCAGAGCGCCTCCACCAAAAGACCATCCCTCCAAGGCGTCGATATCGAGTAACATTGGATTACACCAACACATTGATTTTTGTGCAATGCACTAGACTCAGATCTCTATCGCAATTCACTGTCACCATAGGAATCCTACTTTCATCTGATTACATCTTATTTATATCAGACGGCTCCTTGCTAAGACTCACGATACGTCAGTGCATGCACAGGAGGTTCCGTAAATGGGCGTAAGATCATCCTGTCCATCACGCCTGGTACAATTTTATCGCGCCATAATTCCAAGCGATGTGTGGATCGAATCTCTAGTCGACGATGATCTTTCGCGAAGTGGACCAAGTGGTGAGGACTAAATTCATTGATATATCCACTGTGTGGAAATCAAAGTGAAGTATACCAGTCCTCGTTCAGTTGAACATGGAACCAAGCGTATGCTGCGGTCCCCCAAATCCAATCAAGGTAGGCTGAGAATTGAGTTCACAAATCGGCTGTGAGTCCTGACAGGTGAACTTCGGAATGTTAGAATGGCACTACGCCAGACGAAACAAAACGATAGTAGATTGAGTGGTTCGTCGTTCGAGCGACCAAGACAAGGGTAGGGTGTCCATGAGATGAACATGAAGGTTGCTGGTAAGACTTTCAAAAATGGGAAACATGGGACAAGCAGTTGGATATTCGCTCATGAATACATCTGTGTAAGAAAAGTCATCCACGAGAGAATGTAAGAAGATTGTCACGGCGCGTTACAGAGCTTTGACTTGTCATCAATAGAATAGATTTCTATACTCCCGGAGGTAACAACTTGGACGAAGAACTTATCCTCTGTAATGGAGGAGTAGTCGCCGATATATATAGTGGAGAAGGATCGAGCTGTCATTATCCTTTAATTTCTAGCCAAGTTGACTTGTACAGTGAAGGAACTGGTGACCCATCTTGGATTTCCAGTCCCACTATATATGCAAGGCGTCGTCCACGTTTGTGATAACAGCCCGACATAGCATACTAACGTAATTCACGATGATGACGAGTACTTCCAAGAATGATTACCTGCATCGGAGTGGGTGTCCTTCGTCATCAGCGATTCCAGATGAATCTCGTGTCCAAGATCCCGCCTGCCTACATATGCAGTCTAGCGTGAGACATCACTGAGCGAACATAATGGACTCACAAGTCTCGTAAGCGTGCCAATAAAGTAAGCAGGTCTTGCCCAGCACAGAAAGTGAAGTTTACTAAGGTCGTCGTGTTGACTCCAGCAATGGGAGTATGATAAATCGCCAAAATCGGACGTGTTGGATGGCAGTCGTGCAAAGTGGATGCAGTTTCCCTGAACTGAATTATATATACCGCCCCAAAACGCATTTACATTTCTGAAGTCCTAAAATTGGTAAGGGTAACGTGCATTTTAGTTTGAGTTCAACTCGTATTACCGTCATATAGTCCAAGTCGTTTGCGACGCGTAGCGAGTGGCACTTCTGAGGATCCCAATGAGCTCATTTGAAAGTAACGAGGTGAGAAGGGTGAGCAGTGATCACAGTGAGATGAATGCACCTGTTCACCCGCCTTTCGTACCTGCAGAAGGTCGTACGAATCGAAAAATGACAGGGTATGATACAAAAGCTCCGATGAGAGCTGCACTATCAGTGTTTTTGCCCGCATGATCTGGACCTGATACAAATCCATATTACAATCAGGCAAATATAAAGCTTTTGCATCAGAACTGAAAACAAAGAGCAAGTCGACGTTTTAGTTGAGCGGAAATGTTAAACAAAATTAACGTCACTTGAACTTGGAAAGGTGCAATAATTATTAATGAAAGCGCACGTGTAATTCCATTTTTGGTGTGTGAAGTAGCCTTATGCTCTGGGAGCACAGGGCTGAATGACAAGAACAAGACTGATGTCCTCCAACGGCGCAGCCATCACCCGGAATGACTCGAAGTCCCCAGTCCATGCCAGACCGTTTTCTCCTCTTAATCACGTCGTAAATGTGGATGGTCGCTCATCTCTAGACAGCGAACGCAGCTCCACGTCTTCTCCCATAGTTGGCGTCAATGGACATCATTCCCGTGCCCTCATGGACGAGGAGGGCTTGGACCCCGTCGAGAAGCTGACGAGAGAACTCAAACACGAAAGAGAGGAGAAAGAAAACCTTGCTGCACAGTATCGTAACCTCCTGGCCAAACTCACCACCATGCGTACAAGTCTAGGCAACAAGCTGCAACAGGATGCTGTACGTTTATATTGAAATATCTATTATTTTTTTGTATCCTAACAAACTATGCATAGGAAGAACTCGATAGGAGAGAGCAACTTGTTCAGCATCTTACGGCGCAGAATGAGGATCTGGTCTCCACAGTCGAGACTTTGAAGGCCGAGCTCATCGCATCTCATGAAGAAGCAGAACGCAATTCAAAGGAGCTAGATACAATTCGAAGTCAGGTCCTGAACGAGAATGCGCAGGAAAGTCTTCTACGTGAACGTGAGCTTCGGGAGACTTTGAGTGAGCTCGAGCGATGCCGCATTGAGCGTGGCGAATGGGAACGCGCCACGATGCAGGAGAAGATGTTGGGTGATGAAGCAAGATTGAGCCTGGAGACGTTGAGGCGTGATCTGGAGATGGAACGCGAAGCTCGAGATCGAGAGTCAGTTGAGTTGGTCGCAGCGCGGGAGACTGCGACTAACTTACAGTCAGTTCTAGAGGATTTCTCAGCATGTAAGCAATGTCATACGTATTTTATGTTCAGGTTGTCCGTGCTAAAACATTGGCAGCTAAGGAACACGAACTTTCACAAGCCGTGAAGGACTACCGATCTCAGCTCGATGATGTCAACATGTCATTAACCGAGTTTAAACGACGAGCTCTAGACGCAGAGGTCCGCCTCGTGTTCTGGTCGGTCATCTAACTGAGCTCAAATATCAGACAGGCCCAGCTTGACGAACTGAAAATCAATGCCTCGCGAACACAAGAGCTAGAACAGGACGTCAAGGAGAAGAATCTATTGATCGGGAAGCTGCGACACGAAGGTCTATTTTCATCATCGCACATGTTGCCTAATATCAATATTCTTTTCAGCTGTAATCATCAACGAACACCTGATGGAAGCCCTCCGTAGACTTCGGCGCAACTCATCTGATACGAATGTAGACCGGAGATTGGTCAACAACGTTCTTCTATCGTTTCTTTCGACTCCACGCGCCGATGCAAAACGCTTCGAAATGCTCACGCTCCTTGCATCTATTCTATCATGGACGGACGCCGAACGTGAAAAAGCAGGCCTCCAGCGTTCCTCGATAACGGCTTCATCTGGTACTTCATTCTGGGGACGTTCATCAAATATCGGGTCGCCGAGTCAAAAGGACAGTCGATTTAGAAAGGACAGATGAGACCGAGGTAATACCATAAACTTTATTGCTGCAACTGCAAGTTCACCGTTTTTCTGCTCTAGTCCTTTTCCCGGCTCTGGGTAGAATATTTGCTTACCGAAGCAAATCAGGGCGAAATGCCCGCAAGACAGACACGTCCGAACGCCTCTGTCCCAAACAGTCCTTTGCACTCACCAAGTATTCTCTCCTCGCCAACGGGGCTGAAGGGAACACGACGCCTCGCATCGTTCACTGGCGCAGCAAGCGCGGCAAGCTTACCAAGCTTGGCGCTGCCGCCGTCCCGGAAGGGTAAGGAAAAGGAGGTCGTACCGTGACGTCTGCCGGTCGGAGTTGCCGATGCGATGCTCGTCGTTATCTGACTTTATTCCGTTTTTTCACGCGGGGACACGTAGCGTCGTTTTTTGATTCCCATATTATTCAGGGCACGCGTTGCTGTAAGCCGACTGCCTTGTGGGAGATTATAGTCTCTGGTACAGTAGTATTAATAGCACCAACTCAAATGCAGCAAAGAAGATTGATACGACATCTGTAAAGTTGTAGATGGATTCTGATGGAAGGTGGTTTATGTGGTTTGAAAAGACACATAAATATGCTGCTCATTGTCCCGCAAGTTGATGAGTGAGAGCCTTCTATAGAGCGACATGACAACTTGGGATGGACCAAGGAATGTTTTTGTTTTGATTTTATTTCCATTTTTGTCCGAGTACTACTCCATGCAGGACGATACTATCTAGCCTAAGGGCCCCCTGCCCCTGCTGCAGACCAAGGCAACTATCATTGAAGATGTGGGCTGCGAAATTACTGTAACTCATAAGAACAAGCGCGCTTAGCTGCGGGTCTTTCGCAAACAAAATTCTCCAAGGAAAACTCAATTCAATGCAAGGAGCATTTTGCGGGGGTCCTCGATGTAGTCACGAACCTTCACTATAAACGCCGTCAATACGTTGGGTGAGACCAAACGACAGAAAGAGTACGAACCCAAGAATGTAACTGCCTCCCGACCATCGAGTAGTCTGTGGTCATAGGTGAGAGCGACAACCATGATGGGTCGGATGACGATCTGGCCGTTGACTACGACAGGCCTGTCCTTGATAGCGTGCATGCCTAGCACAGCGGACTGTGGCAAGTTGATGATGGGCGTTCCGTACAATGAGCCGAAGACACCACCATTGGAACTGGATGCGTGAAATTAGTCTTGGTTTAGGCAGATCATCAAAAAAGCTTACATGGTGAAGGTGCCTCCTGCCATGTCCTCGAGAGTCAACTTCCCGTCCCTGGCCTTAGTGCCGAGAGCGGCAATCTCCTTCTCGATATCAACAAAGCCCATGCTCTCGGCATTCCTCACTACGGGAGTGACCAAACCCTTCGGAGTCGCGACAGCAACACTGAGGTCGACGTAATCATGGTATACAATCTCGTCACCCTCAATAGATGCGTTTGCAGCAGGAATCTCCTTCAGTGCCAGCGCGCACGCATGAGCGAACGCGCTCATGAAGCCTAGCTTAACGTCATGTTCCTTGAGCACCTCATCCTTGTACTTCTTTCGCATCTCCATGAGAGACGACATGTCGATCTCATTGAAGGTTGTGAGCGAAGCGGCAGCGTTTTGAGACTCCTTCAGACGTTCGGCAATGCGCAGGCGCATACGGTTCATCTTGACCTAAGGGGTAGAGATATGTTAATATCTTTGAAGGAGGCGTAGCAATGAAATGCTTACCCTAGTCTCACCCCGGTTGCCTGGTGCTTTTGGCGCAGCGGGAGGTGCGTTTGACTTGACCTCCTTTGGTTTGGAGTCCTGCTTCACTTCCTTCTTGGACTCCTTAGGAGTCTCAGGAGGAATTCCGCTACTCAATCTGTCGACACCTGAGGGTGCGAGAGGCTCCGGCGTGGTCTTATCCAGTTGTTGGTCTTTGGGTTCTTCAGGGTCTACCTTTTTCTGTTCTTGAGGGGCGGGAGATGCTAGAACCATGTGAAGAAATGGTGTGTGATCAAAGACGTGGTACCTACCATCATATTCACCGGGTTCGATTCTGAAGAGGTCCTGGCCGACGTTGACAGTGTCATCCTCTTGTGCGAGCAGCTCCACAATTTTCCCTGATTTAGGCGCGTTCACAGAAACATCGATCTCCGGGAAAGCACGTTAGTGTGTTGTTGGTGCGATAAAGATGGAAATGAAATGCTACTCACCTTATCCGTCTCAATTGTCGCGACTTCCTCATCAGCCTCGACGCTATCCCCAACCTGTTTTGACCAAGACCGAAGAGTACCTTCGGAGATGGACTCTGCCATCTGTGGCACTTTTACGGTCTCGACTGTAGATCAGCGAGGACAGCCCACATTTGAATGATCATGCTCCGTTATTTAGATACTAAAGCTGACCTTGGAGGAGATGTGATGAGTGGAACTGTGCGCATCTCATTTGCGAGCTGGCGACTTTCCTAGACAGACAAGAAATTGATCGCCCATTAGCTATGCTGCCAGTAGAGAACACAACATGCAAAGAACGCGCACCATCCTTTCGACAACGATACAGCAGTGTCACGATATTGGGCATTTCTGCTTGCAAGAAAAGCACGACTGCGTGCTACAGCGATGACCTGTTTTGATAGCATGTTCTAAGTGAGTCGGATTAATGTAGTGGATGATGTACAGGAAATAAGAGAGGTATATTCCATGGAGCCCGAAGTTTCATCCATGGGTACGGAACAAATTGATGTATAATGATACAGCCACAGCCGCGAACACGGTACGTCGCCGGCGGGGCGCCGATCTTCTACTCTCAACTCACACATCCACATACTTTTTTTTCAAGAGTTTCTTGGTTTTCGCACCGACAATGAGAAACAGTTCAATTCGGCGCCCTCACGCTGTCCTGGCAGCCTACCCGACAGGACGTTCATGGTGCCTGAAAAAGTCGTTACATTGAATGATCGGCAACCTGGCAACCGAGCCACAGGAAAGATTGAAGACAACCTTGACATGGAACCACGAAATCACTAGTTGCGGTACCTGCGGGAGGCTCATTTGAGGGTGACAAGGATCAGACTGTTCAACAGAAACCCACCGCAAAACATCCCAATCTTGATGATTTAGTGGAGGACCAAGTATGTCCACAACGTCAATATTATTGATATATTGACAAGCCCTTCAGAATAAATTATTAGGCGGTGAATGCTCAGACCCTGGATCGCGGCGGCTTATAACTAACTCAGACTAATATTCCGACGTCAATCATGACGCAGAAAACCATTTCGATGACGATGAACTCGGAGATGATATTGATTTTCTGTACTCATGGACACCCATGACAGGCGATTATAATACTTTCCTGCATATCTTTAGTATGCAAAGACCTGCGGTGCAGTGACATACGACTCTTCTCACAAGCGAGTCAACTGGGCAGGCAGTATCACTTATCAGCATATCCCAAAAATTCGCCTCACTTAGCATAATTTACAGCTTTTCCAAACACCGCAGGTTACCGGCGTACCTCTCGCCGCCTCGAACAAACGCCCTCCGTGCGAGAGTCGACATTCATTCGTTTCCAGCCTCGATACGGTCCGATTTGGACAATTGGAACCCTCGTCGTATGGTGCTCTGCATGTGTGCAATAAAAGAATGAGAGTTGAAAAACACCTCATGGCACACATTCAAGACCTATTCTTGGATATGAGACCTTTTATTATTGAACTCTATTGTTTCTGATATCTTGAGTCGGCGTACTTCTGGCAGCATCATTTCAGTATTTTTTTCTCCTGTAAACTGGAGCTCACTTATAACATGCGTAGCTATACAGTTCTATATAATTTTCTCATCTTAATGTGTAGCAAACAATGAGATATGAAAAATGTGGACGTCAGATTTTGCAACAGTATGCGCAATACATATACGAAGCAGTGTCGTGAACTTGCGGATAGCTCCAGTCCAGCGTAAAATGCTTTCACTCACATGTACAGTGAAACCTGTTTTCCGAGTCCGGGTATATTGATGGGTATACAGATGGGTATAATTACTATCCACGGGTATGTGCAAATGTAACAATTCTATCTCGCTGGTCACTATCTTCCACGGGCGAGAGCGTTAATGGCTCTGAGGTGTATTCCCCCAACTGTGTGCCAGCGCTATCTGTCTGAGTTCCATTATCAACAGGTGAAGGTGACCGAGGGGTAGCAGAATACGGTGTAGATGGTGCAGTCACTGCAAAGAGACGGCGGCTAGACTCGCATGGTCGATAGTCATTCGCCGTCGTCCACAATCTGACCGCACCATCGTGGCTTCCCGTAGCAAACATGAAAGGGTTGTCCGAAGCATGATTCCATGCGATACACGTCAGGTCCCCGCCTAGGGCTTGGGCACGGACATGATGGAGAAGCACGGCTGAATCGCGATCCCAGATATGTATATCACCAGCTGTTCAGTACTTCTTTAGTTATAGGGCTAAGAGGAACCGGAAATAGCGCACCCTTGCCGGCACAAAGCACAAGCTGATCATCCTTGCCCCCAAAATAGCTCGGTCCTGCAAAGTCAACTAGCACCCTGGGCATATAAGTATGACGCAGAGTCAGTCGCGCCTGATCCTTAACCATTTCTAACTTCCACAACTGGGGGAATGCCTAGATATATCCACGAGAGAAACTGAGAAAAATAACCGTAATGCGATATACTGACGGACCTTGTTTTCGTAAGATACCAAAGCTACTTGCCCGTTCTTAGCCAGCATTATATCACGAACATCATTGAGTATTGGTGTCTGGCTGCCACAAGTGGTTAATACATGCCTTAAAGCAAGCTGATGGGCTCACTTTTCTATAACCTTCGTCTGGATGTTATAAACTAAAATAGATAAGAAGTCAGATCCCACGAAAGACGACGGTAAATTCACCCAAAAGCTGCTTTTCTACTCGTGACTTGCTAGGATGCAATCCTTTTGGAGAATATAGGATCGGCCCGACACACAACAACCGCTGTAGATCGTGAGTAATGGCCACATCATGGATGAACACCCGATTGAAGCGATACGTGTCGAGGACCTGAAGAACGGGACTTCAGCGGCATTCCAAAAAAATTGACCTTAGTGCGCGCACATTGCCATTAAGATCCTGTCGGAATGAGTGGACACGTCATAAATAAGAGCGCGGTAGCTACTCACCAATTTGACCACTTCGCTACCCTCAACAGACAGAAATGCTACAGAGATCACTGGTTGGCATAGTCTGCGGGTGCCAATATTTTGGGGCCTCACCTTCCCCTCCAGGCAGCCATGTGATTGACTGGACATACTGGTGACGTTCGATGGTTTTCCGACACACCCCATCCTAAAAATGTCACATAAATCAGCACGCCATTGCCCTTCTTCCAGTTCAACGAACCTCTGTCCAAACTTTGATAGCCCGATTCAGCCGTGTAAGGAGAAGCACGCCAACTGGGGACCTTATCAAAACATCAGCAAGCCATGACTACGAAGCAAAAATAGCGTACCAAACAACTTGACCAATAAAGCCAGAAGCATATGCAAGCACACGATGGGGCACACAAGGATCCTATAGGGATATTATTGCCACGTTTCGATCTACCACTAGTACCACACACCCCGACACGGAAGATGATGGACGTCCGATCCCAACTATTAAAAGCATTAATAGATAGCGTACTCCACAGGCTAGAAGGTCCTACCTTGAAGTCGCCAAAAACTTCCCATTGGGTGAAAACTGTAAGTGCCTGACGAGTGCTGAATGCGCAGCCAAATCTTGCGTTATCTCTAAGCTCTTGAGCTTAGGTATGAGGGAAGCGACTTTGGATCCTCTACATGTTCTAGTGACACCTGTCTCTGGCATCATCCTCGATACATCTGTGAACACCGAGGAAGTCGTTCGTTTCCGCACAGGAGAAAATGGGTTGCTAGGAGAAGATGTTGTAGACTGAAGCATCATGACGGATCGAATGGCACTTGTTAAACGGTCTCGCGGTGTAATCGAAGAGTTTGACGTGCTGCTGAAGGTGGTGCTTGGTGACTCCAAGTTAGGATGTAAAAAACCCTCGGCACTAAAATGCGAGTAGGAGTCTGTAGATTGTCGGATGGGTGATAGCGGAGAGAGGGGTTCAGGAGAGCGTGATGTAGTGTGAGCATAATCGCCAGCAGTCAGGCTGTCGCCTTGCTCTATCGCGCTTGTTGTGATTGTCCCCATCGATGACACCCGTCTAAATTTGTGTCCTGCAAACTCCACGCCCTTTTGCACATACCGCAAGCCCCAAACAAAGCTTTTTCTGACGATTGAGACCAGACGCAGGGCCATGAGGCATTGCAGAGCATCTTTCAGAACGTCAGAAAGCCACTTCGTCCCACGATGATGCACAAATGTCCATTTTTCAGAGGCAAACCAGGCTGAAACCGCTGCTAGGCCAAACGAGGTGAACGCAGTAAAAACAGTTGTGATTGTAGATGTAACTTTGCCCTGCGATACATCATGAGTATAAGGAAATATTGAAAATAGCCAAGGGAACTTACCTGTTGCGTAGAATATGTGAATAGTACAAGTCCAGCCGAGAAGCACGTCACAGACATCACCAAAAATACTAGGGGTGATCGTTTAATCCATGTCAGTACCCACCACGGTACGCGATCACCAGGTGATCGACTGCCCACATCAGCTGGAACCCACTTCAAGTCCGAGAAGACTTACTACATAGCTTGTTTCCAAGAAAGCCCCAGCAAACTATTAACAGCGGCAGCGATGCTGAATACAAGCGAGGAGAACCAGAATGCATTGACTGCGTCAGAGAGCATATCTCCGGTTTGAGAATACGAGAACTGCAGCGTGGTGGCAGTGACGGCGGAAAAGAAGGTGGCCACGGTTGACAAAGTTAAAAGATCGGCTGCATCGTGCTTTTGTGCGAATCGAATAGTTGGGACACCTCGGACTAAATCAGAGTTATGTCGCCTGGATAGACCACGGGATCACATACCAACTTCGATGAACATAGACAACGTTCCAGTGATGCTATCGATGTGCTCTCCCATTTCAGCCATAAGGTCGTGAACATAACGCTGCACAGCAGGATATTTGAATTGTCCTAATGTAAGATATTTAGAATAACGGGCCATTGAGTCCTACGAGAGTGAAAGAGGCTTACCTCTGTAATCTTGTAAACAACATGCCCAGTACTGCTGACAATTAATCAAGCGCTGGTTAAAAAGGTGCGAATGCATACCTTCAAATCGCCTTCAAATGACTGTATCAAAGTGTTAACGGCCTCGTCGGTGAACTCCGGAAAATCGTTCAGGCATTTCAAGAAGGTCATGAGGTCAGCAGCAAAGTTTTCAAACTGCTCTGAGAGGCCCTCAAGATCCAAGTTGTCTTCAGTATTAACTGGAACACGTCCTGGCATGCTCTTCCGCCGCCGGGCGTTGCGCTTTCTGTTCATTAGATTGGGGTTGACCAAAAATTCGCGTTGTTGACGAGAGATCTTGCGAGGAAAGAGATCAGCCGCATTGTCCCGGAAAAGGAAGAGGACTTGTGCAAGACGTTCGCGGAGCCGAAATGCGGAGGACAGAATTCCGACAGAACTACCAAGTTGTCGTGCAGCATTGCCAAAGTTTCTGAGCTGTCAGTGTGAACACAGCATCAGCATAACCAGCCACAAAGCTTGTTGTTAAATAGCAGTGACCTCTTTGTCGAGACTATTGATCCTTCTGAAGGAAATTTTAATGGAAAAAATTACAGGATCGATGGTGAACGAACTTCTGGAATTTGTTAAATGCCTCTGCTCCAGCAACTTGTAGTTGCTCGTCAACAGTTGCTAATCCGATGTTCAACAAAAGGTGCAGCTGTCAGACGGTCCTACTCACGGACGTCTCTGTCGTCCTCAAAGCTTGGATTCTGATCAAAGTCTGAGTTGAGATGTCGATGAGCAGCCTAAGATTGTATAGCACGAAAAGCTAACCTCGGCCGAGAGATTCAGCCTGGCTAAGCTCGTTTAAAGCATTCAGGAGATTGAGCAACGTCTGCCTCCGTTTCGTATCTAATCTTGGAAGATCGACACGGGGTCGATTGACAGTCTCCCCAAGGAGACCACCTGTGTGATCTTTGGAAGGGCCAGCTGCAGGTGCGGGATCGGTAGCTGGGAAATTGTTCACAGGTTCAGCCACGTTTCAGTTCGTGAAATGAAAACATTCATACCATGATGCATATTATTATATGCGGAAGCTGTGGCAGCTGTGCAAGAGCCGTCAAAGATAGTTTCACTGGTTATGAAACTTTTGGTAGGACTACGGACTTGATTGAGGTTTTTATGAGAGTGCAGGTGGTGCTGCCAGCGAGTGGAGTGCAGCACGCGAGAAGTACTAACGATACATTCAAAAGACTCAGCTGTCACGAAAGGAGTTGGTTTTCGCTTCCTGTAGCTGTGTACCGAATTACTTGCCGTATCATAAACACACTGCCATAATGCATTGATAGACCTGAGACGTGACTTGGCACAAACTTGGCAGGCGGTATAATATATTTAATAATAACTTATGATGGTTCCAGATACCGCTTTTTAAATCGTCAACTTCCCCAGCACAGTCTTTCGCTCACTTTTTGTTACTTGCCCGCTGTCGCTAACGACGAGCTCAAGGGCCGTGCTGCCGAACCGTGGCACCTTGAACCACGTGCCAGGCCCTGTTATCAATTGCTTCCACCAACTATTTTATTAGCCAAAACTCCAGAAATCGATCCGAACGGCGAACACTGTTCATGGCGACTCTCGTTCGCACCCAAGTCTTACAGCCCGTCGGGCAGGACGAAATACTTCGAACTTCCATTCCGAAACCATTTCCGAGCGCAGATGAAAGAGAACGATTACTTCAGGAAGCACTTCTGGAAGAACTTGCCGAAGAGCCAGTAGAATATGAACCTCATACCAATGGAAGCATATCGCAAAGCAAGCCACGATCGGCAGCACTACACAGTGTAAACCATATTGCACCAGAAAGACTGTTCGTGAGTGATGGATACCTTAGCAACGTGTCTGTGAATATTGCTTAGCCCAATCTTGCAGACGGTGATCATGCCATCAATCACTGCTGTACAGTATTCGTGTCTCATGACACTCAATAATTTGTTATCTGTCCCTATAAGATGGCAGCCAATCGTCCCAGACAGGCGCCATTCGATGCCAGCCTCTATGCATTGCGAGCAGGCGCTGCAATCATACTCTGCTCTTGAAACGCTTGTGTTAAATCTCAGAAATCATGACGGTGGGGAGATACCTCTCAAAGCTCTGGATGACCACACAGCTCTCCTGGAAGAACTAAGGGATCGAGTTGATGCCCTAGCGCCTTCTATGAACCGACAGGATGCACATTTTGCACAAATCATAGTATCGCTCCTTCTGGACTTGGACCAGTTGCCTACAGTTTCTTCCACTTTGGATTCAACCCTTCAGGCATCTTCATCCACTTCTCCTGGCCTTGTCGCTCGACATCCTGTTGATCTCTTAAGTACCTTGAAAAAGCAGCTTGGCGATCTGCAATCGGAAGGGAAGGCAAGGGCAAGCATCCTCTCTTCACAGTCCCCAGTACAAACCGTGCAAGCCGCGCTCCTTTGGTCCAAGATTGAACGAAAGCTAGAAGCTGTAACAGCACTTTGTAAAGATCGCGCCGATTCTCGCCGGTCCCCCTCCATAGATCATCTCCCCCCTCAATACGACCACGTAGGCCATGACTTCGAGACACCCCCAGAATATGATGCCGAGTATCAATCATCTTACGAGAAGGCTGGCATTCAGTCACCAAGGTTGATACCATCTCACAGTATTTCCAACGAGAAACTGCGCATGGATTTTGATGCCGTGACGTTGGCAATCGAGCGTCTGTACATCGTTGCACCCCAATTACACAATCAACGAGTGGAATTGAAGAGCTCCAAGCTCGCTCAAATGGAGCGTGCACGGCTTGAAGGTCCTAAAGTCCAGCTTTCCTCATCTAAGGGGAAGCAGAAAGCTCATGATCGGGATATGCGCGACCTCGACCACATATTCGAGCTCCTCCGGAAAGCGTCAGACCGCAGGCTGACTGATCAGTCAGTTGTCATGGATAGCAGACGAATGGTCAAGCAAAGCAAGGCAAAGCAGGAGTACGAAAATCAGGTATTTCTCGCTTACTTCGGTCAGAGATGATCGCTTATTGAAGTAATCCCTTCAGCGAGGTGCATTCGTCGACCAACTTGTCCAACGTTCGGGAGCCGGGAGATTGCATGACCAAGATGCCATCCTGCAACCGAAAGTCAGAGCCCTGGATGAGCTTGTCACGCTCCCTGAGTTCATTCGCGAGTCAATGTCGAGTATCCCGTCCGAGTCACGTCAATATACGTCCTCCTCTGGAGATGCACTTGAGGAGCCGGTTCCTGACGTTACGGCAACCCACAAGAAGTCACGCAGTCGAAGCATATCTGCCCCACAATGGTTGCGCCCTGCAGCGGAATTTAGCCGACGGTTGTCCAAGAGCTCCAGCAGGCCATGCTCGTCCCACGGTTTTGTCCAATCCGGAACCGAAGAGTCGCAGCAGCAAGGTAAGAACTCAGAAATTATCGCTGATAAAACTAACCAAAGCTTTGCAGGGGGCATTGCACTCAATGTTTCCTACATTGCCGAATATCACGAGACCTTGAGACATGTCCTAGTCTTCGTAGCAGTATCAGGCATTCCCGTTGATACAGAACTACATGCTGAAGTGTTGCCAACGTCATCCACTGGGACAGAAGGTGATTGGCTAGTGATTAGGAGTTCCTGGGCCTCCTCGCCTCCATTAAGCCTGCCTGTCCGAGTCGCTCCTGGGAAGAAAGATATCCAAATTCGTCAAGGACACTACGAGCTCAAACTTGGGATTGCGAACCCACAGGCGGCGAGGTCCTCTTCACCTGATGAACCTACTCCATTGATTTCTGCTGAGCAACTCCTATTATCGAAGCCGACATCCTGGTCCTGCATATCCTGCTCGCTCCCCCTCGTCCATATCCCAAAGTTGATCAAATACCGCGACCTGCCATCAGAACATTGGGAAGAACTTGTCGATTCCTGGATGTGCCATGCAGACCAAACACTACACAATCACGTCGCGAAGCATGGACGTGGTTTCTGGCCAGAGGATAATGAGGCTCTGGTCGGATGTGGCTACATCCTCTTCCAGCAATCGGCCATAGTAACCAACAATATCTCCTGCACCGAACAGCCCCTGGTAAATACGCATTTCCTGTTAAACTCGTGCTATTACAGGACGATCAAGAAGACCGACGTTGGGCTTCCACCAGCGGCTGCTAGTCGATCATCGGTGCTCTGCTCTGATGCCTTAGAAGCCCCCGCAGGTTTCTTTGCACCATCAAGTAGTGGGGCATGCGTCGTGAGACTGCAGCAAGTTTCACTTTCGGTTGATACAAAACGTCCAAAATTGAACGCGGGGCAACTCGCGAGTCGCTCTTTCAAACAACTCTCTTCACTGAGGATCATGTGATGGGTGCTACGCTCGAGTGCACAATTTTTATGACTTTTTTGAAATTTTTTTGTTTTGTTTTGTCGATTTTGATGGTAAACTAATTTCTTATTTTCAGCGAGATGAAGAGTCGTGGTTAGCACGATGTATATGTGGCGCAGTAATTGGTCGGCGGCATGAACGACATGGCGCAGATGGCGCAGTTTCGGCGATGTACCGTTTGTTCAAGTATGCGGTGCGGCCAGTGAGCCAAATAGCAGAGTTCGTAGTCCCACAGTATACCTATAGCAGCGCGCTGATGGCCTTACAGACTTCCCCGATTCCCAATGTCTGCATTCATCATGCAAGACATGCTCGAGCATGTGTCTGCTCATGCAACGTACCGCTTTGTTATCTCTGATGAGGAAGAGGAGCGGCCACGAATTTTGGTTTGTTGTGATTTTTAACCATATTGCTTAAATTTCTCACACTCCGCGTAAGATATGGCTATTCAAACCGAAGATTCGTGTCTCGTATATGCTGCATACACCATACCTTCTTCCGAAACAGGGCTCCATCGACGCGTCAAAAGTGTTGTATAGAATTTTGGGGCCGTCGTCGTCAACGATGGCTTTGAAAGAGTGCGTGGTCTTCGATGAACATTACCTCGTCCCTCTAACCCCTTTCTTATACATAGCCTACTCTCTCGATACCCTGGGTTTCCTCAAGCGGAGCACCTCTTCTATCCAATCGACGTTTGTCGCAAGCTCGCAGGACTCTTGACGGAGAGCACCCATTCGTATCCAGAGAACACGAGGACGATGACGGGCTTGGATGTTGGATGGTTAAATCGTGGATACTGATAAGTAGACATCACACTTTCCCGTTTTTGCACCAATTCGAGTAGTGTTTGTTGGACTCAAGCACTAGCGTCACGCTCCGTCGGAATGACTGTTATGTGATACTATATTTGATAACCTAGACAAGCATCTGCGTAGGTCTATATCGTACACAGCGCCATGCAATGCTACGGACGTAGTAGTATCAGGCAAAGGTCTCCGCTTCGTGAGGAGTTTTGTTGGTTCTGACAATAAAGACAAAGTTGCACGCCAAGTGCTGCTTTGGATTCTCTGCGTACGGTGCGAAACTCGAAGCACGTTGAAGGACATCCTACAGATTAAGTATACGAAGTAAATATGCACAGTGGTGATACATAGGAGGCATGCGAAAGTGATACACGGGGTGTATTACACCTCTTGGCTGTCAAGGCTTTGTTTCTTGCTCTTTGCAGGAAGGAGCTATACGGGGTCATTTTAAGATGATTCAATAGCTGGTAGAGGAAAAACGTACTGCAGGGTTGATGTAAGGCACGACACCACCCTCAGAGATAATCACATCTCCGAGTAGTTTACTCAACCTGAGGACGAAGTGAGCTAGACTGCAACAAATGAGCTAACATGAGACGCACTCTTCATCATTACGAATAGCTAGTTGAAGGTGACGAGGATTGATACGACGTTTCTTGTTGTCACGAGCTGCGTTTCCTGCCAACTCCAATATTTCAGCTGACAGGTACTCTAGTACTGCAGCAAGGTATACTACAAAATGAGTTAGTTTCAAAGCGAGACTAGAAAAACTTGGAAACCTACCGGGTGCACCAGACCCAATACGCTTGCTGACGTTGGATCTCCTCAACATGCGATGAATACGGCTGACTGGGAACTGGAGACCAGCTCTAGTAGAACGGGACGTAGACTTGGTTTCTTCGCTCTTGACCTTGCCGCTGACCTTACCCTTGCCGCTTGACTTTGCAGAAGGCATGGTGAAGAATGTGTAGTAGTTGGTTGAGAGAAAGGTAGAGCGGGCAAAGTTTCAAGTTGAAATGCAATTCTAGACGGAACGCTGTATTTATAGTCAGAGTCTAGACGCGCGCCACAATCAACAAAGACGCGTCGTAGCCAAATAGGTGTAAAGTCACGTGAAGGTATATATAGGAGATGTCGTTCGCGCCTCCTTTGCGTTGCGACCGCCATTACTGCCATCCCTTCTCGCAGTATCAATAAATCTTGTGATTCCTGCAGCTATGGGACCTAAACCCGCATCAACTGGTGGTAAGGCACCCGCTTCTGGTGCTGCCGCTAAAGCCCCTGTCAAAACCACTGAGGGTGCTAAAACTGCGAAGAAGACCGCTAAGACTGCTACAGCCCCTGCTGCTGGGGAGGAAAAGAAGAAGCGGAAGAAAGTCCGCAAGGAGACTTACTCTTCCTACATCTACAAAGGTAACGCGTTATGATTAATCAAAAAGCTTACAGTCTGACGTGTCTTCCAAAGTGCTCAAGCAGGTACATGCAGACACTGGCATATCTAATAAAGCTATGGCCATCTTGAACTCGTTTGTCAACGACATTTTTGAGCGCATTGCTACAGAAGCTTCGAGTATGTGCTTTTTACCTTGTTTTGATATCATTTAACCAGTAATTTCAGAGCTCGCTGCATACTCCAAGAAATCAACGATCTCATCCCGTGAAATACAGACAGCAGTTCGTCTCATACTTCCCGGAGAGCTTGCCAAGCATGCTATCTCCGAGGGCACAAAATCCGTGACCAAGGTGAGATTTACGTTATTCATATTCACAAGCCGTCACTAACGGCTGAGACAGTTCTCGAGCTCGAGCAGCAAGTGAAGAAATCTCTGTTGTCAGCTGTATCGTTAGGCGCTGTATTATCATTATCATTATTTTATTGGGATCTAGTGTTCTTGTCGTTGTCCGTTTGAGCGATGGCTGCCCCAGGCAAGACTCATGGCGGTAACTTCGAGTCGGAAAGTGAGAGTTATTCGAGTTATGTCCTGGACATTATCTTCCGAACTTATCATCTAGGTGGACCTCCGACCCCCGTACTACCTCACCATGAAAGCACTGTCTGGTCCCATCTTGGATGATCTAAAAGTACATTTTGCTTGTCTCTCGGACACACGTAAATCAAATGTCGTCCAGAATCCTTGTCTCCTAAATTGCCCACGTAAGGGTTACGACGTCGTTTTTCCTATCCGTCGGATAATGTTTCAACCCCCGTGCAAGAGATCATCATCCGAAGGAACTCACCTGTGAACTCCAGACCTGAATTTCCTCTTTATTTCCGATGTTTGAGGGCTTTCAAACACATCTATGGAATACCTATCTGTCTTAACATCTTTGACACCCCGAGGTCGCAAGTGCGATTCAGACACGTTGAAGGCGGCCGCACTCGGGGTATTAAGCCGGGCTGTGCTCATAGTAGGAATGCGTGGTTGCGAGCGGAGTGGACCCCCCGGTTTCGAGTGTTGAGCTGCTATCTGCTGAATGGCCCCCATGATCGTCATCACATCACCCTTTTGGTTTGACCCATCAAACATCTCCCTTCCGTTCTTCATCCACTTTTTACGCTCCTTATCGTACAGTCCTTCCTCGCAGATCTTATCCATCGTAACTTGTGCGAGATCCTCCAGCGCATCTCGATTATGCGAGAGATTTGTACCCATCAGGTGTTCCAACAGATCTTCAAATGGTACTTCTGACATTTGTGTAGTTTGGCGAATGGTGGTTCACTGAGGATTTGAGCCGAAGACCAGGGCGATGGTCGTCGCAGATAGACAGGTAATCTAATCGAGGCGGACTATCGAACATTGATCTTATTCCCAGAAGAACCCAGTGTCATGTGTCCCCTCCTGAAAATTTGGTAAACGGTGCTCGAGTCTGTGGCTCGAACTTGACACTTGACGCGCCACAACTCTCTCAATTCACAATCTCGAGCAGTCCAGAGCCCTTCATGATGTCGCGGTAGTACTAATGGTGATTCGGATGAGCCCGAGCGCTTCTGATAAGTCTGGAGCTATTGCCACCTGACTGAATGACCGTGACCACGACTCGAATGATTACGATCATGGCCGGGCACTCAGTCACTGCCGCCGCGGCATGCTCAAAGTTCTACAGCATCAACTCCTATGTCACGTAATATCGATTGGGCCGCACTTTATCTATGAATGCAGACGATGCAGCTCCTCATCGTGCTTGTACTTTTCGGGTCATCGCAGCACCTGTTCACACTTTTTGAAAAATGGACGGAGATGAAGCAACTGACTTGTGGGGTTGCTGGGGAAGTAACCAGGGTTGTCATAAATGAGGTGCACGAGGCAGTCCACTGATCTTCGAATGCAACACGGTTGACGTTGACCAAAGTCACTCGACTTTCAATGCCCGTGACTTCCCCCATAAGGTGGTTGACGTGCGCAACCCGTTGCTCTACACACCTCGGAATATTCTGGAGGTTGGAATGTTCGAGATCTTCACTATCAGACTCGAAACGATCTATCATAGATCAGCGCGAGCCCGAGTCTGGTAAACTTGATCATGAGTTGTTCCGAGGTCGCTGAACGGTCGCGCACTATCGCACTGCAAAATAGAAGAACCATCTCCCTTCTGTTCGGTCTGCCTAGAGGTACTGAGAATACAAAGGTGAATACTATTTTATCCTGCATCCTGGAAATCCATGCATGAAGCGACTCAAACGCGACTTCCAGCTTTCATCTCCGCTGGCTTCTGTGGGGCTGACCTGTGATTGGGAAAGGAGTGAACGTTAGCTCGGTCCGAGCATTGACGAGATCGCCGCGGCTGAGGGAAGGTTTCTGTGGCGCCCGGATGTGGCCAGATACTTATCTCGACTAAATGTGACAATGCCCAGTTAGTTTATCCAGCGCCAAACATTGATCTCCCATGGAACTGTACGTACTAATGGTCTTGTATTCTCCAGACTCATTCGTTGTAATTTCTAGAATATACGACTGCCTCACGGCGAGTTTTAGCCATCATTAAAAATATTTGTCGGGGTAGTCCCTCGCTACTCCTGACAATGACTCCCGACTTCGATCCTATTACGACGTGGCAATGGCATCACCATGCTGATATACATAGAGCGGCTTCGACATTTGTTTGTGCTCCGCTCAATCAGCCCGCAAACAGATCGACCTGCCAAATTTTATTGAACCGGGACATGAAGCGCTTGTTGATGTCACAACGTCAAGGCCGGAATAGAAGGTGGGTGGTCCAATGACGTTAAACCTTTATCCTATCTTCGTCTAGGAAGAACCACTTCTGCCCGGCTGAAGATCGCCTGCGAACCAAATTTTATGAACCATTAGCCGTTCATGTTAGCCCGACCACCACACAACGCCGGTCAATCATACGGTCCGTACCACTTGACTCCATCTCACCGTAGTTACTGTATTTTTTATCAGAAATAATATCTAGGTAAAGCAAATGCTCACGATATGGTAGTTGTGTAGGACGCACCATATACCCCTGAAGCGAATTGAATCGTACCGAACCTCCGGAGTAAGCTACGTTATTGCCAGTTGTGACATCACAAGGCACGGCTGACAGCGTCGGACAACGACCTTCGGAAGCCCTTTGAGCAGGCTTTCATGTGTGTACGAATGATTCGGTCGCCCTCAGGAGTACCGGTCCGCGTGAATTATATGATGTACTCGGGTTGCTCTCAGAAAGTCCTTCTGATGATATCAATGATCAACCATGCATGATGATAATTCTACGGTTCCACGACTCTCGCGTCTTGGCTCGAAAAGTTCTGTGAAACCAGAAGAACTTCTAATACGCATACGAATTCGAAGCCCATATACTACATACACAGTCGAACAAACGCAAACAAATGACCAACTTGACGATGTGACCGGGTTTTTTCACGAGTTGGAGCTGGTTTGACGCAAAGATTTGCGAGGAAATCTCGCTGCAAGTACGCATCTGTTTGCCACTTATTGGTCCGCTTCGCCTTCCTTCTTCCGATCATGCATGAAAAAATAGATTGAGTTGCTACCTTGCGTTAACCGCTTTTCTTCACCGATGGGGCCGCAGATCACAGGGTGGTGATCTGTATCGACTCAGAAGCATCCAAGTTTTGTCGCCTATGGCACGTGCAACCCCGAGTCGGATGATAATGCTGGCGATATCTGTGTTGGTCAGTAGGATCCGGCACCAATGCTCGCCCCTCTTCGTTTCCTCATAAACACCGAAGGGAAATCCTTCACCGAGGTTCGTCCCCTCATTTACATTTGCCAGAAGTGCCACGTACTCGCGATTAAACTAGTAGGTCCGCAGCCGAATAGCAAACCCTAGACTTACCACCATCGTAACAAAGACGCGCCCATTCTGAGTGAATCGTGACGCATGGCTCGTCGATCAACGTCATACTGTTGAACCTAAACCGTGAGCCTTGTTACCGTGTCTTCATCGTGTCAGTCAGGTGTTCCAATTGAAGTGGATATTAAAAACGTACCAGAATGATTTCGGCGGCACATGTGCATATGTATGGTTTGAAACTGTTGAGGTTGTTAGCCCGGCTGTACCTAGGTAGCCGCCTGGTTGCCCTAGGCCTTTGGTATCAGCTTGATACCCGGATTTTCGAATGGGAACAGTGAACACGTGCCCAATAATTACAAGTCAGTGGTGGTCTGCTGTCATGAACAAGGACATATAGGTAGCATAGGTGGTCTCCGGAGGACACGGTCCGGTCGGCAAAAGGGAATGCGAGCGAGGGAAGGTCGCCCCTGTTTCGGGTATTACCGATGCGGGCACTTAAATTTGGCTCAACATATTTTATTGCGCCTAAACTATCTATGAAATTTGAATCAATAAATTTGGTAGAGAAATGATTGCCAAGAACCATGTTAAGTTTAAAATTCATCACGCTTGACTATTTCTTGTCTAGTCCTCGACATCACTGCCACCGAGCAAGAAGATATTATATGTATATGATCGGTGGTCGGACCTGAGGAAAGATAGGCTATCTTCAGGGACTGGTCATCGTTCACCAGCATCGGGAAATGGTACATGATCTTATAACCTGATAAGTTTCTACCGTGGAACATACTATTCCACGAGGAAGTCTCAAACTGATAGTGTTTTCCTCACATGGACACAGCAAGACCGACTTCATTTGCAAAGCTTCACATATACAAACATTTCTCCGCACTGTCGTGAGAATAGTGGTGGCCCCTGTTCTAACGACCCATCCAGCCCTGGTAACGACGTATGAGTAGGGGTTATGACGTCAAACTGCGAGATATACATACACCATCAACAACCAAGAGTTCGCCACAGACATATTGACTTGCGCTGCTAGCGAGGAACACCACCGGACCGGCAAAGTCTTCGGGGCTACCCCACCTCCCTGCCGGGATCCGTTCGGATATCTGTCTGAAGCGTGTGGGGTCCGCTAGAAGCCTCTCGTTCCTGATGGTATATCAGACCAGAGAAAAAAAGGTATATGCCAAAGAACCGGATGATAAGAGTTTGTGAAGAGAAGACAAAATGCGAAATGAAGCCTCAGCCGGCGGGAAGATGTTGATCAGGCTGCTAAACTATCACTAGTAACGTCACGAGTTCGCATAACACAAGATACCCGGGCGATAACAAGAAAAGATATACGTACATGTCTGTGGCAATATAACCCGGGCAGATGCCGTTTACTTGGACGTTATGCTGACTCCATTCGTTACTGAGAGCCTTCGTGAGTTGGCCGAGTGCGCCTTTAGCTGCGGCATAAGCCGGGACGGTAAGACCGCCTTGAAATGTTAACAAGGAACAAAAATTAATGATTTTCCCCCTCCGAAGTGGAACCATGTGCTGGCCCGCCGCTTGCGAAATAAGCCACACAGATTTGAGGTTCACGTCCAGAACCTAAAATGAAAGGAGAAAACATGTACAACTTGAGAATATGATGGCAGGAAGGTTAAACAGAACTCGAGTGGATGACCTACATCATCCCAATCCTTCTCCGGGAAATCGACACTCGGCGATCTCCGCTGTATTCCAGCACAGTTGACCAGAATATGAATATTACCGCCCATGAGCTCCAGAGCCTCAGGGAAAAGTTCCCTGACGGAATCCAAGTTGCCCAAGTCGCAATAAACGACTTGGACGTTCACACCTAGTGAACGAATGACATTCACCGTGTCCATATTCGGCTCCGCATCCGGGGAGGGGGGGCGCTGAACAACACATATCGAGGCCCCGGCTTGAGCTAAAGCTAAAGCACATGCAGCGCCGATGCCTGTCGTTAGGTCAACCGCAACGGTAAGAACCAAGATAAGAAATCAAATTTGCCTTGATCAGTTAAAGCGAAGTTCTAGGCGAGGAAGGAGTACAGTACCTCTGGTAGCTCCAGTGATGAGGACGTTTTTTCCTGCGAGAGAAAAGAGACGTAGAGACGGTACAGAGGGGGTTGGATCCATTTTGAGAATGATTCACATAAGAGACCCACCTGGATCTTTATATTCAGCTCGAGCATGTTGACCAAGATTTGATTTTACCCCGCATCGGCTTACGACCCGAGCAACCGGCAGCGAGATTTCGATAAATGATTTTTTTGTAATAAAATAATATATTTATCCCGATTTGGCCATATACAGTCCGGTGTCATTGTCTTATTGATTCGCATTTTGCAAATACGTTTACGGTCAACCGGACCGAATGGATCTTTCCCAATCTGGTTGAATGATAAGTTGAAGTTCTCCTCACGAGATTGCTCCTTCTTGCAACTTTATATTGTATATATAAGGTCACCAGTTGATACTAGGATGTACATCCCTTAACACTTTCCCTCCACCTATCACAATCATGTCTCCCGCTACGGTTCAATCACAACGTGCAGTCGTCCTTCACGGTCCTAAGGACCTTCGTCTCGAAGAACGCCCATTCTGGCTTCCACCGTACAACCACGCACAAGTAGCAATACAGTCGACAGGACTGTGCGGAAGCGACTGTGAGTTATTCCTCTACTCTTAAAGTTCGACCTTCGAGCAAATTTCCTAGTGCACTATTATCTAGAAGGTCGCAATGGTGATTTTGCACTCCAAGCACCTCTCGTCCTCGGCCATGAATCAGCAGGTGTGATCACCGCCGTCGGTCCGGGTGTGAAAAATTTAGCTCTCGGTCAACGCGTTGCAATAGAGGCCGGCATCATGTGCAATGAGTGCAATTATTGCCAGTCTGGCCGTTACAATCTGTGTAAAGATATGCGCTTTGCCAGTAGCGCAAAGACCTTTCCTCATCTTGACGGGACCCTACAAGACCGGATGAACCATCCAGCGCACGCTATTCATCCGTGAGCCCCTTCATCTAATCGTTTCTTCATACATTCTAACTCTTCGTTAGACTCCCTGATAACTGCAGCTTTGAACAAGCCGCCTTGGCTGAACCACTGTCAGTTTTGATACACGCTGCTAGACGAGCCAAGCTTGCTTCAGGTCAACGTGTTCTCGTGTTCGGTGTGGGCACAATTGGCGTCCTCGCTTGTGCACTAGCCAATGCATACGGTGCCTCTCAGGTCGTTGCCATCGACATTAACCAGGCACGATTGGACTTTGCGAAATCGCACGGTTTCGCTTCACAAACATACTGCTTGCCCATGGCTGACAAGGCCAAAACGACAGAAGAGCAGCTTCAACGTGCAAAAGACAACGTCTCGACTGTCTTGTCTAAATTCAACGAACCTGAAGGTTTCGACGTGGTCTTCGAATGTACGGGCGCTGAACCCTGTATCCAGATGTCCATTCATGTACGTTAATAGTCTGGGAAGCTTCGATCATCGCTGACTTGCAACTGTTAGGCTGCTGTCACGGGTGGCAAAGTCATGCTGATCGGAATGGGGTCACGAAATGTCATGCTTCCGCTTTCTGCAGCAGCCCTGCGTGAAGTAGACATTCAAGGTTCCTTCCGTTATGCCAACACGTACCCTGAAGCTCTCAAGTTGCTTGCAACGGGCAAACTCCGCAATATCGAAAAACTTATTACGCACCGCTTTACCTTGGCAGATACCGCTCGAGCTTTTGAATTATTGGCTCGTGGCAAAGACGAGGATGGAAACATGGCGATCAAGATTATAATTGGGCCTTCATCATCATAGTTCTCGTATATCTGTTATTTTCATCTTTATATTTAACGAACGGACTAAAAAGGCTGCGAGCGTTGTAATGTAACTTGTCATATTTCGGCACAGGCATTTTGAATCATCCTACGGGCATTTGTATGTTATTACGCGCGCGCACTTTGCAATACACAATTATTCGCAGCCACATTTCCATCGTGGATAAAAGTGAAGTGAATGGAAACGAAGTGGCGTCTTGCAAGATCTTCTACAAAAAGCTCATTTTGTTATACTGGCGCGCTTGCGAGATGGACCGGAGCCGTAGTAGTTGTAGTAGATACATCAAGTATGAAGTTAACATGTTACGTTCGTACTTCCACGTGCCACAGCATGTAGCGCCCATCATTGCTCCCAGTAGCGATACTTTCCCTGGAACCACTGGTAGCCGACTCACCTCCAGAATGATAAGAACTATCCCACTCGATAATTCACGCACGTGAAAGGATAGCCAAGTTGAGCGCAAGAGTTGATCACTACAATGATCACCTGCTATCGGCAGACCAGGCGCTTTCATTACTTTTCCTCAACAAAACGTAACTGACCAAACTATGTGGATCAAACTACCTCAAAATTCGAAGCGAAGCACCTAGAGATCACGTCCCTTCGCCGATGATGCTACTCGATCGAAAGCTCTGACCCTCAAAAAGCAAAAAAGTGTATAACCTCACGCAATGCACTCACTTCTATTGACACACCGCGGAAAAGCCTCCATGTTGCAGGTTCATGAGAAGCCCAAAGTCCTTCTTCTCCCGCGATGATTGAAAGGCGCTACGGATGTAACAAGGAAAGGAAGCCGAAGGTCTGGGCACCATCATCATTCTAGCGGGCTTGCAGCGGATGCAATTTTTTTTTTTTTTTTTGAGTTTCGAGAAAGAGAAAGACCCATGCGCTGAGAACGCAGGAACGCGGGGGGGTGAATCTTCAACAACCAGTTCGTACCCAAATTCAGGCGCGCATAAATTCCGTCCCTGGGTAACCTGTTATCATTTTGGTGGGTTGGTGCCAAATTTCCCTTAGCTCATACGCGCCATCAAGGAAAACCGGGGCCGAGGTCGATGGGAAAAAGAAGGAACGAGTATCGCTTGAACCGATGATATGGGTTTGTTGATGGTGCTACAGCTGGCAAAGCCATTACCCTTCCACGTGAGCGATGATCCGTTTTATGCATTTGTTTGTTCCGTTCCACGTATTTTGTTTTGTCCTTGCAGCGAAAGATGGGATGTCCGTGTACGCGCCAGCGAGAGGATAGGTTTGAACGATGTGTTATGGATGGAGGGGACTGTGACTATCTACGTATTTTGGATGCTAAATTGGTCGCGGGGAGAAGCAGCGGAGCGGACGGACGTCGCGAGCGTTTCGCGGCGTGTGCGAAATGGGTGAGATAAAAGAACAAGGAATGACAGATTAGTAGAGAAGAAGTAGCAGTGTTGGGTTGGGTGGTTGCCACTGGCAGTGGTCAGCCGCCGGACTGTTTGTCGAATTTCGGGTTTGCGATTGCAATGACTTCGCACATGTGAGTAAAATTGCTATATCTGATCTGCACGATGCTCACATGCTTATTATTACAAAGAGTCATCGGCTAGATGAACCCTGAAAGCTGCTTGGGGGTAGTGCATGTGCATGCGCTCTTATTAATATCTGTTACATATGCCGAAGGTCTACATACTATAACCGAGAAAATCATCATGGTCAGAAGCTGTGAGTGCGGATAACCGTGCGCGTCTCGAGGCTGATACGAAAACCTGATACAAGATACGGTTGTGACTGTAATAATTGGACCCCTGTGGCCATGGTACCGCCATTTCTTCAAGTGAATTCCTGCTCCAGTAAGTGTAGCTGCACCACCGTTCTACTTCCACTTTGTCTACTTTTGGCGAGCTAACAATGATTATTCTAAGACATGTTTGAGAGTAACTACACCCGAGAGGTAAACCGTATCGCAGGACCCTTGCGCCTGGAAGTTCCGGTAGAGGGTGGATGATCTGTTCCTCATGGGCTTCGATCTCCGCCGTGTTCCTCCTTTATCGCGGCTGCAGTCTCAACGATCAACGACATGTATTTCAAGACTCGGTGGAGATCCACGATTTCAACTTATCAGTTATTGACAGTCCGCGTGTCAGTTTTGATAGAGCGATGGAACGCCCTTGAATCCCATGCTGTCGTCGTTTGTGACGTAGGTGCCTCGATGACGCCGCCTTCCTATGCAAGTATTTTTTCGATGCGTCAACGATGTCCAGCAGGCTACAAAGTCGACGATGTCGTCAAGGGGATGAGGAGCATGAGGGAAATTCACAGTGAAGTCCAGATAGTGTCGCCAGTGATGGATGCAAGGATGTTCAAATCTTCGATATGCTTGCCAGTGTTTGTAAGTGAGCAATGAAGAACATGTGCAATATTGAGCATTGATCGTGTCAAGGACGGTATCCCCAGAATTCATGTTGGCCTCTATGAATTAGCAGATAGAATTGCAGCATTGTTGTAGAAAGAGGTAGGCAGAAAGACTAGATAGATCAGTGTCATTTACTTTGGTAACAGAAGCATACGCTGTATAGATACTTTGTCGGACCGGCTGCACGTCCAAATCGATAATTTATGTGAGATCCGCTACCACCGATGTACACAGAAACCCACTAGTCGGAGAGGTGCTGTCAAGTTACATGACTCAACAGATTTGGATTGCCAAATGCACGGTAGCTATGATAGGCTGCCATAGCCCGCCACCTGCCAGAGGGAATCAGCATTAAGCCAGACGAGATATATCGCATCATCATTATACTGGCGGGAGATTTAAAAAAACCTGCCTCGCGATAGATTGATGGTTTGGAAAGTACCACCTGCGTACAGCGGAAGTTAGCGAATACCAACAAAGTAGGATTACAAATCGTTTTCCGCTGGAAATTACCGAAGTAACTTCAGCACCGGTGCCAACAACCATCAAGTCACCGTCGTCCAATCCGCCGCCAAACCGATCCGTTCGACCAACAGCACTCTGGATCCTGTCAAATATCCAATTTAATTCTCGTCATCCTGTAAACTCCATATATGTTTTTACGTCCGTTCTCTCTCTCTCTCTCTCCTCACTACCCTACCCTGTCAGGCGCGACGCCACTACATTCGGCAACCATTTTCAGACCCTTATCGTCTACAGTATGACAATAACATCTAGGACCGAAGTCTAGATCTTTATAATCACTATATCTATATGTATCTACGCCACGTTCCTTATCATATTGCATTACAGCGCGCACCTACATCCTACCAGCGGCCCTTCGCACTCATAGACCCTTGTACATTCTTACAAGTACTGCGAAGGGAAATGTGACAATCACATCTCGCGGCTTGCCGCTGTAAAGCTTGCATGAATGTTGATGAAAGTTAGTCAGCAAGTGCCAAAACAAGTCCTGTCGACTGTCAGACAATGACCTCGAATATTTCCGTTAGCCTGCGGGCAAGTCCATCTTCACTGGTGTAGAATGGCCATTCCAGATCTCACCTACATCGCTGCTCCCATGGTCAAGCAAAGTGATGCTCCCTTCCGCATGTTGACACAACGACATGGAGCAACTCTCGCGTATACGCAGATGCTTGACCCTCACAAGCTTCTTGAAGATCGAGATTACCTCGAGTTTCATCAGCGTGATCTGACTTTTGGTCGCGATGCTTGTAATGAGACGGTGGTGGTCCAGCTATGCGGTAATGACCCTGAGATCATCGTTCAAGCTGGAAAGAAGATACAAGACTTGTGCAGCGGTATTGGTGGGCGTAATTTCTCGAATGAAATGTATTTGCAACTGAATTGACTGCAAAGTTCTTAGATTTGAACCTAGGATGCCCACAAGAGCATGCCCGTGAAGATCGCTACGGCGGTTATCTTCTCGCCAAAAAGGATTGGCCACTCGTCCAGACCATAGGCAAGCAGTTTCAACCTTATCGAATACCTTCTCAATTGGTGAGCATGCGATTCTAGTTTCTGCGATGTCCCACCTATTGCAGCCACCGACTTCCGTAAAATTACGCCTCTGTCCTTCATCGTCACCCCCATCATCCACAGTTGAATTTGCCACTCTGCTGGAACAGGCAGGTGCATCTTGGGTAACTCTTCATGCGCGTCACGTATCCGCCAGACGACGGCGTCAGGGCGCTGCAGATTTAGATGTGGTTCGCACTCTAAAGACAGCACTCAGAGTACCAGTCGTGAGCAATGGCAACGTCCGTACATGGGAGGATGTACAGAAGAACAAGGAAGAGACCCAAGCTGATGGTATCATGGTAGGAGAAACTTTGCTAGGCAATCCTTGGTTTGTCCGCTGTCCTCCATTTCCTGGTACCGCGTCATTAATCGTACACGAACAGCATATTTGCAAATATCATCCCAGACCCTGTTCGAGTATCTCTTGAATACCTAGAAATCTGCAAAGAACTCCCTGATATTGCGACTCATAAGACTATCGAGACTCATGTCAGACATTTTATTGAATTTCAGTGGTATGTCGCCCGTGCAGCTTTCGTCGCAGGATCGCATGTCTTACTGCTGTGATTTAGCTCTCGGCGGCCATGGTATAATAAATTTCGCACAGCACTGCCTGCATGTGAAGGGGTTCACGACATCGAGCACTTATTACGCACGAAGGTGACCAGATGGCGGGGCAAGGCTGGACTCAAAAATCATGACGCATGTCTCGATGATCTAGAATGTATCACGGATTGAAATATTCACAGTTTTCACCTGATTCTTCCCCTGCTAGTAGGTACAAGCACACTAAAAAGGAATACAGTATCGCAGAGTATCTATAGAGTGTATCGCGGCTGTGTCATAATCATTGAAGAAAACGGCTTTAGGAACACATTGGTCCGATTCAACTGGCAGTATGTAGTCCGAGAAGACCGCCGCGGCGATGATTTCGTGTTTGAATGACCAAATTCTGTCCTAACAATCTCGCTAAACGTTCTGGGATTAAACCATAGACACCGTTCGTCGGCTCTGTAGCTGACAGGAGAAATCGAGACTAGCAACGTTGGGATAGATTTAAATTGTGTAGCTCACGGACCTCTGATTAATTACGAGCTGTTCGGGTCCGATTATAGTGCATAACCTAGTATGCCCCAAGACTAGAACAACTTTAGAATGAGAGAATGTTATACGACGCACATACTGACTTGATTTAATGCAAGTCTGCCACTCACACCGTCACCATGTACGCCATGACGAAGATTTTAAATGTTCAGACCCTGCCTCTAAAATTGATGTTACACAGGCGCGTTTAAGCTGTGCAGAAATATATCCATCTAGATCTGCGAGTAGCAAAGTCAGCGAAGCCTAAAATTGAACCAAAGGCGCACAAGAACACACCAACTGGGGGGCGCAAGCTAGAAGTAAACGCTTAGCAGTAGTCTCCGTCATAAAATTAGCCAGTCTTCCTGCTATCTGAGAGTTATTCAAATCCTATTCGGAATAGATCCCATACTACCTCGTACAACTCTTCCTTTCTCCTTGTTCGCCGTCATTGCTGCTCCAACAGCATTTACGTCTGCCAGTACCGCACCGGCTGTCTTCGGTCATTTACTGCCGATAACGAATCTCGCGCCAAAAACTCTGAGTATGATTGCTCTGCAAATTGCGGGTATAATGGTGTAAGTTTGCTTGAAATGTATTGGCAGGACCCAACCTCGTGACTCAACCCCCTTTGCGCGTTGTAATAATTGCGGCGCGGGCGCGCTATCCCAACAATTTGAAGCAACAACCGGCGAAATTCGGCGGAGTTGATACATTGCGAACGCAAGTCATGTTAACTTGTTCGTCGTTCGATTACTCGATGTGATATTCACTCGAAAACGTCAGCTTGATGTTTTTGTGACTTCCGGTCAATGATAAGCGGTCGTAACTACTAAAAAGAAACATTGATATTTTAGCTCAAAGATTGACCATAATCACACGTAGATGTGAGGTTAGGGCGCAGACATACGTTTTTGATTGTATCTTTCTATCAAACCCCTGCAAAAGTGCAACGGTATCACAAGACACACTAACTGGGGGCGACAAGCTAGAATAAGATACTTAGTATACCCCGACAAAAGTATTCGAACAATTCGTATGAGTCAGTCGATCCTGAGGCCTGAGAGGTCATGTCGACCATAAAGAGAGTATATCTTCGAAGTTCTGAAAGTTGAAACGCGCAAAGATCATCTTCGGGAATTCCCAGACCGGCTACCTGATAGATTACCGTGCACATCGTTCTACTACCAAACTGCCAGCCTGCGTCTTCACGACTACTTCGACTATTGGCCCTTCTGGCTCTCTGTAGTTCTTTTCTCTCTCCCGCACTAACGATAGATAGGGGGCGTTCTACCTATTGACATTATAGCTCAGTGGACACTTAATCATGGCACGAATAACAATGCTTTCTCTCCTCGCATTCTTCGCACTCATTGCTCCTTTCACGCACGCCATCAAATTCGCCCTACCAGCAGCTCGTTTGCCTATCCCAAAATGCATATGGAACGCTGCGCATACCCATGCACTTGTCATCGTCACCGCTAACGTTGGGCCTGGGGCAAACCAACGGGTAGACATCGAAATTTTAGATTCAACACCTCACCGTAACGTCTATCTATCAAAACGCGACATTAAAGGCGAGACGAGACTTGCTGTCACAGCACATGGCGAGGGAGAGGTTGGAGTCTGTTTCAAGAATTATCTATCCCCTGGTGCGTTTGTTGTTAGCGGGGTATCTTATTGGCAATTACTTATGGCGTTCTAGAGATCAAACTGGACATGGCACGGAATATGTCGCGCACTATCGATCTGGATATTGATATTGGGGCTGACGCTGTTGACTACAAGTGTGTTATGCGTTTGTTCGATATGATAGCTTACTGACTCCCTCCTTGTCATCAAGCGCAATTGCAAACCAAGAATCACTCTCTGGGCTTGAGACAGAAATGCGAAAGTTGGAAGGAGTTGTAAAAGAGATAGTCGATGAACTCGAATATCTCAAGAAGCGCGAAGAACGTTTTTCAGACACCAATCGTCAGTCTTCTTTGGGTTACTGCACATTATTATGAGTCTTATGTTCCTTGCAGTTGTGACGAATCGCCGCGTGCAGAATTTTGCCTGGTTCACCATTCTTGCCCTCACGTCCCTTGGGGTTTGGCAGATTCTCCACCTTCGGTCGTTTTTCAAGCGCAAGTACCTCATTGATTAATGGGTATGTAAGGCGTGCAATGTGGATGACAGTACTGCTTATAACTTGGGAGATGTGCGGTAGGACGCTCTTGTCCTCTACATCAGATTCAATATGTTATACTCCATTCCATTATACAGGAGATGTTGTCACCGGTCTTTTCTGCTTCAATGCCTAAGCCATCATTACAGTCACAAGGTATCTTCCTGGTGCTTATTTATTGCACGTCGAGGTGAAACAACTTGACAAATGTTTGGACGAGGCCATGAGCATCACGCAGCCTTGCGAAACTGATTTTACGAGTAAAAAGCCAGTGACTTGTGGCAACTTGCTCCACGTAAGAAATCTGATTCCCTTAGCTGCTCAAGTTCAGGATGTAAATGAGTTATTCCCGATACACATGCCCATTGCGCATCAATCGCATACTCAAAAATGTATCAAGAATACGATTTGTCCGTCGGTACTACGCGGACCGGTCATGTTCAGCTGATCACCCTCAATTCAACATTAAATCGCGGACCATGCAGCTGAAGGGAAGACTCCCTCTCTCACTTTTCGTCTCCATTAAAGAGGCAAATTATGTCCCTTAAAACTTCATCTTCCGGCTTCATCTCAAAGATTGAGGTTCGTCCCACAACGTGCATCAGGTTTTCCAGCATACTCACCGTCAAATATAGGTCTTCCGCGTGCCTCCACGCTGGCTCTTTGTGCGCATTGAGACAGCCGATGGAATCGTTGGCTGGGGAGAATCCACCCTGGAAGGACACACCGAAGCAATTGAGGGCGCTTTCGTTGACCTCGCACAACGTTTTCTTGGTTGGGATGCAGATGGTATCGAAGATATCTGGCAGACTGCATACCGCGCTCGGTTTTATCGCGGTGGACCTGTCTTAATGGTGGGCGTTTCTATCTGCTTCCTTGCTTACCATTCGTCTAAATATATGCGACCAGTCGGCTCTGTCTGGCCTTGATATTGCACTCTGGGATATCAAGGGCAAGAAGCTCGGAGTTCCTGTGTGGCAGCTTTTAGGTGGTAAAGTCAGGGATCGTGTTCGTGTGTATGGATGGATCGGTGGCGACCATCCAAGTGCTGTCCGTGAAGCAGCACGTGAGCGCAAAGAGCAAGGATTCACTGCTGTAAAGATGAATGCTACTGGTAAGTTCTATTGACCTTGTGATACAACGGGTCTGAATCGTACATAGAGGCTCTTGCGTGGCTTGACTCCCCCGAGCTCTTGAAGGGGACAGTGGAGCGCGTGCGTGAAGTTCGCGCGTTGGGGATGGATGTTGGAGTGGACTTTCATGGACGGGTACACAAGGGTATGGCTCGCCAGCTCGCCAAGCTTCTTGAGGGCGAGGGTGTCTTATTCATCGAAGGTGAGAAGCATTTTTATGTGGCACAAGTACTGAATTTGGTTTAGAACCCCTTCTGCCTACTCAACCTTCGGAATTTGCGGATCTTGGGCGCCTCGTTTCTACTCCTATTGCTGCTGGGGAGCGGCTCTACTCGCGACATGAGTTTCGTCCTTACTTTGAAGGACATGCGCTAGATGTCGCACAACCAGACGTGGGTGCTCACCTCTCACCTGAGCTCCAAAGTCCATTCTTTTTTTTCTGTTTTTGCCCATCTCCTTATGTGCAAACAAACTGACAGAATGTATAAGGTCTCCCATTGTGGTGGAATATCGGAGTTGGCACGTATCGCATCTATGGCAGAAACATACGATGTTGCACTTGCCCCGCACTGTCCGTTAGGACCGATTGCTTTGGCCGCATGTATTGCTGTTGGTGTGTCGAAGCTTAATTGTGAGTCTTTGGCATGTGGTCTGGCCCTTATAAAATAGGCGCTCACGATTTCGGGCGTCCAGATTTTATTCAAGAAATGAGCTGGCAGGTGAATTTCTCGCTCTGATATCCCATGACATGTGACACGCGAAAAAACTGGCTTTTTGTAGATGCATTACAACAGCGATGACGCAGACCTGTTCACATATCTCGCAGATCCAAGTGTTTTTGCTGTGAAGGACGGGTATGTCACAACTCCCAGTGGTGAGTACTATTCTCGCTCGGGCCTGATTGGTTCATTTTCTTTTTGGAGGGACCTGCATGATGTGTTGCCCATACGCACAGCAGTAGACTTTACTACCTCTTCCTCAGCAATGATCATGTTGGCATTCTTCTTTCCATCCGATCTCCAACATCCTAATCTTGATGCTCTGCGCTAAACGTCTGACACGTTATCTACATAGGACCTGGATTGGGTATCACTATCAACGAGGAGCTTGTGCGTACCCGTGCCAAGGAATATAGTCGAGCTGGCGTTGAGGCGTGGCGTAACCCAATATGGAGGGGAGAGGATGGAAGCATTAGGGAGTGGTAAAATTTCACTTCCCTACTTAGCTGCGAGAAAACACTGGGAAAAACAGGCCATCCTCAAGACTACGCAGTGCTAAGAAAATACATCCCGATGTCACATATATACATGTTCACCTTCACCTTATTGCTAAGCTAGAACTTCCCGCAGTACGTCCAAGATCTTCTCCACTTCCTCGGCAGTGTTATAGTGGACAAATGAGATGCGGACGACCCCGTCATCAACGTCCAGCTTTGGGCGTAAATTATCAATAAGATGGTAGGAACCGAAGTAGCCGCGTTGAATCGTGATCTGTGCAACACCCATAATCGAATACAATCACTGAGTGAGATTACTGAAATACTTACCCCTCCCTTTTTGTAGAATGCTTCCACGATATCCTTACTCTTGATCGCGTTCTGTCCGACGACAACAAAGCAGACAGTGGAAATCCTTGAAAAATCGACCTCGCTTTTTCCGAAGATGCGAACGCCCCTGTCAACTTGTTTTGCGTCCGTCAGGAAGCGGAGCAAGGGCGTCAAAATCTCCTGCTCATGTTTTGCGATCGCGTCGAAAGATGCTGTGAGATCATCTGCTGGGGTCAACGACTTGAGATATGGCACGATTGCCGATGCACCATACACAAGCTCGTGACCTGGACCGTCTGGTTGAAACTTTCGGGGCTTGTCATCTACCTTTAGGAAATCATGGGCAATGGATGTTAAAGATGTCTGCAGAGCTGCTGACCGCACGTAAGCAACAGCATTGTGAGGCCCGAACACCTACAAACAGTGTCAGTGTCAGACACCAAATCAAAGTCGCGGATATTGAGACCTTGTATGACGAAATTACGCAGTAATCGACATCCCACTTTTGTACGTCCATTCTTCTATGCGGTGCGTATGCAACGCAGTCCAAAACCACTTCGATCTTTATTGCTCCCTGTTCTTTTGCACGCTGGCGAAGAGCTTTCACTATCTCTTCTACAGGATGCACAGATCCTAAAATATTGGAGCACGCGGTGATCGCGGCCAGCCTGGTGCGTGATGAGACCAGGGGCAAAAGTTCTTCAACCTTATATGCGACCGAGTAAGGATTTTCTGCAGATACTGGTATGGGACGCCAGTATTTGAGCACGGCATTGCGCCGCTCAGCCAGACGCTTCCAAGGACCATTGTTGGCTAAAATGAGCAGTGAGATTCTTCAACAAAAGATACAGGAAGACAATGACAGACACCTTCATGTTCATAGCTGATGATGAATTCATCTCCAGGTTGGATATCATTTTCGAGTGCTCTAGCGATATTCTCGAATAGCATCGTCGAACTCGAACCAAACCCAACCTCATCGAGAGATGTAGCATTGAACAACTCTACAGCAGCAATGGAGCCCTCAACAACATACTGAGAGTTAATAGCCGCACAGCCAGCTTTCAGCGGAGCATTGGTGTTGGATAGATAATCCACGATCCGATCGATTGCTGGTTGAGCAGTCCGTGACCCCCCTGCGTTGTCGGCATAGATGTGCCCTGATTTCAGGGACGGAAAGCAAGCGCGAGCTTTGTTGATGTCAAGAACAGTCATCTGTTGTCGTCAAGGATATAGTGCGAGTAAAGTGACTGGTCCGAGCCCTTTATAGTCCAGTAGTCCAGCATCGTCTCTGCACGAAGAAACCAAAAGTCCCGCGGGAACGGCCGATCAAGGTTCTTGTGAGCGTGTTTTGGGGATTGGATGTGCTAAAGGCCACCGTATTTGGGGTCTAGCTTCGTATCCCCCGATGGCCTCGTATAAACTACCCTACTGGTGGGTCATGGTTACCATTTGCAGCTGGCCAGTCATCAAGCACGGTTGCAGTCATGTCTCGGAACTTCTACTCCCACTGGGTATATGGGCTCAGTAGTATCTTTCCTAAACAGAACAAGACGGTAGGTGCAGTTGGAGTAGCAGTAGCCTGACGAGAATTTTCGCAGTTCGAAACTGCTGCCATCCCGCCTAGCGGCCCTAGCCAACTGACCCTGCAGTAAGGTCTAAGGGCATGGTTGCCTCGTGACGCTCTACTGGACGCTTCTGCTTCTGGCTTGGGCTTCGCTTCCAAGTAATTCGCTTCAATGATTAATAGTATCCAGATAAGTGACGTTTAGAGCCCACCTGTGGCTCAGACATTGGATCATGATGGAGTCCGATATGCTCCATGAATCCTCGGGCTTGAGCTTGAGGCCTGATTCAATAGTGATATGGCCAGTGCATAATGCGTTGTTCGAATTAGAAGGACAGGGAAGAATTCTGGAGTCAAATGGAAGTGGTCATAGTGGGCTAAGGCACAAATGAAAGAAAATCGGCTGCCAAGATACCCGTCATGTGATTAGATTTGGGAAGTCCGGCAAGTTACTAACCTGAATCTGTAGACGAGTCATAAGCAATATCGGATAGATCCCAACCTCTTAGTCAGTGAGCGCGTCACGCACTGATGATTTAGAGCATACGCGTACATAGTCGAACAACGATTTGACTGCGAGGTTCACATGCATGCAATACGTTTGATTGGCGAGATTGTCCACACACGTCAGTCCTGCAATAAAAATATAGCACGATATATATGAACATTGGATCATTACTAGAAGTCTGAATTTTGTGAGTGCTATAGTTCCTGTCGATAGCAAATGTCATTAGCGTCTGTTGCTATTGTCCAGAATCAATGTACTCACAGCAAATCAGCACATCATAGTTCACCATCTATTCTTGTTTTCCTCTCTATGCCATCCTCGTACCTCCTCAACAATAGCCGATCCACCCAACCGCCCTGGGGAAATGCTCTATCCCAACGATTATGTAAATGCACAGCAAATATCTTCCCTAGTGCTTTGTCCAGCGCTCCGCCCTCCTCAAGTCCCTCTCCGGGTCGGCCTGTCCACTTCCCATCTCGACGATCAGGGTCAAATGGGTCTGGCACGCTGTTGTCAAGACGACACGCCAGGGGGTCAGAAAGACAGAACGGTAAGATCTTGAAAGGAGGTATGGATTCACTGAGGAGGCGCCGCCAGAGCCGAAGATATAAAATTGCGCCCCAATCGGTGCTTGGAGAACGTGGAGGAGTACTGTGTGCCATGAGATGGAAAGCTTCGCAGAGATAAGGTGAGTGCTTGCGGAAGTGCATGAGAGCACCATTAAATGCTTGGTAAATCTTGTCTGTAGAATCTTTTGAGTACGTGAGCGAGAGTAGGTTGATTGTCCATTTACCGTAGCAATCCCATTGCGTTACGAACTCATGCTCAAGCAATGGAGAGAGGTCTCGGGTCAGAAGCATATCCATGTCTATCCAAGCACCGCCATACGACCAGATGACAAGTAACCGGACAAGGTCGCCGTCTACCCATGCCTTCTTGTCCTCGAGATTGAGGAAGCGGTGATTCTCCATTGGCGTGCCCTTGGCTAATTCGGGTATATCCACAACCTGAAGTGCGAACGAGTCAGGGAACAGATTGAGATACTTTTGCACGATTGGATTGAGTGATAGGTCGCCATTTGACCAGAGTATTAGACGAGAGCGGGGAAGGTCTTGCGTAGCGAAAAATGACTTTAGCATGTACTCTTGTCTCTCATCGAGAGGCGCGAGATCGACACGCCAATATGTGTGGAACTGTGCTCGCTCCTCAGGTGGGATATATCGTTGTTCCTCGGTCCACTCCCCTTCTGCGAACCTTACTGTTCCTGCAAACTCGTAGCAGTCCATACCCATTCGCATTGTTACTCCTGCCTGAACCTCAAAACGCTTCTTGCCATACACTGCCTCGCTGATGTTATACAGCGGGCTGACGCGCTCGGGCTCAAAGCATCCTCCAAGTGGGGACAGCGGAAGTATTTCGCGCTGTATCCATTCTCGTTGATATAACACGAGGTCAATGTGGCCGCGCGGGTCGAAGAGATAGTATAGCGTGTAACATATGATAAAAACTAGTGGAAGTGCAAATTTCAAGAACGTGAATACTCTCCGTGGTCGCAAACACGAAAAGTAAGAAATGGGTGATTTGCGCCGAGGAGAGGAGGTACGATGTGCTCGGTCGTGCACGGGAACCATTTCATATCTTGCTCTGCCAGTAGATGTCATGAGTCGGATAGACGAGGTTGTAGCATGGTACCGATGCGAGCGATACTGCATGCGTTAACGCTTAGTTAGGCGCGCGTTGCTTATGTTTACAATTTCTTCAGCTTGTAACTTTGTTGTAACTAATCCACTAGCTTCGTTTATTTACACAACGTTTCATTTCGCTAGTCGAGCTCCTCAAAATGTCTACATTTCTCTCTTCGCGAATATTGACTCGTGAGGCAATGCGTTGTTCACGTCGCACACTCTCTACGACATCGCGGTGGTCTGCAGACCCATGGCCCCTTCCGCATACCCCACAACATCTCTCCAACACTCAGACACCCTCTGATATCCCACCACCTACTCCCATTCCACGCTCTGGAGAGTCCAAGGAGACGTTGCGTGCAAGACTAGTCTATCAGAGCAGGAAGCGCGGAACTTTGGAGAGCGATCTTCTGTTGAGTACGTTCGCAAGGGATCACCTGAAGCAAATGGATGAGACAGAATTGAAAGAGTATGACAAGGTGCTTTCGCTTTTTTGATCGGTGGCGTTTCAAACTTATGTTCTATTGTAGCTACTCGACGAACCGGACTGGGACATATACTATTGGGCGACTGAAGGTCGCACACCACCTGAGCGGTGGGTGAAGTCTCCCGTGCTGGAGAAGCTCAGGATACATGCAAGGAATGAGGGAAAAGTTGTGCGCAAGATGCCTCCGCTGTAGACGTATCAGTGAATCTACGACTGCGTTCCATCATCTCCTCACATTGCATAGAGTCTGCGAACTGAAGGCGGAATAACTTCTGTCGGAGCACGGGCATAAAAATGGGTCCATTATTCCCCTGCAATGCAAAAACAGAACTCTAAATTTTGCGCCATGCTGAGCAAATAGGGATCGGAGGCAAGGTTAGTATGGTGTTTTGATGATCACGGCCGGCTGTTTGACGTGGAGAACCTCCCAGCACGAAATCTTGATTGAGCACATGTGTTGTGATTGCCAGCGGCACATAGACATATCACATTGCTTATACCCAGATTGAGTAGGGCTGACACTTATGTCTGTCTGTATATGCTCGCTGGCGGGATGCCCGTGTCCCTTTGATGATTTCATGATCACCGTATGTGGTAATGTATTTGGATGCCTTGAAATACCAAGGTTTTCTTATTATCTAGAAGATAGGAATCTCATCTACTCTTTAATTGACTGACTGATACGGCCTGTAAGAGTTCTAACCAATGTGTCCTCGCATTCTTGTCGGGCATAGTCATACTAAGCATTTACCTTTTAAATTAGCTTGTCGCCCCAGGACGATAGCCATGGTGTTTTGAAAGAATCGCCCAAGACTGATGTGACGAACAAAGACGTGGTATATGAATCATTCACGGTTAATGAATAACTGATGTAAACTATCTGTGGATATGTCAGTGCAGTGTCAGATAATGTAATTCGTCGACAAATCCTCTCTCTCCACAAGCTTCTCGTCGTACCTCTTGAGAAGTAACCTCTCCACCCAGCCTCCTTTCGGAAATGTCTTCTCCCATTGATTATGGAGATGCACAGCAAACACATTCCTAAGCGCATCGTCTAGGTCTCCGCCCTCCTGCAGCCCGCCATTCGTAGCACGCCACCACCGTGCCTCCCTGCCATCATCCTCATCGAATGGATCAGGCAACCTGTTATCCAATCTGCAGGATCGGGCATCTGAGAAACAAAATGGAAGGACTTTGAAAGGCGGAATGTGAGCACCCAGGAGTCGGCGCCAGAGCTTAAGGTAAAGGAGTGCGCCCCAATCTGTAGAATCGGCACGGGGAGCTTCTGAAGTCGCCATGATATTGAATGCTTCACAAAGATATGGAGAGTGTTTGTGGAAATGCATCAGTGCGCCGTTTAACGGCTGATAAATCTTGTCTGCAGGACAAACTTGAGTGTGGTGCTCAAGGATTCGGGTGACGAGCACTTACCGTAGCAATCCCACTGCGTGACGAACTCGTGCTCGAGTAGAGGAGAAAGGTCTCGAGTCAATAGTGAATCCATGTCAATCCACACACCCCCATAATTCCATATGACTAACAATCTGACAAGATCACCATCCGTCCATGCTTTCTTGTCATTTGTCTTCAGCAATGGACTCCCATCCAACGCAGTTCCACTCGCCAGATTAGGGATATCCACCACCCGCATCTCGAACGAATTCGGGTGCATGTGGGCATACGATGCAAGTATAGGGTTCGTCGACAAGTCCCCATTCGACCACATCACGAGTCTCGAGGTTGCATGATCCTGAGTCGCAAAAAAGGATTTGAGCATCCATTCCTGCCGCTCTGAGAAAGGTGCGAGGTCTACGCGCCAGTACGTATGGTACTGTGTCCTTTCATCGGGAGGTAGCCGCCCACTGTTCACCATGGCACTAGTCGATCGCGGGATTGTCGCGGCGAACTCATAGCAGTCCATCCCAAGTCTCATGCCCATCCCAGAATGCACCTCTACTTCCTTCGGTCCTTTCAAATACCTAGAAGCGTTATATTCTGCACTAATCCTTCCCTCATCAAAACATCCAGCCAGCTGTCCCACTGGCTCTATTTCGCTGTTTATCCACTTGCGCGAGTAGAAGGTGATTTCGACGTGTGGCTCATAGAAGTAAAACGTGTATAGTATAACGGCCACAGCAAGCGCAAGAGCGACTTTTAAGAGCTTGGCGAAATCAAACGAGCGGACTTTTATAGGGATGCGGAGCGGTTGAGAGCGCGAACGAGAACGGGAGCGGGAGCGGGAACGCGGTGCACCTGGTTCAGGCACGGTATGCATAGGCAGGCGGTCGTAACCTGCTCGTGACATGGCGGAGGCACAGTGTGTATTCGCAAGTGAACCTGCTAAGATATATCTACGTGATGTGACGTTAGAAATAAGACTACAAATTATGTGCAGGACAAGTTACCAGTAAAATTTACTAGCCGTCTTGATCATGCAATGGTATTCGTGATATCAGTTGTCGTTATAGAATTCGTGTCCTGAATGCAGAAAGGAATTATTGTCTTCCTTTCTATAGGTCTTGGTAGTAGTATTGCGGAGAGACTCAGGTAAGTGCAAAGCCAACAGGCCAAATTCCGATGCCGTTACTACGTAGGCCCAAAATAGGAGCCAGTGTTTGTATACGATTAGTACTAAGTATGGTACGTTCCGATAGAAAATGATTACAATTATCGGCCGAGTCGATTGGCGCTCACGCGCTACAATATTTGCAGTATTTATATATGGACAAGCAATGTTAAAAGAACAGACATGGTGCTCGATGATAACAGATATTACAGTTGCTAAAGATGCTTCTGAGTAGGTATCTTCTGTGCACGACGGAGATCGTACTGGTGAAGTTCAGAGTAGTGACGACTGAGCCCTTCCGTCAGTAGTCATGCATTGGAAAAAAGGAAGTGGAAACATACTACTGGAAATGACGGTGTCGTGGGTAGCGTCAACATATATATCGGTTGATTGAGAGGGAATGTGATGTTGTTCGAATCGAGAGTGCCGTTGGTGCTGCTGTTCCAGATATTGATGGGAGTGCGAGTGAGATGCGACACTAGTTCTTGAACCCAGCCAAGACCCTGAGCCTTCGCAGCACGTCTGACTGTGGTTCCAGCTGGTGAAACATAAGTGTGGTTCGCATGAGTAGGAAATGTACATTGACCCCCATATAATTACCGCTGGACCACCTCCAACGAGTGACGTCACTATAGGTGATGCAATACCAAATGCTACAAGAGGGTAAGTCGCGGTATTGAGCAAATCGCTGCTCAGACATACGGACTGCCATGATAGCTAATCAAATCATCGAGCCGACAGACTGTGAAGGGAACGCTCTACTCACTGAACAATATCTGTACTGGACCTCGAGACTAGCGACGACCACGAACATTACATGCTGATTGAACAGGAACAAAAACAAGCACAAACCCGTGTCATCTCCTGTAGTAGCCCAGCTTCTCTAGCCCAGCCTGGGAGACAGCGTCAGCATTGACTCCATCTTCGAAGTTCATCGTGGCAGTACAATAAGAGAAAAAGGCGGCAGACCAATATGCGAAGGAGAGATTTATGTACCAAGTGCTAACAGAAATGCAACGTGGCACCTATTGGGCTGCTGACTGCGAAGGAAGGAAGATGCGGGAAGACAGCTTGAATCTTTTGAAAATTTGAAGTGGATTGTAGCAGGCTAATTAGCTGTGTTGAGTCGCCGAATGACTTGGTGTATGATCATGTGGATACTCGGAAGTTGCCGGTTGGTCGAAAAGTGTCGATTTAGTATGGGACCGGGGGTCAAAGAAACCTTGTCAAGCAAGGTAATCGATGCCCGGCTCGAGCCTCTAGCCATTTTTTCAAAGGCAGGCCCTTTTTCTTCTCGATGGTAGGTTAGTATCTGCCTGCGTACAGGCTCTATAATGTTGTATTCACTTCTCACTAAATTTACAGTCCTTGTCCTCAGTCACTGCTCACACTACTAGTATGCATCTTGCACGTCAGTCCTGTATTATTGTATTACCTCTAATTTGTTCATCTATGTTAGTTTTCAGACACAGTACCAAGATCGGCCCGTATGCACTCAAATATCAGAAGACTCGGGTGACCCAATAGCCCAGGTGCGCCGTTGGTTTGTTTATTATGTTATTTTTTGTATTTAAATCTGGCACTACAGGATGATGATACTACTAACACTTTTGGTCGCCTACCTGCCCTTGCAAAGCCTGCAAAGACCTCTCCCGCATACCCGCTGGTACGGGTGCGGGTCTGACCTTCGACACACCCGTGCCAATCTCTAGTCATCTGATGGCTTGGTTAGTCTAGTGAGAACTTCGCAAGGGCTGCAGCGACCTAATGATTTAAGACCCGTTAGCTCGAACAACATAGTTGACCATATAGTACTGAATTTTGTACAACACAAGACCTGTGTGTGTGTTCAGCATTTGTGTGTGTGTATAATTGTTGAACTGATCCAGCGCCATAGGGTTTTGGCCGAGTTATATTTTGTCCGCCACGGTCCGTCATACGCTGCTCTATTAGCACGAGACTGAAGGTGAGACATTCGTTAATACCTTACATTCATTTCTAACTCTACTAGTATACATTCCTTTTCTTTTTAGTTCCTTTTCCCGCGTGTCGCTGCAACGAACAAAATTTGGCAAGTTGCGCATGTGAATTCAAGTCTCCGCTTTCCTCTACAAAGCCAAGTATCATAATGCAACGGCCAGTAGCAGAATGACTATATAAATATTGTTATATATGTCTTTCTCACGTTTCCATCAGTTCACTAATGCGTGCATGTATAGGACCCGCCTTTATGAGGCATACCTCCGTTCGTGACGCTACAGCAAGTCGGACAGGAGCAATCATCAATTAAATCGTGAATCTTGAAGTCGTCCTCGCACTCGTACAGAAACGCATTGCCGTTGTTATAACCCGCGAGGAGTCCGCACTCGTACTGTCCTGAAAACACCCGTACTTAGCACGCGGTCTGAGGTCAAAACACGCATGCTAAAGGTATTCACCTGGCTTGTCGCATGGCATGCCGTCGGGGGTTACTTTTGCTACTGTAACTGCGCCAAGTACTGGCATTATGGCAGATATAATCATCATGGTGAGTGAGATGAACTTCATTGTTGTACTTCGAAGGAGAGGGCTGGATGACGGTTTTTGTTATTAAAATAACAGTGATTACTTTGCTCTTTTATACACAGACAGCGGAAACTTCACTGAAATGGTTTTACAGAGAGATTTGAATTCCTCAGGCCTCAGGCTCGGACAGCGCAGGAACGTGAGAGCGTGCCACATCATGCATCGTTAAGATTGTCACCACAAGCGGAGGAGCGTCCCAGAACTAATATAGTTCTATGTACAGTATAGGACCGGCATTTGAGCCAAACAGCTACCACACACTCAGTGTTTGTTTATCAACCTATTGAATAGTGCAGATGTATTGGTAATACATGGATCTTGTATACTGTCGAGTAGAAATAAAAAAAAATAATGCATGCATGCTACAGGTCAGAAACATGCCCTCTCTCAGCACCAATCAATGCAGCGAGAAGGAATCATTCAATTATCGATGTCAGAAATGCTAGAAAATGAAAGATTTATATCCATAGTACAGTTTCAGTACAATAAAATATGTCCAACATACAACAATGTGCTGCCACTGGGATGCCGGACTAGGGTCTCAAAATCTGTTATCAAGGACAGTGAAACTAACCAAATTTGGAATTTTATTTTCGGACTCAACAAACACCATCGCTTACATGATGCACTCGCACTCTATAAATCCATATAAGGGCTGGCTCAAGTGGTGAAAAAACTAGATATCGAGATACTATCCTACTGACTCACGCACTGTGAACGCATCACTCATTCGATTGCTCTGTAGCGTTGCATTAGCGTGGTCATCATGTATATAAACATGACTGCCAAGTCAAAATTTTAATTTATGTACGAGTGTTCACTTGAGACGGTCAACAAAATCCACTGGCTCAAATGCCGGTCCTATACTGTAATCATGTTTATCTGGCCCTTTCACCTCAAATGACGACAAAGGTTCCCACGCGTCAGCGTATATCTTCAGCTTCAACAGCCAGGCGGTCCAAGCCCACATTCACATTAAGTTCAATTTAAAGTATCCAGTGTCTAGCATGAGCACGGAAGTCACACAATATATCACCTGCAAGGCTGGTGCCAAATTTAAAGATGTATGCATGGTACTAATATTATTAAACACAGTTTGTACAGCGATGTGTGTGCGATAAATGACAATAATGCAATAAAATGACGAATAACACTGTTTACTATGTTCAGACACAGCGACGAAAAGAGTCCTAGATAGTGAGTGGCTTGCTAGTTGGATGCTTAGAAAACTTGAATGGGAACGCAACCCCTTAACGCGTCCTGCCGAAAGAGAACAGTGACGTCCAAATAATACTGAAACCTACCAGTCAGATGTATATCGTATGTTGTAGGAGGAGACTCGCCTGAACGCTAACACCAGGCCAATCGACTCCTGGTATCATATCCTTTGACAACCGGAATTTGCCCTTATAAAGGCCATCGGGCAGATACGCCTGGCATTGAGAACCATCGGGATCACTAGGATGACGAGGCCGCTTTGGAAATCCAACAGACACTTGTGTTGTTATAGTATGAGTTTCTGAGAAGGAAGCTTGTGGTAATGCAGGGAGTGGTTTGTGCCGGACAGCAGTTGAGAAAGGCTCTTCAGGGCTTGGTACACGAACTCTTGCAGTTGCAATCATCTTTGCTGCGCGGTGTAGTAGTTTAGCCCGTGACGTCTGAAAAGGACCAGATGGACTGTCTGGATCATCAATTTGTTGTGTGGTGTCAGGGGAAGTAGGGGTTAGCTGTGGGTTTATGGTAACTTTACGGATGAGGGAAACAGCAATGGTGGCATCGGCGGCGATTTCTCGGGCAAGTGTGGCGCATCGAGGTTTTGTTGTGAATACAACAAAATACGGGACAGAGGAACATCGAGAAAACGTTTGCGAGCGTGGCAGAGTGACCTATAAATTCTGTTCGTGAGATGATATATATGTGTACCACACCCTACACCTACCGCGCAATGGAACGGGACAGATCGCTCTGGTGTAAGAGGGATTTCGAGCCATAATTCAGGCGTGATATTGTATTTCTCTATAGAATGAGAGTCTGTGTCCGGATGGAAAAGAATGGGAACTTCCAGCCTGTAACCTGAGCGGTAAGCATCTGAAAGCCAGTGGTGCCTGGCATTTGTTAACGCACATCCCACTAGTCTCCGAAATATCTGAGGGCTCCCACACTGCAATGATGCGATACGACACTTCAGCCTTCTCCACAACAGACAGTTCTCCTCGCCTATTATCGCAAGGCATTGAAGCACAGAAGGTAGGAGGCATATCTTCACCTGGTCGACTTCCGCGAGGAATTTCGAAGCTAAATTCGTATGATCTAGACGCAAGGCCATCCAAACTCCAGTCGCTGGGAAGTTGCAGTGCCTCAAACACGTCGGAAAACGGGTCAGGGATAGGTGAAATAGGAATAACGGTAGAGGACGATAGGAATACGTGTTTGTATTTGGAAGTTTTAGGTCCCTGGGCAGATTCGTCGTCTAGATCCTCCTTTACAGAAACAAACTCAAACACGCCTTCAATCTACAATAGCAATAATTATTGAGTTCACGTGTATGACTTATGGTATCAGACTTACCGATATGTTTAGCCGACCGTTTTGTGAGCAGTTCGGATCTAGGAAAACTTTTCCTTCGACCTTGTCATGATATCCGAAGACTGGACAAGAGATCATTCCATCAAGCCCGGCCTGCTTGACCATTTTAATAGAGGAACTATATAGTTGCATATCCAGAAGTAACGAGCTGTGCATACCAGTCAATGACCGATCGCCTGGTCCACGCCACTGGACTTGTGACACTCACTGGAAGGTGGATACGCGTGAATGCGAAGTTTGAAGACAATTATCGAGCCCCGCAACCTGCACGAAGCTCGATGGCGGTGGCAATGCACCAGGGTCGAGGCGACGGTGAGGCTTAACTCGGAGCGGCAACGTCATCCTGAGGCCAACACACCGTGAAGAAGGGATGAATAGGAGAGTTTGCGGGTGGACCTCTAGAAGGCACGGTGAGTCTCGTTCCTCATATAATCTTGACCCTCAAACCCTGCTGTAAAACGTTTAACTAGAGAAGTAGGATTTAGGCATGAAAAGTTACTTACAGAAAGATCTATTTGTATGGAAACTGTTAGTCAAATTTGACTGAAAATGACTTAACGTTTCCCCCGTAGCGATGAGAAGAAAATAACTGGAATTTCACAAGATCTGCAGATATGTTGTTAAAATCATGAAGTGCGTTTTCAGCACGACAAACCACGTTATTGACGACGATACGTAGTTGTCGTGAAGGGTCCTTCCAGGTAATAGGAATGCCCCATGAGCGGAGCATAATAACGGTCGAAAGTTGAGGACCGCAGTAAACAGTTCTCAGATATGATTGGTGGACTCAACAGAGACGTTCCTGAGAACTATAATCTAAAAGAGCGCCCTCTTACTCACGGCCGGGGCCCGAGGGACTATGTATTAGGCCTCAGGCCAATTTACAATTCCTGCGTTGCTACGCGCTAGATATCTCTTTCATGTCAGGTTCAAAGATCGTGGTTACGGGTAACGTCTCCTTTCCATCTCAGAAACCTCATACTGAAAAAAAGATCAGGGGCATCTGGTGTTCTCGGCACTGCAGTTCATAATGCATTCGAGAAAGCACTGCGATATGAGGTCGTGGGCTTGAAGAATAAAAGCACCGCAAGCCATCTAGTGCAGCTAGATTTGACAGATAAAGAAGCGACCAAACAGAAGTTGGAAGAAATTAAACCTACTTGTGAGAGCAATTTCATGATGGTTCCGCGCAGGCCTTCACTGTGACTCGCAAGGGGTGATACATTGTGCTGCTGAAAGAAGACCTGATGTTGCAGAGAAGGTATGGACGTTCCCACCAACATTGATATTACGTTGATCCATATCACCTCAGGATCAAGCCGGAACCCAACTTGTTCGTCGGAAGATAATTATTAGCAGAGACATCTAATAGCGCTCATCCAGCTGAATGTCGAAGTGCCTGGGTACCTTGCCGAACTCGCAAGGGCCATTAACTTTAAACTCGTGTATATCTCTACTGGTAAGCAGCACTGCAGCCGCCATAAACTTACTATCATTGAATGATGGATAGACTATGTTTTCGACGGAAGATCGCCTCCCCCTGGCGGGTACACACCAGAGTCACCCACTAACCCACTTCAGATCTATGGTCAGACTAAACGGGATGGTGAGACTGCTGTGTTGCAAGCTCGGAAACAGGGTGCCAAGGCGGTGGTTTTGAGAGTTCCAGTATTGCAAGTGACCTCCGGTTGCACACTTCGTTCTGACCCTGATCTCACCCACGCTTAGGTATGGTCCTGCACCTAACAATGCAGACTCGGCCGTTAATATCCTCATTGATGTTGTCCGGGATCAATCAAAGGAGTCTAACATGGATGACTATGCGATCAGGTATCCTACCAACGTATTGGACATTGCATCCTTTTTGGTCCGTTTGACGGGTATGTACAAATTCATCCATATCAAACCATTGGGCTGAAACACGAGGTTGGGCAGATCTTAGTTTCGATACTCTACCGCCAATTCTTCACTATTCGGCGAACGAATCCTTCACAAAGTACCAGATGTGCAAAATCTTTGCCGACATTCTTGGTCTCGGCATAAATCATATGAAGCCTGTCTCTACACCTCCAACTGGTGCTGGTGCCACATCACGCCCTTACAATTGCCACCTATCTACTGCTGAGACAGAGAAATTACTTCCCTTAGAATGTACAGGATTTAGAACGTGGTGGGAGGAATATTTACAAGATGGCGGCAAGTAAATTCCTGAAATTGTACTACTATCAATAGAGCCCTACACTTTTCCTTCCACGAAATCCAGCTATTGATCCGTGAACTAATGGCGTTGCCATGATTAGTTTTAGCAATCAATCATTGCTTCTCCTTGGCAGGTTCATTTCGCTGCTCTTTTCCCGTCTCCTTAGTTCCTCCACGTTCTTTCTGGTGGGAGAGTTAACTGATGATCACATGGGTCCCGCTACTCTCGGTAGTAAACTCACCGGCTCCGGCTCAGCGAAGTAGGCTAAAATGCTCAAAATTGAGCAGATATAACAGTCGCGTTGGAACGATACGCACTCTTTCGTTGCTCCGCATCCAACATTGGCTTCGAGACACTACCATCAATGGAGGAAACCCCCATAGGCCAATGTGAGTTTGTATATTCAAGAGGTGGTGATTGTGTTCCTCCAGACGACATTTTGTGCGATTTACGGTGTGTAGATGATGATGGTAAGTCGCAACCCCTGTACTAAACTATGACATCATTGTTTCGCTATTCATGGTATACAGTAATTTCCTTATCCGCATCTGATCCCCCGTCCTTCGACTCGTCGTCTACTTCCTCAACGTCCCGCGAACTGCGTGTCGTACATTCATATCCGGACACGTCGATTTCCTCAAAGGTGTCAGCGGCACCGATTACCGGGAAGACACGGTTCAACGCCCAATAGACAATCGCAGAAACTCCAAACCCAGTAAAGAACGACAGATCATATATCCGAGTAGCTGCTAGAGGGACTGTACGCCCAGCTGGGAAATAACATCTCAAGATCGACACATCGCGATCGTGGAGACAACTTACTGGCTCCAGCAAAACCAACAGCGTTTATCAGGATCCCGGCAATATACGCGGTGTATGCCCTTAACAACACTTGTCAGGGTTGGACACTTCAAGGCAATCAGAACTCTCACCGGAAGTTGATCCCATATGTGTACCAGTACCAGCTCCCCTTTTCGGTATTATAAAGGTCCTTCACGTTATAATGACCCTTGCGGACGATGTAGTATTCCGTCACCTACAGCAACCCGATCACGACGATGAAAAGAACACTTGCAAAAGTGCCGACTTACCATCACCCCAGCAATAGAACTCATGAAAACTGAATACGCGGAGAGGTAAGAAGTGAACTCATTACTATTTTTCAGAAGATTCCATGGGCACATGGCGAAACCAACGATAGCGGCGATATACCCGCCACGTCGGATGTTCTGCAGTCGGTTCTTAAGTATGTCAGTTCTAAGTATACGTCGGACATGCATACAATGAAACGAGGGCACAGTGCCGTTAAATCGCATCCTGCCGACACTGAATTTGCGCAGATGTTCGTCCTTAGTAACCAATGTCAGCTTGGAGCACCCTCTGAAGTCTGGGTACGTTATTTGACACACCCCATCTAGGAGCAGAAGAAGCATTAGATTCGCAACACAAGAATAAAGAAAATTCGCGACGTCACCTGTGCGAGCACGAATGACGTTGAGATGAACCATACCTGCGAGAAGGAAGACGTGAAAGTGTGTCAGAAAGAAGCACAGGTCCTCGGATACCAAAATTACACACCCCAAATCTCGTCGCTTTCGATGGATTGTCATTCAAGAAATTTCCCAAGAGTTCGACGGGTGACCAGATGGCTGTCCCATAAATTGCCTGCGACGACGAGCTCACAAGGATTCCGATCAAACTTACAAACGCCGCACTTAGAGGAATAGTAAATAGTTGTGGGTATACTGCGGCCGACGAGGTGCGTGCACGAGAGGCGAAATCCGGTGCGTTGGCAATCAGGGTTACCTTGTTACTGATGCACGACATGGAGCTAACTACCATGGCCCAGCCTAAGTTTGATCCGTGCAGCGTAGAAGGCTGATGCACAGCCGGACCGATTCCATGAGCTTTCATGAGGCACCATATGAGGAATGTGATTGAGGCTATGGGCATCAAGATTGGCGTCACAAGGAAGAAGTGGCGGCTAAGGAAGGTCACTTTGTAACCGTCTTCATGAGAAAGTGTGAATGTACTTACACCTTGTGCACAGGGAGCCAGATGACTGGCAGCGAAATCAGCCAGAAGAGGAAGAAGCCTAGGAAACTTTGAGTGTCCGTTCCAGAGGACGCGGGCATCGAATTTGCTATCGGCGGGCTCAGTTGGTGCGATTACCGCAGGAAATGAGAAACATAACACACGCAGGTTATCTATGCTAGGCCACATTGCTCTGAGCATCACGAGCACACAGGAACCTCCGATGCTTGCCTGGACGCCATACCATATGCTATGCTACTTAGTTCGCGCATCATTGAAAAGCGGGTTTATACACACCATGCCATAGCGGCGCGATTAAAGACGCACCACAGACTGCCAAACATCCCGAAGCTCGTGCGATTCACGACTGGAAACATCACATGGAAAATAGCACCAGGACGTGCATTTAGGACAAGGAAAAGCGCAACAGTGCCATAACCCAGCCAGACGCATATCCAGGCTTGCCACCACGACATTCCTAATTGGATCATGGAGCTTGAAGATGTTATTAAATAAGCAATTATAATGGTGATAGTAAGCGTACGATACGATCATCCACATGTTAATGTTAAACATGTCTGATGTCCAGAAGGCCACGTAGTTGTATGCACGCCATGTGCGTTTCGCCGGATCGACGGGCAGCAAATCATAGTGCTATCATTCATCAAGTTGGCGTCAGTACTCTTAGGAGATCGTATCGGAATACTCACGGCAACGAGCTGCTCGGTGATGGTGAGATTGGGGTCATGACTGACTTCGAAGATTTGGACGATTCTATTGACCAAACCCATGGCAGATTCAACTGGTAAATGGGCGCTATCATCGTCTACAAGTCGCAGTTCTTTAACCCCATGCTTATCATGCACGAACGCCACTCACGCTACACCCATTTTCACACAATATCTTGGGCTGCCAGTCGAAAACTCCCTATAACGATGTTCACCTGTCAACAATCCTCAAAAATGGCCCTCAGATAGGCACGGACCTGATAAAATCCAAGGGAATGCACGATCTAAAGATGCAACGAGCAGCAGCTGACAACTGTTAGTATGCTCCCGACAAGCGCCCGCCAGGAATTTTTAACTTCGGCAACTTCCAGGACAGAACTGCGACAGCACATCACCAAAAACCAAGATTCCCTATCAACTTTTATATACAACGGCCCTCCGGGCTTCCTTGTACCCTTTCTATGCACAATCTTTCTCTGTTTCTCTCGATTTTTTATCTCTATTATTTCATACACACATTATCATGTAGATAATGACTATATTTGGCTAAAATGTGGCAGTGCAGATTACACTTTCGAAGGGGAAGTTTATATATGTAGTACAAAATACAAAGAAAATATTTGAAATTTAAACTAACATAAGAATGGGCACATAACTTGTCAGTATTTTGTGTGAAATCCAAAATATGAAGCATCCACAACCATTTTTCCACTAATTATATGAGCCAGTCCATGGTCCAAGAATTGGGATGGACCGGACCTGAGTGAGGTTCATTGTCCACCATTGTCTGAACAGTTCTATGTTGGTCTGAACTTTCCCTGAACTGGTCTGAACCCCAAACCACAAGAAGTTCTGCCTAAAGTTGCCGCAGTCCAGTTCTGAACCCACAGAACCGGTTCCAAACCTTGAACCAGACTGTGGTTCGGTCCAGTAACGGTTAGGGTTCGGGAGGTCCAGAGGTGGTTGGGTTCGTGGTTCAGAGATAAGTGGAATTTGAGAACCGTACATGGACCTGTTTGAACCATGACCGAACCACTATAGATATTTTTAAAAAAGGTAAACAGAGTCTGTCTACCATTACTGTAGGTTAGTCTGTAACTGTACAGTTGTAATATATCAGTGGCTGAGTAACTACCGAGTGCTGAATACTAGTGTTACACATCGTTAAATCACACTAGTATGGATGGTCAGTGTGCAGTGAACATGGATGGGTCACTCAAAGTCGTTGAACTCACAAACAACTATCAACCAAAGTCGCTCAAGCCAAGTTGAAGGTTTTCCTCACAGAAGATTTAGTTGCTGTCGACAAATGTAGCTCACCAGAACAGCAAGCATCAACAATTTTTACATGGTGGAAGGTACATTCTCGTATTGTATCATTTTCAACACCTATTGTCATATCCCGCGTTCTGGACCCAGACGTATCACACACATCATTTCCGGATATCCGGATCCGGCTGACTTCTATCTATGTCCGTATCTGACCCATGTCTAACTTCCGTGCCTAATCCCTTTGTACGTTCCTATTCCAGTTAGACTATATTATTTTCCGTACCTCATTTCACTTCCACCTTTATTTTCCTCTGTTCTCATCTCCGGGTTCATTTACTGATTTTGATAGACTAGTGTTTGACTTTTCTATAACCTCCGTCCACAGCCTCGCATAGCTTCGGACCGCGCTGGCTTGTCCTCCGTTAAGTCCTCCATAGTATATAAACCCTGTAGAATCTATGTACATCTTTAGTTCAAATATTATCTTAGACTCTGCTCATTCTCCCCTCTGTTTGACTTGAGTTATTCTCTCGTTGACCTCCGCTAGTCTTAGGGTTGATCCCGATAGACTTATCACCTCCGCCTCTACCTTTGGTAGTCCTCCGCTGTTTCCTTTCTAGTTCGGACATCGTCCAGATTAGTCTTATCACCTGTTCCCGAACGTCCGCCGGAATTCCCGCACATCAGACAATTGGAATCTGGACATCGTCCATTAGCCTTCGGAAGTTAGGGGCACATACTCAGGTAAGGGGCACAGCGCACGAGCTGAAGCCAAGCCCTTCGGATTAAACCCTTGAGCACAATCTTAACACCTATCTACACTCAACATCATTACCAGACTAATGCTCCCCGTTTTCCCATCCTGAGTCGCATCGCACTTGATTATTTACCTGTGCAAGGTTCCTTGGTACCATGTGAACAAGCATTTTCGGACGCAGGACTTACAGATATGAAACGGCGTGCAAGATTGCTTCCCAAGAACTTTGGCGACATTCAGACGGTGAAAGGCAGATACAAGCGGGAACGAAGGCACAGAGACACAGAGAAAGCTGACAGGGAGGCTGCGGAGAGGAGACGATGGGCAGAAGACTCTGTTTGTGAGGTGCAAAAACAGAAAGACAGTTGTTCAGCGCTGTGGGAGCTCGAGTAGTAAAATTTTCACAAAAAATTCTATTTTGTATCAGTGAAGGGTCTAGAACCGGTTCAAACTCGAACAGAACCATACCAGACCGGTCCATTGGCGAACCTATAATCCTGGTTCGGGTTCAAGGGTGAGAAAACAATGCTACTTGGTTCGAGTTCGAGTTCAACCAAAATCTGCTTGAACCGGACCTGAACCGGACTGCAGCAACTTTAGTTCTGCCACATCAGCAATATCTCACATTTCCTTTTTGGTCTTGTTTGTATTACTCGTCTGAAAAAAGTCACTAAGTAAATAAAGCAAACCTCAGGTTTTATAGAAGCTGCTGGTCATTTTAATGTAAGAAATACAATAAAAAGTATTAAGCCTAAGGTAGAATGTAAATTGGTTTAAGATTTATTAGAGGTACTAATAAACTAGTCGGGGACATGAAGAAGGAATTTCGAGTAATCATTAAATTTATTAAATTAAGAAGAAAATTTCGACATTTCTGACATTGCTTATCCTGCTGGTGTCACTTTCTGCAAACACAGTTCAAGTGAATATTGTAGTGTAAGACACATAAGTGAATTTCAGTGTGATCAGAGAATATGAAGCAGAGGACAATGAGGCCTTCAAAATGGCTCTGAAACCATGGTGGAGGCAGAAGGGTGGTAGGAGAGAAGAACAAGGCCTTTGAACAGCTGCAAAACCATACAAATGGCTCACAGAGGCAGGAGGGTAGTAGGAGGGGAGGATGAGGCCTTTGAACACCTGCAAAACCATACAAATGGCTTGCAGAGGCAGGAGGGTAGTAGGAGAGGAGAACAGGGTCTTCAAACACCTGCAAAACCATACAAATGGCTCACGGAGGCAGGAGGGTAGTAGGAGGGGAGGACGAGGCCTTTGAACGCCTTCAAAACCATACAAATGGCTTGCGGAGGCAGGAGGGTAGTAGGAAAGGAGGATGGGGTCTTTGAGATTAAAATGCAATTTCAAATGCATGATGGTCAGCCAACTTGTTGATGTAGAAAGCATGGAATGTGTCTAATGAATGGTAAAAATTAATGTTGCAAGGGATATAATCAGTACCATAGATAGGAAGGAGATGAGCCGCATGGTAGATTGCATTTATGTGCATTACAGATATATTTGGTGAACGTCCATCAAAGGATGGCTGAACTATCCACATGCCCATGTCTTCATCAGGAGCTTTGCTGATGACATTGAACCAATGAACAACAGCGCACTCATATAGGACCCACTTGTACTTGAACAAGAAAAAGCACAGTGCTCACATAACTTCAAGTCCTCGCATTCCTTCAAGCTCTGGTTGTTACAAGAACATCTAAACGCTTGGGCCCCTACCATTTTTTCTCCTGATCCTCCTCGTATCAGCCCTCGCATCATACCCTTACCCCGACCTTACCCTTGTCATCCTCGTCATCCTCGCATTCCCTTTCGCCCTCTACCTGTCGCTTCAGCAGAGCCAGTACATTTGGCCGGATCCTTTTGCTGACGAAGCATACCCATGCTCCGTTTCACCACCTGACTGATCCTGTGGACAGTCCCCTTGCCCTTACCGTCTGGACGGTAACCTATGATAGGATGCACGACACATCCCCTTTGCCCTGTTCCCTTTTATGATCTCTGACTCGGTGCGCAGTCGCACATGCAACTTATACTTAGATCCGCAGCTGCACGATCGTGCCCCTGCGCGTTTCACTTCTTATTTTCGATCTTTGACTCACTTTCTTATCTAGCACGTTCTACCCAGACCGAACGTGCCTTCCTGTTATGGTCTTACCCTTTATCGATTGCCTCTCCTGGTAGTACGAGTTATCATCCACTAATATGTCTCCTGTCCTCTATATAAACTTGCTACCATGTACTATATTCTCTAACTTGAATCTACTTGGTTCTTGACCTCCTACTCTCACCAGAGTGATCCTTTTGCCTCGCCAGCAGTCTATATTCTATCTTCTTATCTGCTATCGCGGATAAGCCTATAGTCTCGACCTTTACTCATCGACTTCGTCGACGAGCAAAGCCCCTGTTAACTAGTCGGACTTCTGTCCTTCTAATTAACGACGATCTTACGATTAACCTTCGGGTGTCGTAAGCCTAGGCCGATATAGCTTATCGTCTTGCACTGCGTGACATAAGCTACCGATTTGGACATAGGCGTTAAATCGTACTTGCCAAAGACTGCCAAGTACGACCCTACCTTGGGCTAGCCCAAGGACGTCCACAGACCGTTGACGACACAAGCTCTGTTTGAGCGTCGCCAACAGATACATCCAAGTCGTAACACTGGTCGTGCGTTAGTAAACACACAATCATAGTGACTGGGTCCATTCCTCTATCTCGGGCAGGATCAAATGTGTTCTCTGTGCATTCCTCCCATCCCACTTGGGTCACTGGATGCATAGAATCTTGATGACGCTGAATTGACCACCGAGACTTTGCCATCATAGATTGGGAAGCTCTCAGCTGGGATGATTGCATGGTCATAAAGGTCGCGAGGGTGAAGCTGTTCGAATAGGAATTTCCCAACAAGGTCTTTTAAGTGCGGGATAGACAGCTCAATAGCAAGTGCTGGCACAGTGCATGCACATTTGTGTTCTGTCATTTTGATGAGTTATGTTATAGCAGGTATCAAACTAGTACATACAGCATGTTTGCGCAAGCTGCACCTGAGCCTCAATCTCTGTTGGCCCATTATCAATCTCACCATCGTCCAAGTCAGCACCAGATTTGATCTGAACATCAGGAACAGTGGTATTCACACATGCATTATTGGTACTGCCTGAATTATTGATGCAAAATCAGTACGAGACATAGCATAACACCAAATCACTAACCTTCGGTATGTGGGGCATCTGTAAGACATGTACCATTGAGCATACCTGTTAAGGTCATACTCTTGTATTAATGGATCCGATAGGGCTTCAGCCTCAGCTCGTACGCTGTGCCCCTTTCCCAAGTATTGCCCCTTATTTCAGAGAGGGAGATATAACATGTCCGGAGGATCGGATGAGTACTGTAATGATATCTGAAGGTTGTCTGGATAATGGAAACATGTGTAAGACTAATCTGGACAGGTCCGGACTAGAAAACAACAGAGTATAGACTATCTGAAGATAGAGTCGAAGATGTAGACTTATAGGATACAATCCTTAAGTCTCGGAATGTGACAAGAGCTTAAATAGGCTCGAGTCCGGAGGACAGAAAGAGAACAAACTAAGATGATATTCAAACTGAGGTATTACAGGGCATATACAAGGGTTTATATACTAGAAGACTATCCGAGGCTATGCACAAAGTATAAGCAAAGTTTATCACAAGTTAAACGCGAGTTAGAAATTAGCACAGGTTAATGGATCATAAAGCATAGCCAGAAGTAAGGATAACCGAGATACCAGGAACAAGAAATACCGAATAAAGGAATAGGCTGTGATTAACGTTATATGAACAGGAAATGAATAGGAAGCTTATCGTATCTCGGATCGGATCGGATTTAGGGTCCGGATGAGAAGTGTGGATATATGGGATATGACAATACTGCATTTGGTAAAGTCTATGCGCAAGGTGGCAAGTTTGTCGAGCCATTGATTTGTTATGAGCATTTGCCCAAGTGCATTGTACCTGTTTGACTGACACCATGGTTGCTTCATGGCCTTGATATGTTTGTTCTCTGTCATAGAGGAACAGAGCCCATTTGGAGCGCCAAAAAGATGGATAAGGTCAGGGTAGTGCTTCATTGAATGCTGATGTGGAAGTGAGAACATAGGAATGACACAGAGTCGGTGAAATATTTGATGGTAGTGGTGGAACCAACAAATTGCGTCTTCTACTTGCAAGATTGTGTCCTACATGATGGTGTTCTTTCGGACTAGGTAGCAGAATTCCAAAAACACATGAAATGTGCGGATGACATCGGTTGGTAAATGGCCTTCTATTGCAGGCAGATATATCTACAAGTCATAAAACAGATATTTGATCAGTTGAGTCTCATTTGAATTAAAATACATGTACTTACCTTTATGAGCGCCTTTGAGTCGTCCCCAGTCCACTGTTTGAATCCACAGCCCTGCAGAAAACATTGCAAGCCAGTGAATGGAACAGCAGCAGCCAGACATTGGTCTATATCATCCATAATGCACTCTGCTTCGCGTTTTCTGTGAATATGATGGAGGTACCTCTCCACCCATGCAACAAGATGGTCCTTGAAGCAGCCTTTAATAATCTGGTGAAGGAGATCTGGTGCGATAAGCTGATGAATATCGGCACAGAGGAAGTCATTAGTGAATGGCTAAGCATAAATAAGCCCCATGAGCACCCCAGATAACCAAACAAAGCATACCATGACTTCTCCAACAATACCAAATTCACTCCACAGCATGCTACTGAATCTATCCTCTTCAAAGAGGGCCTCTCTGTGTGTCTCACATCGACAAAGCACATCATTGTCTAGGTTTCGACATGGAGCAAGACACTTGCAGAGGCATCAGACATTGGGAGAGCAGTGAAAGAACTAATAAAACAAACCTCAGACACCATCTCCTCATGATCGACATAAGTAACACCTGCTCCTCGTAGTCCATGATATATGGACCTAGTCCATAAATAACACGTTGATAATAGCCATCACTGAAACATACAATCTCGGGCTTTGACATGGCATCTTTGAGTGCATCAAGTATCTTTGTGAGTGAAGAATGGAAGATCTGGTGCCATAAATTGTGAAATTCTTCTGTCTCTGCATGTTCCTTGGTAGCTACAGGACAGAGTCAAGTTACAGGATAAAACAACTTGAAAAAATGTACTCTTCGGTAGGGCAAGAAAGCCAACAAGACAGAGGGTGTTTTGGTGTACTCAGTGCACATTGCCGATGGACAGATACAACAGATAGTACTTGTTGTTTCCAGTGCTGACTGACACAGTGGTCTTGTCACTTCCAAGTATTATCAGTACAAATGTAGCTCCGAGATTGCTGGGATCAGTGGCGATAATATCCTGAAAGGAATGATTATGACAAGAAGACTAATTTAATATAGGAACATACCGCTTGCTGCCAGGCCCAATCAGCTGACATAAAGTCCTGGAAGCGACATTCATCCTTGTTGACCGAAAATTCATGGAATGGCCAATAATCAAACTCATTTACATAGTCAGGGTTAGCCAGAATGTTCCATGTGACTTCATGGGGGTCATGATACCAAACATCAAACTGTTTGCTCATCCATGGACATCAGAAAAAATTTGGTGCTACATTTCTTGTGCTTATTGTTACACAGTTCACATAGTATGAGCTACCTTTAGCTAACCATTCATAGCCTCCATAGTACCTATACCACATGGTTTAAAACATGTGATCCATAAAGTATGCCTGGTCTGTGTTATAGCTGACATAGCTTGCCCATAGCATATGACTTTAAGTATATACTCATTGTATATCTAGAACTTACTGTTATATAATCTATATAGCACTCGTAGTTTCTGTAGTGCAGGCTAGCCAGCCCTCATTTTGTGTTGATGGAGTTGCAAAGGCATAGGTGGCATTTCAATATATTTACAGTAGTAAGTCATGAAATACAACATTTGCACAGTTTTGATCTTCATTTAACTCTGAAAATAAGCACAATGTGTCTCTTCGCATCCTTACTCTCAATAGTGCCATATACAACTGACTATGCATGAAAGGATCTGTTCATAAGTCGAGTATGGTTCATGTGAGTGTCAGCCCTTGACACCCATTAAATGTGGTTGCATATGTGAGTCATAGAGGGAACTGTCTTTGATTTACTGTCCATGACAAATGATTTGGATGGAATGCAAAGTTGATGCAAGGAATGCAGTGGCTCTCAAGTCTATTGAGTAGTTGGACTTCAACAAATCTGTGATGAATCATGCGTACTCGTGCATTTTGCACTAATCCTTTTTCTGCTGACAGAGGTTTCATTGAATGGCACAAATACAGTTTTGTTTGAGATCTAGGCGATGACTCATGGTACTCCAGGATAGGTCAACATTGCGAGGTAATCAAAGGTGTGTTCTGGTGCATTCAATGGTGTGAGCTCAACTTCTTTCAAGCTGTCCAAGCTGAAATAAGATTCACTGCGGAAATGAGAAATTGACCAGACCCTATCTGGATGTGGTTAAGCCGTCTGCCTAGACACAATTCGTACTTAGTAGTCTATCTGTACTTGAACTGGATGTGAGGAATTTGGATGTTAAAGATTTCAGACTTTGGAGCAAACCAGACCCACAGTTAGAGGCAACACCAGGTAAACATACCCAAACTAGAACTCAGACACACGTTCTTACCATCAAACCATACACATCCAAGCAGGCTTCAAAACCAGACACTAACCATGGTCTAGGTACCCTCACAAGGTGTATCTGGACCTTGGGATAGCCCAAAGGGTCAAATCACCACAAAAAATTCTTAAGTCTTTTCTTTACTACTTACTATTCACATCCAAATCATGCTCATGTTCGAAGACAACACCATACACCTCGAACTACCTCTCAAGTACCCAGAAATGATACGGGTCACATTTATTCCAGACTTACCTGTCCCTACCTGCCTGTCAATTGATTAGTACATTAGTTTGTCAATATCTTTGCTTGTGCTCATTTTCGTCTCCCATCAGTGCCCTATTTTATTGCAGGACATTCAATTTTTGCATCGTTGACGAAGCTTCTCAGATTACTCTGCCCACATGTCTAGGTCCGCTTCAGTTTGCTGATAAATTTGTTTTGGTTGGAGATCATTTCCAGCTTCTGCCACTAGTGAGTTTCTTTTGTTGCATATCGTGATCTCCCCTTTATGCATGTTCAGGTCTGCAATCCTGCTGTGCGAAAAGGTGGTCTGGAACTTTGATGATGGTCCAACAGTTCCTTCTTGTGTATTGGTTTCCACTGCTCCACTATCTCTGCCAGATTTGTGATGCTGGATCTCATCTAGAACCTGCAGAAATGTGTTGTACTATGGATGATAAAGGTAAGCTGGTCCTGATAAAACTTGAAGTCTTACATTTGGTGATCACCATTGCAGCCCTACAACCTTATGACTTCCTTTGCTCTGATTTTGGTCCTTGCGATGCTCTGCTGAATCAGCACTCAGCTTGCCCTTTACATATGTGGCAGGAGGGGATCAAACTGGTGAGAACACATCTGATTCAACCCTAGTCCATTCTGCTGACTCGTTCCTCCAAAGTCGTACATCCCATGCCCTCCACTCCCTCCACCAATTCCTTCACCATACAAACCAAGTCCTGATGGATTAAAACCATGACGATTATCAGGTGCTGTCTCCACAAAAGGATTGCTGGGGAACACACAGGGATGGCGGAACAGGGTATGGATCCATCATATTCTGAACCCTCTGAGATGTACTGACAGATTTTTCTGCAGGTGCTCCAGCTCCATCTGGATGGCGCTGTATGCCTAGTGTGTTTTGAAACATAGCAGAAGGATGGGGATGAATGTGCTGGGATCATCCAGAAGCACCTTTTATTTACAGGTTTACTGAGGTTCTGCTGCGTAGGTCTATCCATCATAGATTTTGTTGTTGCTATCTGTATGCCATCTATACTCAATCTATACTCAATCTATACTCAATCTATACTCTGTCCATACCTAAGGAAATGTATATTTGATTCCTATCTACACATGGCCTTGAGTATGGTTTATCTAACAGGTCTAAAACTAGACAATGGATATTGTGTCTGACTAGAGTGCAGTTAGGGTTCGAATGGTGCGACCTTCCATACATTTTTTGGACTTGGGCAGATAACATTGCATACATCTGGTTCTGGTATAGTTTATACCTCTATCTGTACTCTATCTGGATATGGACAATTTCTCATTTCCACAGTGATTCTAGGTGTGTTGTAAGTACACTTCTTGATGTTCATTTGTGATACTCACGAAAGTCACCTGGCAAGTTCTCAAGAATTTTGTCATTGAACTCTGAATCAACATAGATATTGAGAGGGGAAAGGAAAGCACACTGTAGACATATTTCAGCATCAAGAAGGACATGCAGTGGGAAGAAAGATTGAATGGTGTCATCAAAGTTTGTGCTCAGCTGCTATAAGCACGAGATTCTGTCGATTTTCGGAGCAGTCTTCGCTGATACAATCAATGAAAGCAGTGAAGTCTGGATCTCCCATGCTTTGAATGGTGTGTTGAGAGTGAAGATGCGAATGCTATTCCACAATGTTGAAGACTTTACTGATGCTGTGTGAGTCACAGAGGGAACAGTCTTCAATTTACTGATGAATGACTTGGATGGTTTCAACTGAATCTGCGATGCAGTGCAATCACACAGTTCACATTAATTCCTTCTCTACTGAGAGGTTTCATTGAATGACTCAAATGCAGTTCATTCATAGAACAGGACACACTGAAAAGGAGACATGCACAACAAATTCAACGACAGCATGACGTGGTGGACAACATACCAGCAGTTATGCATGCTTAGATATATTAGATATTAGATGGTGAACCTATTATGTGTTTGTAGCACTTACTTTGCAAACAATACCCAGGCCAGATAATGCACTTCAAATCTTGTCCTGTTGGCAGAAATTATACCCAACTTCAGTTACATGCGTGGCTTGACAATGAGAAATCACTCCTCACTGCCAAACTACGTGTGCAACCGTGTAGACGCAAAACACCATAGAATTCCCCCCCCCCAGGGTTAAGAACCGTCACGCATAAGGATGTTTTAATAGTGCTTGTGCTTGTGCCAGGTAAATATTCCAGTAACTTGGGTCCTCGAGGTTCAATAACCCTGAATCATATAGGTGTTGCGAGTGTCCAAGTAACTTTGATAACTTCCAGTCAAGGAAGGGACTCGGGTCACCTGAGAGCGGGATGTGAGAACGTGGTATGATGCTCCATGCAGGAGCAAGGTTGATACAGAGACAGAGGCAGCAGAATTGATGTAGAATGTCTGATTGAAACAGCATAACTAGGGTACTTAACCTGCAGGGCCAGGGGTAGCTGGGAATACAATCCCTGAGAGGTACACAGGTGATCTGATAATTAGATGCACATCTACCCCACTAACCATGGGGCTGGGATAGCTGTGAATGTAATCCGGTCCATGAAGGACACTTGCTGCCTAAGTCCAGGGAGTTGGCGAGCATTGATATTAAGCTATGGGTCAAGAAAGCATCAAGAACCTTGGTTGAACTTCGGGAGAAACTAAAATGTGCCTCTGCTGTCCTGCCAGAAATCACCAAGACTGGTCTCGGCATTGCTACAAAATGCTTTGCATCTCTGATGCTGGACAAGAGCAGAAGGCTCTGAGAAAGTTGTCAATGCATTATGCAAGGTGTTGAGACCAGCAATCTAGATCAGCAGAAAAGCTTAGCTTCTCACGTGATCCAGATGAAAAACACTGAATAAGCTTGTAGAGTGAGGTCTGCCAGTAGAACACACTTTGGACTGGCTCAAGTGCCTGGTGCTCGACCTGTTCGGATGGAGAGTCGGATGAAGCTGTTGACTCATAAGAGATGGCAGATACTCCCATATACATGATGCTTAGCTTCTTCATACTCAGATTACGACTCAGAGGTCAAAGTTGTGGCTAAGAGCTTCACTAAGTACATGAGTCTCTTGAGACCCAAGGTCTCATGGAGCTAGAGTTGAAGAATAAAAGACTAAGCCTGTCCATGGAGTGTTGGTAAAGGTCAAGCTAGTAAGAGAAATGAAACATAATATAACTGTATGAGATAATTGTTATGTGATGATGTATCTCACCGGATAGATTGATGGGTGTGATGGTCGATGAAGTTATTAATCAAGAAATGCTCGCAGCAATTGATAACATTGCTCGATGTCCATGCACGATTAGCTCTTCAACCAAACTTTGACACCAACTGGCATGTTCGAAATATAGACTCCACCTCAATTACGGACACATCTTGCACACCATTTCGGTAACTTCAAGAAATAGGGTACATCCCAGAATTTGGATCTTTGTTTCAAGGTTGTGAAAACCATTCAACATAGGCAAGGTGTCCAATCTGCCTTGGGAGAGACATCTTCATGACATATTCATCTGGAATGCAAAAAATAACTTTCAGTTGTGCTACTCATTTTCCTATCAGGGATTGTCAGTATTAAGATAGATAGCAAGACTCAAGATAACAAACCATCAATGCCAGTTGCCTTGCTCTCACACCCTGATTCATTGATAAGAATTGTGTCAAATCGTGTGTCTAACTCTCCTATGCCACTACTTTTGAGTCTCTTCAGCTCTGTGTGCGCAGTGTGCACAGCCACAAATTCAGTATCAACTTGCAAATTCGGAACCACAAACTTGATGTGATACCACATGTCAACTGCTGTCAAGTCTTGTAAGATATTGGCATACAAGTTGTGGCTGACTTGTCCACGTTGGGAAGAAGGCTGAAGCTGGTGGACTATGAACTTCATGATGGCAACCTTGAATTGTGTTGCCCCAAACTGATCTTCGAGTACGTAAAAAGGCACAGCATGAGCAGAAGGATTCTTTGCAAGATAGATGCCAGGCGGCAGGGGCCTTCGCCAACAGGCGCAGGGCTTCAGAATCTCTCTATGTCTCCATTGAAGGACCAAGTCAAATACAACCATGGATTTGTGTCACTCCAGCCATTTTGTCATCTGGTGCAAAATCTCCTTCTTATTTGTTGCTCTATACATATTCTTTGTGTAGTCTATATGAAGCCACTCAGTAGCTTCGGTGTTGTAGTTGTTGGTCATACCAAAGCAGCAAATGGAATCAGTATAGTGCTTGAGCAAATGCAGCTTTGCGAAATTGAAGTCTTCACTGGTGCATGCACCAAGATTGATGAAAACATCCTTGTTGGTGTGAAATTCATCCAATGCATCTGACAGATATACAAGTGTTGCTTCAGTATGGCTTTGGTACTGAGCAATTTCAAGGAAATCTAAGAGACTACGAGTGGCACAGATCACTCCGGCAGGTGCACCAGGTGCGTCGACAATGCATTCAAGGAGTTACTTGCATATTTCGTGATGTTCTGGACTAGAAACTTGGGTGAGGCCAGATATGCCATGTGAGAACAGACGGACACCATGAACACAAGGCATGCACTTAAAGCAAGCATCCAACTCTGCATTGCCAACAAGGGTTTGAATTCACCCACAAATGTGCTTGACAAGGCCTTGGTATATCTGATGAAGGATATCTGGAGTAATGGTGTCATGGATATTGCAGTGCAGCAGCCCAATCCAGAAAGGGTCGAGAATGAGATTTAAGCCATGGTCTCTCGCAGCTGCTTCAGCACGAGCTTTTGTTACTTGCTGACTAGCATGACAAATGGTGTGAATTGACTCTTTTTGATGTTGGGGGTCTCCAGGGATATGATCACCTAGTTCATCCTCAGTCACAAAGCACTTGGGACACATTTGGGCATAGCACGTGCACATCACCAGGGCTTGCTCTGGATAATCTGCCACATAGGCAGTGAGCACAGGAAATCTGAGGTGCACTGCCCCATCCTCACTTATAAGCTCTATCCTGTTAGTCAGAGCTTCAGCATGAAGCGAGCTGGTAACCATCCACATGGTATAATAAAAGAGCTGCACATGAGTATGGTGGGCACTATCTACTGAGATATCCATTCCATCTAATGAAATGGTAGGAAGGTATCCAATAATTTTCTGGGCGCAAAAGGACGGCCTGCGGCAAATAGACTTCAAAATATTGCCAATAGTAAGATAGACAGGGTATGTGGTTTTATCACCCCGGAATTGCAGAGCTGGGTCTTGTCTGAGCTGAGTATGACAGGAACAAGAGTAGCACCCTCTGGAAGAAGTGTCTCAAAGACAATCAACACATTTCCAGAGAAAGCATTCAAAACCACAGACCTGCACCTTCCAAGACCAATTGCCACTCATCAGTTCGTCATAAATGTGCTCAGTTTTCCCTTCATCTGCAAAGTGGTGTTCCAGTGCATAGGTGAGGTGGTTGAGATAGGCAGGATTAGCCCACAGTTCTTTGATGCATTCAACAGGATCTCGCATGAATAATTCAAACTCTTCATTAATGCCTGATATCTGAATGACACTGTGATGCCACAGAGTCACACCAAGGAGTTCATGATTGATTTTTTGGTGGAGCACATGGGAACTCTTGTAAGATAGTTTGAGTTTACATTTCACCTAGCAGAAATAATTTGAAAATGATGTTGATGCTGCTTCTGCGTGCTTACCCCATCAATGGACAAAAAATTTGAGAAGGCATTTTGACTCGGCCCTTGCTGTATGGCCCACCGAGCTATCTCATAGTCACATTCACTGATAAAAGGGTGGTATGGATTATCCTCCATATGGAGGTCACAACAGGTCCGGGTATATGTAGGGTGAGTAGTGTCATTGATCCGCAAAACCCTGCCTGCTTCTGGAAATTTTTCGACTGCAAGTATAGGATCCTCAAGGTCGTTGTGTGAGGCTTCATTGGCTAGGCTTGCATAAGGCTACAAAGGTGGACCAGTCTGCTGTTGCACTTCCTGCACTTCAGCAACCCTAGCAGCGATGGTGGTGTCATCATCCTGATTCCCTATATGATCATCCTCCTGATTGTTCAGCTCCCAATAATCTCTCATCACAACCTCATTCTCATCATTGTACATGGTATGGACCCACTTGCAATTTGGGGCTAGTGCAGTATGCGTACTGAGATGTGAGCAGTGTCTTGAAGGTTTTCTTGCAGGAAGGGCAGTAGGCGATGGTAGTAGACATCTTGATACAAAATGCTGGAAGAGTTTCCAATGAGACAAAGTCAACCAATGAGTGGTGCTGAATGACGACACACAACATTATTCAAGCTTCCATCAATGACTAAATTGGTAGTAGTGCTGAAGAAAATGATGTCACTGGTGGCAAAGAGAATGGGGGTATTTTGAGGCCTTCCAAGTAATAAATTTTCCTTCTAAGTGAGCCTAACTGGCTGCTCTGCTGAACTATGGATTTTCCTTGCTTAAGCTCTAATAAGCCAGCTTTGACGACAATTGAAATCAAGGTATAAGTTTGAGAATGCAGGTGGTGTAGAATGTTAGATGAACCTCAAAGGCCCATCTCATGGAGCACTAACAAAGCCAAGCTTCACTGGTACTCCTAGAGAGAAAGGTCTTCACATTGAGGATGTGTTCCATGTACCAGTCAGGTTCAGAGACTCGGTGGACAGTCAATTCTTGAAACGGAGACTGTAGGGTATGTGGGATGTAATGACTGATATCCTGGATCCTCAAGAGAAAAATGGACTGTATAGGTTGGTGGTATACCGGTCATAGCAAGTCTAAAAGGGGTGAGGAGGCGTGTCTCGACAAAAATCCAGCAACACCAGGCATCTATGGTGCCACTCTGGAGGTATGAATGAGGCAAGGAGGTAAGACAGTGAGCCCACTGGCAAAGAGCCCTAGGAGTGTATGAGGGATGATGAGGTATCATTGTGCGAGAAAGCTGGAATGTCACAGAATAATTATAATTATACTGTTCAAAAACGTTCAGAGAACTCAAAGGAGGACTGAGACAGGTTCTTGTGGAGCTGAAGGGGATCTCGTGCGAAAAGTCTGGCTTCTTATAGTAAGACTCTTCGACACACTGGGTCGCCAAGGGATTCAAAGAGACTCTGTATGAAAACCCTGGCTTCTCATAGTAAGACTCTTCAACATGCTGGGTTGCTAAGGGATTCAAAGAGACTCCGTATGAAAAGCCTGGCTTCTCATAAGAATTTGAGGTGCTCATAGAATTGACAACATCCTGCCGATGCTGAGTCCTGATGGAGGCATGGATCGATGCCAATTTATGGAACATTATCTAGGTGTCTAGATATGGCCCACCCACAATCTACATGAGTTTCATATACTCATGATAACCCCCAGCTTCAGCTCAGCAAAATAGACTAAAATGCTTAAAATTGAACAAAAATATAACAGCTGTGTTGAAATAATATGGTCTTTGTAGGTGCTAGCAATACTAGCAGAGAGAAACACTCAGTATGCATGAAACAATACTTGAATTGTTATATACCTAGCAGAGAGAAATGCTAGGATACATGAGTATGTGTATGATACAAGTGACAAGACATATACTAGTGCACACCTCAGTATGCATAAAACAATACTGAGATGTGCTGTAGGCCGATACAAGCTATATATGAGCTACAAACTGAGCTTGGGTAATGAACCAGCGAAAGGATTAGCAGAAGAGCTCGTATGGTCAAGAAGCAAGAAGTACCAAGATGAGTGTGCTGCATGTGGTGTCGATGGTGTCGATGGTGATAAGAAACAAGGTAATGTGATGTCTAAAAGGTAAATTGTTACACATCAACACTCTTTTGTTGCTCTGCATTACACACCAGCTTCGAGACACTACCATCAATGGAAGAAACCCTCATAGGCCAATGTGAGCCTTTATTCAGGAGGTGGTGACCATATGACATTCTGTTCGAATTTGCAGTGTACCCCGTGCTAAACTATGACATCATATTTTCGCTATTTATGGTATTTGGACAGCAATTTCCTTATTCGCTCCTAATCCCCCGTCCTTCAACTCGTCGTCTACTTCCTCAACGTCCCGCGAACTACGTGCCGTACATTCATATCCGGATACGTCAATTTCTTCAAACGTTTCAGCGGCACCGATTACCGGGAAGACACGATTCAACGTCCAATAGACGATTGCAGAAACTCCAAACCCAGTAAAGAACGACAGATCATATATCCGAGTAGCTGCTAGAGGGACTGTACGCCCAGCTGGGGAACAATATCTCAAGATTGATGCATCGCGATCGTGAAGACAACTCACTGGCTCCAGCAAAGCCGACAGCGTTGATCAGGATCCCGGAGATATACGCGGTGTATGCCCTTAACAACACTCGTCAAGGTTGAACACTTCGAGGCAATCAAAACTCTCACCGGAAATTGATCCCATATGTGTACCAGTACCAGCTGCCCTTTTCAGTGTTATAAAGGTCCTTCACATTATAATGACCCTTGCGGACGATGTAGTATTCCGTCACCTACAGCAACCCGATCACGACGATGAAAGGAACAGTTATAGAAGTGCCGACTTACCATCACCCCAGCAATAGAACTCAGGAACACTGAATATGCGGAGAGGTAAGAAGTAAACTCGTTACTATTTTTCAGAAGGTTCCATGGACACATGGCGAGACCAACGGCAGCAGCGATATACCCGCCGCGTCGGATGTTCTGCAGTTGGGTCTTAAGATTTTAGTTCTGAGTAGACATCACACATGCATACAATGAAACGAGGGAACAGTGCGGTCAAATCGCATCCCGCCGACACTGAATTTGCGCAGATGTTCGTGCTTGGTAACCAATGTCAGCTTGGAGCCCCCTCCAAAGTCTGCGTATGTTATTTGACACACCCCATCTAGGAGCAGAACATGGATTAGATTTGCGACACAATAGCAAAGAAAATCTGCGACGTCACCTGTGCAAGCATGAACGATGCTGAGATAAACCATACCTGCGAAAAGGAAGACGAGGAAGCGTGTCAGACAGAAGCTGAGGTCCTCGGATATCACAATCACATACCCCAAATCTCGTCGCTTTTGACGGATTGTCATTCAAGAAATTTCCCAAGAGTTCGATGGGTGACCAGATGGCCGTCCCATAGATTGCCTGCGACGACGAGCTCACAAGGATTCCGATCAAACTCACAAACGCCGCACTCAAAGGAATCGCAAATAGTTGTGGGTATACCGCAGCCGACGAGGTACGTGCGCGAGAGGCGAAATCCGGTGCGTTGGTGATTAGGGTTACCTCGTTACCGATGCACGACATGGAACTAACCACCATGGCCCAGCCTAACTTTGATCCATGCAGTGCAGAAGGCTGGTGTACAATCGGGCCGATTCCGTGAGCTTTCACAATGCACCATATGAGGAATGTGATTGAGGCTATGGGCATCAAGATAGGTGTCACAAGGAAGAAGTGGCGGCTGAGAAAGGTCATTTTATAACCATCCTCATGAGAAGGTGCGAATGTACTTACACTTTGTGCACAGGGAACCAGATGACCGGCAGAGAAATGAACCAGAAGAGGAAAAAGCATAGGAAACTTTGAGTGTCCGTTCCCGAGGACGCGGGCATCGTATTCGCTATCGGCGGGCTCAGTTGGTACGATTACCACAGGAAATGAGAAACGCAACGCACGCAGGTTATCTATGCTAGGCCACATTGCTCTGAGCATTACGAGCACACAGGAACCTCCGATGCTTGCCTGGACGCCATACCATATGCTGTGCTGCTTAGTTCGCACGTCATTGAAAAGAGGGGAAGACGCACCATGCCATAGCAGCGCGATTAAAGACGCACCACAGACTGCCAAACATCCCGAAGCTCGTGCGATTCACGATTGGAAACATCACATGGAATATGGCACCAGGACGTGCATTCAGTACGAGGAAAGGCGCAGCAATACCATAACCCAGCCAGACGCATATCCAGGCTTGCCACCACGACATTCCCAGTTGGATCATGGAGCTTGGAGATGTTATTTAATACCGACCCAACGGAATCATAATGGTGGCAGTGACTCAGCGTACGCACGATACGATCATCCACATGTTTACGTTAAACGTGTCTGCTGTCCAGAAGGCCATGTAGTTGTATGCACGCCATGTGCGTTTCGCCGGATCGACGGGCAGCAAATCGTAGTTCTATCATAGATCAAGTTGCTGTTAGTACTATTGGGGGATCGTAGTATAGGATACTCACTGCAACGAGCTGCTCGGTAATGGTGAGGTTGGGGTCATGAGTGACTTCGAAGCTTTTAACGATCCTATTGACCAAACCCATGGCAAGTTCAACTGGTAAAAGAGCGCTATCGTCGTCCGTTCTTTAACACCATGCTTATCATGCATGGGTAACGCGGCCACTACCAGTAGCACGCGACACGCGACACGCGACACCAATTTTCACATGATATCTCGGGCTACCGGGTGGAAATTCGCCTATCAAAACCCTCCACTCAAATAGGCACGGTCCTGATAAAAGTCAAGGGGATGCACGATCTAAAGACGCAACCAGCAGCAGTTAACAGATTCAGAACTACTATGCTCTCAACATGCGCGTACCAGGAATTTTTAACTTCGGCCACTTCTCTAGAACTGCGACAACAGTGCACTCCAATGTTTCTCTGCATCAACTCGGAGATAAATTGCAAATGCATGCACCGCCAAAGTTACCTACTATAAGTGTCCGCCAAGTCAACTTTCTGAGGTTACTAAAAACAAGATGAATGATAGATTAAGGCGTGAGCGCTTGAGCGTGAAGGTCAGATCTATATGTGTGCTTGTCGTCGTCGTGGAGCAGCTGGCGTAAACAATTCTCGTTGAATCCTGAGTTAACTCGGCAAGAGCGACAGAGGTCGAAAAAGCCTACCCTGAACGTCGGCTGAAGGTCTAGAATAGGTAAGAACCACTGGCAACAATCTACATAGTGCATGGCGCGAATCTAGAGTGATATATTCTGAAGCTGAAAGAACCTGAGACACTGCAGGTATCTGTATCTGAAGACGCCATGTTTATGAAGTACAACTTGTGCATATTGCAGAAACCACCAAACAATGATTCCATTAAGTACAAGTGTATCCTCGTGAGT